TCTCGAAGCGCTGGTAGGGCCCAAAAGATAAGGAGACATGTAAAGTGCCCCATAAGGGCTACCTTTTTCTTTTTTTATTATTTTCTATTGACGTTCATAAGTGCCACTTGTGGTCTAACCTGAATAAATAATTTTGATTTTGATTTTGATTTTTGATTTTGGGCACTTATACACGTTCCAAATATAGCTTGCCCTACCACCACTTCGGGACAACATAAGGGCTGGTGCAGAGTAGTGGAGGAAGAAATTCAGTCACCTTTGTCATTTAAACATCCACAACACAAGCTTATTAGACTTGTGACGGCACAATTACACGTAGGGCAACTCCGAAACGCCGTCGGGAATCGGGTCAATCTGTCACCGTCGCTCTTGCTGGTTATTGGCTTTGCGTGAGAAGGATGGCAATATTTGAAACTTCAGATCACGTTTTTTCGGAGTACAACGGAGGCACCTACGCGATAGGCACGCCCACAATCTAGAGACTTGTGACGTCACACTTTCTAGTATCTAGTGGTGCCAGGTTGATGATAAATAATCTATCAAATACGTAATTGTGACGTGACATCCTGTTTTGCGCTTGCTCTACAGAGTGTTAGGTAAATCCCAACTAATATTATAAATGCGAAAGTAACTCTGTCTGTCTGTCTGTTACGCTTTCCCGCTTAAAACTCGCAACCGATTTTGATGAAATTTGGCATAGAGATAGTTTGAGTCCCGGGAAAGAACATAGGATAGTTTTTATCCCGGTTTTTGAAACAGGGACGCGCGCGATAAAGTTTTTCTATTTTCATACAAAATAAATTTTATAAAATTCGATTTGTATGAAAATTAAAATAATTAAAATGAAGATATCAATTTTCTGACTTCACCATACCATTTATATGCCCATGTTAACATGGGCTAGTGTCGTCTCATATACCCATTTATCTAACACCCTGTATATCAGTGAGTCGATACGACGCGAATCGAAGGAGTTAAGTTATATTAGGTTAGAATCAGATGACAAGTGGTACGGATTTAAAAACTTCCTCGGTTTTTCTCTGTTTTGTACTTACGCGCGTTAGAATGAACCCGTTTCCATCCCAATTTAGCGTAAGAGACTATTAAACACTATAGTTTGTTACGTTTTGATAGCTCACACCACCTCTTCTCCAGATTCGCCACTCCCTTTCTCTGAAAATTCACACAATCTTCCACAGTTTCTTCAGGTTACAGGACATGGAGTTCAAGTGACAAGCGGGTCAACGTGCGTCAAAGAGATAGGTTAGATTATGATACGGTTAGATATTAAGGTTAAGAATGACAAGCGGATCCATGTTAAAATCGTCCACCATTTGTTGCGTTTTCACACTTCACTGGCTCTTTTCCAAAGTCGCTGCTGACTTCTCTAGATATCCCTGAAAAAGCACACAATCTTCTAGTTACTCCTTGCTTTTTACACCACACTGACCTTGAGGTTGACCGTCTCCCTCGCCACCGGGTACTTGGAACTTGGCGTGAGGCTGAACACCGGCTCGGAGATGAAGAACCCAGACATCATCGACAGCAGCACCAGCACCAAGACTGGCAGCAGCTGGACGATGCCGGCGTGGGCCTCACGAGGTTCCGGCTCGCGGGCGCGGCGGCGCGTGTAGACGGTCGGGCCGCCGCCGGGGAAGGCTGCGAAGATGATTCTTTCATCATCATTACGTCATTTAGACTTGGAGCGAGATCAACGCGAAGCTCAAGACCGAACGCGATGGAGGACTGTTGTGGACGCCCTCTGCCCCATCTAGGGGACATAGGACCTTAAGTGAAGTCAAGTCAAGTTAGGTCACGTCATTTAGTCACTAAACGATGCTGGTCTCATCAGGATGACCTGCTGGACTCTCTAAGGGGCAAAATATGGAGAAGGTCATTTAGTCTCCACTGCAGGAGAAACGACTCATTTACCAGAGGCAAATGGAGGAATGAGGCTAGACTTCACAAGATGAAGGAGCCTACAGTCCCTATGCTAACTAGAAAGGGTTGGAAAGGTCAAACTACTATCATAATTAGGTAATTTAGTCTCTACTGCAGGAGGCAGGGGAAAGCTGTAAAGGTGATTCTCTCATCATCATCATCATTTGTCATCACATCGTCGGCCGTTTGGTGTAGTGGTTCGAAACGGACTACTATTCCGGAGGTAGCGGGTTCGATTCCCGCACAGTACAAACATTTGTGTGCATGAACATATTTGTTTGTATTGGACTGGGTGTTTTCTATGTATAATAAGTATGCATTTACAAAAAAAAAGTATTTAAGTATGTTTATATCCGTTGTCTAGTACCCATAGTACAAGCTTTGCTTAGTTTGGGACTAGAAGCGCAGTGTAAAATGTCTAAGGATATTTATTTATTTATTTAGTCTTCACAAGAGGCCGGTCTCATCATCAGGACAGTCTCCATTGCAGGAGCTCGACCCTTAATTTACTAGAGGCAATGGAGCCTACACTGGCCATGTTGAAAGCTGCAAAGATATTGTCTCATAACCGTCATTTATGCCCGTTTTCACCATCAATCCCTAATTTTTAATTGACCCCAATGAAAACGAAGTGCTTGATAAATGTTACCATAAGGGTTACTTAAAAATTAGGGATCGATGGTGAAAACGGGCATTAGTCTCCAAAAGATCCTGGTCTCATCAGGATGACCTGCTGGACTCTCTAAGGGGCAAATGGAGGATGTCATTGGGTCTCCATTGCAGGAGTACGACGCTCTCTAATTTATCAAAAACAAGTGGAGGATTTGGCTTATACTTCTCACGTTGTACAGACGGGTTAGAAAACGGATTTGGCTTATACTTCTCACGTTGTACAGACGGGTTAGAAAACGGATTTGGCTTATACTTCTCACGTTGTACAGACGGGTTAGAAAACGGATTTGGCTTATACTTCTCACGTTGTACAGACGGGTTAGAAAACGGATTTGGCTTATACTTCTCACGTTATACAGACGGGTTAGAAAACGGATTTGGCTTATACTTCTCACGTTGTACAGACGGGTTAGAAAACCTGGGAAGGCACCATAGTTGAGTGTGGGTGTGAGCGGGAAAGAATGCGACTATAAAAACTAAAAAGTGAGATTGGGTACCAGTTACCCTAGAGCATTGGTTCCCAAACTTTTTGAAACGCGCCGCCTTTCGACCATACCAAAAATTCAGAGCCCCCCCTCCATTCTCTCAGCGGTTGCAGATTTCTTACAGATGGCCCGCGCCCCCCTTTAAGTCTGCGCCCCCATTGGGGGTGCGCCCCCCACTTAGGGAACCAATGCCCTAGAGCGATTGAGAAGGACTGTGCTACAGGTTAAGTGTCAGGGGCTTAGTAGTAGGGTTTTGTGTGAGCAGCTGGGCGACAGGGGCTTTGTAATAGTAGGTGGTTAATAAGTATGAGGGGCTGTGTAATAGGGGGTTAAGTATGAGGGGCAGTGTAATAGGGGGCTAAGTATGAGGGGCTGTGTAATAGGGGGCTAAGTATGAGGGGCTGTGTAATAGGGGGCTAAGTATGAGGGGCTGTGTAATAGGGGGTTAAGTATGAGGGGCAGTGTAATAGGGGGTTATGTGTAAGGAGCTCGGCGATAGGGGCTAGAGTGTAAGGGCTATGCGGCAGGGGGTTACATGTCTGTGCTCGTGCACATCATCGTTAATACCGTAATATTGACCAGTAGCGCCGAAGAACATGTTGAAAAGCTCCTCCGCGGTCAAGTCCGACTCGAAGCCGCATGTAGTACTGCTGCTGCAAGCGGGGGAAGGATAGAGCGAGAGAGCACGAGTGTGTGTGAGAGAGAAAGAGCATGATTATAATAGTGGGTACAATAAAGGAGATGGGTTGAGAAGGACTGTGCTATACAATGAGATAAGGGTGAATGTGTTACTGACACTCTGAGATAAGCGGTAGAGTGAGATAGCTGTTAGTGTGAGATAGGGGTCAGTGTGTGAGATAGGGGTCAGTGTGTGAGATAGGGGTCAGTGTGTGAGATAGGGGTCACTGTGTGAGATAGGGGTCAGTGTGTGAGATAGGGGGTAGTGTGAGATAGGGGGTAGTGTGAGATAGGGGTCAGTGTGAGAGAGGGGTTATAGTGTGAGATAGGGGATAGTGGATAGGGGTCAGTGTGTGAGATAGGGGTCAGTGTGTGAGATAGGGGTCAGTGTGTGAGATAGGGGTCAGTGTGTGAGATAGGGGTCAGTGTGTGAGATAGGGGTCTGTGTGTGAGATAGGGGGTAGTGTGTGAGATAGGGGTCTGTGTGTGAGATAGGGGGTAGTGTGAGATAGGGCTATAGTGTGATAGGGGGTACAGTGTGAGTTAGGAGTAGAGTGTGAGAAAGGGTACTATGTGAGATAGGGCTATAGTGTGAGATAGGGCATAGTGTGTGAGGCTCATGGAAAGGTGTTTTGCTCGTGCCCATCATCGTTAATACCGTAATATTGACCAGTAGCGCCGAAGAACATGTTGAATAGCTCCTCCGCCGTCAAGTCCGACTCGAAGCCGCGCGCGTAGTACTGCTGCTGTTGCGGCGCGTGCGTCGGCTCCTCGCCTCGCACGTCGTACTGTTTGCGCTTCTCTGCGTCTGTTAGTATGGCCGCTGCGTTGCCTATGGCCTGGGGGGAAAGATTGTGTTGAAATAGCGACTCATTTGACTCGAATCGTGCCCCTGTCATTGGCAGACAAGGCGAAGAAGATCGGCAAGACTTGGAGCGAGATCTTAAGTAAGTCAAGTGCCCCACTCAGGGCGACCTGATGATCCCGACTGGTTTTTAAAGGGTAGGCTCTGTTTCGACAGGCTTACTTAATATCTATATAGCCATGAGCAGAGGTCAAAGCAGTCGCCCTGTAAGCCAATAGTCGTGGGTTCGATTCCTACCTTAGACAATTCGGTATTTTATGTTATTAGAAATTAAGTTTAAGTTGCTGCTAATTAATTTGATACTAATAAATTTTAATAATGCTTTTTGATATTTATCCCAACTAATATTATAAATGCGAAAGTAACTCTGTCTGTCTGTCTGTTACGCTTTCCCGCTTAAACCTCGCAACCGATTTTGATGAAATTTGGCATAGAGATAGTTTGAGTCCCGGGAAAGAACATAGGATAGTTTTTATCCCGGTTTTTGAAACAAGGACGCGCGCGATAAAGTTTTTCTGTGACAGACAAAAATCCACGCGGGCGAAGCCGCGGGCGGAAAGCTAGTGATAATTATAACATAGTGCAGCCACTTACTATAGAAATCTGCTTGTCACATTGTTTGTCTACCTTCAAAATGTTTTTTTCTTCAAATAACTTTGACTCTCTCCTAGTTTAACACTGACCTTGAAGGCCTCAGCAGCTCCAGGCGCATGATTCTTGTCCGGATGGAGCTGCAGCGCCAACTTCTTGTACGCCTTCTTGATGTCCGAGTCCGTTGCTTCTTTGGTTACTCCTGAAAATTAAGAATAATTGTCAAAATACAATCTAATTAGTCATTCAATTTGGCAGTATGACACTGACATGTTTGGGCTATTGTCCCTTTTAACATAGATGCAGCCGAATGACGTCCACTGCTGGACAAAGACCTCCCCAAGGACTTTCACAAAGACCGGTCCTGCAACGCCTGCTTCCAGGTATAACAGGTAAAGGTTATTTCTGTTTGCTCTAGGATTCAAACCTAGGACTTCCTGGATAGTGAAAGTTCAACTCTTTTATTATTAGACCATGAAGATATTTTTAAAGGACAGCCTTTGTTTTGGATAAACATGTCTTGAATAAATTCAATGATATTACTCATTCATTATATTAATTGTTCACTGTGATCATGTTTGAAGGAAGTTAAAAAATTTAAAACCTTGACTGTTAAATCTTTATAAGGCTTTAGTCATCTAAAAGATTAAATAGAAATTATACAAATATGAATTTTAGATTAGATTATTACATTCAAAGATAAAAAAAAAATTGACTTTTTGTTTTGTTGATAATATTCATTGAATCTGATCTAGGAACAGGTTTTGAACTATGACAAAGAAAACGTTTAATATAAAGAATGACAAAGCAGAAGTACTGATTAAATTAGTTTAAGTTACATTACCCAAGATTTCATAATAGTCTTTGCACTTGGTGTTGACCCTGCGCACTGCGTCGAGCTGATCCGAGGTGTATTCCCTCTGGGGAGGCTGGTGAGCTGGTGGTTTCCTCCTCCGAACCTCTTCGGGCCCTGGACTGCTAGGTGGTGTCCTCTTTGGTACATTTCCAGAAGCCGCGGCAGCTCTCACCCTCGTCAAAAGCTCTTTAGCGCGAGGCGTAGGGTACAAACGCTCGGCCTTCAGCAAAAACTTCTCAGCTTTCTCAACATTTCCACTAGAAAAAGCACTTTGAGCGATCTCTATGCACTTGTCAGCCTCGTCCTTGTTACCTTCAATCGTCATTTTTGCTCAGTTCCAACACGCAAACTGCGTGTTTTTGATCCCAAAATGATGGACACACGACGTAGAACACACTTTTAAGTTTGCTGCGCAAATTTAATTAGTGTAAATATAGTTTTATTGCGATTAATTGGGCTTAGAACAAATTCATAATGGATCAAAAGTACATATTGCGTCAAAATAACATTGCTGCCAACTGACAGACAATAATCATTTTGTTTCCCTTCCTCCCTCCTTCTACTCACCTTGTTGTCTGTTCTCTTGTTTTTTCGTGATTTTATTATGTTTATACTAACTGTGTTGTCTTATCTGTGCCGTTGTGTTTGTCTGTTTTAGGTGTGCACGCTAGACTATACCTAATAGCACTCAACCCCAAGGTTTATAACTTTTTATACCGTGTAATGGCTATGCTCACGTGACATTGGCAAACGTGGAAACACAATAGCCATATAGGAGAAGAAGAAGAAGTAGTCACACCCAGACCCGTCACAGAATTTAAAATTCATCATTTCAATTTCTGCCCGGCCGGGAATCGAACCCGGGACCTCTCGGACCTATACTTCTCACGTTGAACAGATGGGTTAGAAAACGTGGGGGATTTCATTGTTAAGTGTGGGTGTGAGCGAGAAAGAGCATGGGTGGGATTTTTTGATAGGGGGTTATGTATAAGGGCCTGTGTAATAGGGGATTGAGTGTCAGGGGGGCTAAATATGAGGGGCTGTGTAATCGGGGGTTATGTGTAAGAGGATTTTTGACAGGGGATTTTATGTCAGGGGCTATGTGAGGGGTAGTGTTATAGGAGGTTGTGTATAAGGAGCTGAGCGATAGAAGCTTGTGTAAGGGGCTGGGCGAGAGGCTGTGTAATAAGGGGTTATGTGTAAGGGGTTGTGCGATAGAGGTTAAGTAAGAGGGGGTTATGTGTAAGAGGATTTTTGACAGGGGGTTTTATGTCAGGGGCTATGTGAGGGGTAGTGTTATAGGAGGTTGTGTATAAGGAGCTGAGCGATAGAAGCTTGTGTAAGGGGCTGGGCGAGAGGCTGTGTAATAAGGGGTTATGTGTAAGGGGTTGTGCGATAGAGGTTAAGTAAGAGGGGGTTATGTGTAAGAGGATTTTTGATAGGGGGTTTTGTGTAAGTTGCTGGGAGATAGGCGCTGCATGATAGGGGGGTTTTGCTCGTGCCCAACATCGTTAATACCGTAATATTGACCAGTAGCACCGAAGAACATGTTGAAAAGCTCCTCCGCGGTCAAGTCCGACTCGAAGTCGCGCGCATAGTACTGCTGCTGCGAGCGGGAAAGGATAGAGCGAGAGGGCACGAGTGTGTGTGAGAGAGAAAGAGCATGATTATAATCGTGGGTCCAATAAAGGGGATGGGTTGAGAAGGACTGTGCTATACAATGAGATAAGGGTGAATGTGTTACTGACACTCTGAGATAAGCGGTAGAGTGAGATAGCTGTTAGTGTGAGATAGGGGTCAGTGTGTGAGATAGGGGGTAGTGTGTGAGATAGGGGTCCGTGTGTGAGATAGGGGGTAGTGTGTGAGATAGGGGCCTGTGTGTGAGATAAGGGGTAGTGTGTGAGATAGGGGTCAGTGTGAGATAGGGGTTATAGTGTGAGATAGGAGGTAGAGCGTGAGATAGGGCATAGTGTGTGTCAGGCTCATGGAAAGGTGTTTTGCTCGTGCCCAACATCGTTAATACCGTAATATTGACCAGTAGCGCCGAAGAACATGTTGAAAAGCTCCTCCGCGGTCAAGTCCGACTCGAAGCCGCGCGCAGTACTGCTGCTGCGAGCGGGAAAGGATAGAGCGAGAGGGCACGAGTGTGTGTGAGAGAGAAAGAGCATGATTATAATCGTGGGTCCAATAAAGGGGATGGGTTGAGGACTGTGCTATACAATGAGATAAGGGTGAATGTGTTACTGACACTCTGAGATAAGCGGTAGAGTGAGTTAGCTGTTAGTGTGTGAGATAGGGGTCTGTGTGTGAGATAGGGGTCAGTGTGTGAGATAGGGGGTAGTGTGTGAGATAGGGGCCTGTGTGTGAGATAAGGGGTAGTGTGTGAGATAGGGGTCAGTGTGAGATAGGAGTTATAGTGTGAGATAGGGGGTAGAGCGTGAGATAGGGTATAGTGTGTGTCAGGCGCATGGAAATGTGTTTTGCTCGTGCCCAACATCGTTAATACCGTAATATTGACCAGTAGCACCGAAGAACATGTTGAAAAGCTCCTCCGCGGTCAAGTCCGACTCGAAGCCGCGCGCGTAGTATTGCTGCTGTTGCGGCGCGTGCGTCGGCTCCTCGCCTCGCACGTCGTACTGTTTGCGCTTTTCCGCGTCTGTTAGGATGGCCGCTGCGTTGCCTATGGCCTGAGGAGAAAGATTTTCTTTATTACTATTGCAAGATTTTATATGGAAGTACTAGATATAAATATAATGATAATAAAATCTTAAAATATCAAATCAAAAACATTTATTCAATTTTGACCAGAATTTTGGGAGGGAGCACTTATTACATTCTCACGCACACAAGTGATAGGCTGTCACGTGACATCTATCAAATTACGGGTAAAAAGAGACAGTTGTATGGCAGACTTCTGCAGGGGTGGACATGAGACAGTGTTTTTAGGTATGTAGGCCCTTTTCAGAGTTGGTGTCTGTTAATATGTTATCCCAGGTTTTGCAGGTAAAAGTGCTTATACAATAGTACAATGATAAAAATTGACTCAAATGTTATATGTGTATGTGATTGGAACTAGATGGTGCAGGTTAAATATTTAAGGATAATAATTATAACAGTACAGCAGCTTGACACAGGAAATCCGCTTGTCACTTTGTGTACTTTTATAAGGTCACCTTTTTGCAAATGACTGATTCTCTTGTAGTTTAAGAAGTGATTGACACTGACCTTGAAAGCCTCGGCAGCTCCGGGCGCATGATTCTTGTCCGGATGGAGCTGCAGCGCCAACTTCTTGTACGCTTTCTTGATGTCCGAGTCCGTTGCTTCTTTAGTTACCCCTGAAAATTAAGAATTTATTGAGACAGGATCAAACTAGCAAAAGTTAGTTGGTAGTCTGATATATGACAGGAAAGTGATGGATGCAGCCTGCTACAGCAGTGGACGTCCTGTGGCTGAAATTATGATGATGATGAATTTGATATTGGGCTATTGTAGCCTCTATCAACCAACATATTAAGTGATTTTCTATATTTGCTAGGATTCCCTAGATAGTGAGTTCAATCCTTAGACCACAACAATTTTTTTTTAAAGAAATAAATATTTTTTCTGTTTTATTTCAAAGGACAAGGAAATAGTTTTACTGTTTTGGCTAAACATGTTTTGAATAAATTATTCAAGGATTTTCCCTGATTTAATCATTTTAAATTGTTTTTTGGGTCCATGTATAAAAGGAAATGCAAGATTTAACCCTGACTGGTAGATCATGTCAAGACTTATGTCTATTTGAAATGTAAATAGAAATAACACAAATATAATTAGATTAGATTATGTTCAGTGATAAAAAAAAGTTTCAATTTTTTGCTTTGTATAAATAGTCATTGAATCTGTTCTAGGAACAGGTTTTTAACTATGACAAAGAAAACGTTTAATATAAAGAATGACAAAGCAGAAGTAACTGATTAAATTAGTGTATGTTACATTACCCAAGATTTCATAATAGTCTTTGCACTTGGTGTTGACCCTGCGCACAGCGTCGAGCTGATCCGAGGTGTATTCTCTCTGCGGAGGCTGGTGAGCTGGTGGTTTCCTTCTTCGAACCTCCTCAGGCCCTGGACTGCTAGGTGGTGTCCTCTTTGGTACATTTCCAGAAGCCGCGGCAGCTCTCACCCTCGTCAAAAGCTCTTTAGCGCGAGGCGTAGGGTACAAACGCTCGGCCTTCAGCAAAAACTTCTCAGCTTTCTCAACATTTCCACTAGAAAAAGCACTTTGAGCGATCTCTAAGCACTTGTCAGCCTCGTCCTTGTTACCTTCAATCGTCATTTTTGCTCAGTTCCAACACGCAAACTGCGTGTTTTTGATCCCAAAATGATGGACACACGACGTAGAACACACTTTTAAGTTTGCTGCGCAAATTTAATTAGTGTAAATGTAGTTTTATTGCGATTAATTGGGCTTAGAACAAATTCATAATGGATCAAAAGTACATAATGCGTCAAAATAACATTGCTGCCAACTGACACACAATAATTAGTTATGATCAGAAATGAAGGAAATGAGTTGATATTGTTATGGCCAATGGCCACAACAAAATCTCTGGCCACAACAACATAAAATGTGAAGTGGAAAAACAATCCTTTCCATCTGTTTCCATCCAATCCCGACGAAAACATCTTTCTGCTGTGAAAATTTCACAAAAGAAGACGGACGGGGTTTGTTTAACTCAAATTATTTTTGGATTTTGCGTCTCTAATCATACTCATTGATCAAAAACACAACCACGTCATGTCAGAATTATATTTCTGAACGAATTAAAAAAAAACTATGACGTCTTTCTTTTGGCCGCTGTCATATGACGTATGACGAATGATCTTTTCGGTTTCGGTCAATCGGAATTTATATTGTTTTTGCATTAGGCGTATCTGATGCAGTAATTGTTAAGTGTAATTCTTCAGGAACGTTGTGCGGACGTTTTGACACCTATTTAGCAGCTATCCAGCTTGTGGACACTTTGTAAACCATGGCAGCACCGATCTACAATCCAGTAAGTAGTTTCTTGTATTTGTATAGTGATATTTGCCTTGTAGACGCTATTACTTGGCGTGTAAAGACTTTTCGNTATTTTCGGCGTCTTCAAGGACGTGAAGAACAATAAGGAGTGACTGCTTACAATATTTACATTGTAAATGTGTCGCAATCCAACATTGATTTGTTCTGAGTGTGTAGACAAAAAGTCGATTTTTGTGCTCAGAGAAAATATTGCGCGGGGCTTAATGGGTCTTTCCCGTTAGCAAAGACGGTAAACCACGTATTCTACGGTCGAGTTTTCCTCTTACATAGATTGTGTAGCACGAAAATGCATTGCAAGAATTAAAATTGTTATCCTGTAATTTCATAATTTCAATGTAGAAGATGACTATGAGTAATACATGTCAAGAATGTCTATTACTATGACCATGACAATATCTGTTAAGTTTCTTACTAATTGAGCCAATTTTTAGACCTAAAATTGATTGTGCAAATTGTTAATGTGCCATTGGGAGGTACCATTCGTAGAGTGATGATAATTCTGAATTTGCATATTTATTTAGTTCATTTACAATTGAATTTGAATTCTTCATTGTTTTCTTTGTAAAAAATAAGAATATGGTGATTTTTGTTTTAACTCTTTTTTCTCTATACTAAAAACTAACTTTTATACTTAACTAGCTGACCCGGCGAACTTTGTTCCGCCTTAATGGCAATAAATGAGCAGACTTTTTTTTTATTTCGAACGGGATAAAAAGTATCCTATGTCCTTCTCCTGGCTCTAAACTACCTCCCTGACAATTTTCAGCTAAATCGTTTCAGCCGTTCTTGAGTTATAAGTGGAGTAACTAACACGACTTTCTTTTATATATATAGATTAAACTTCATTTAAAATAATCAATTACTGAAGAAAATACACCTGTTTTAAGTTGTAGAGTCCCTGCCCAGAGTTAGTTCTATAACTGAATTTAGGGCATCCATTTTTTTTCTGAATTTGGGAAATAAACTAAAGAGTATGAACAATAAGTCTATTTATAATGCAAACAGCTAGTGGCTGGAATTCGCTGCCTGCTCTTTCCCGAAGACTATAATCCAGGCCTTTTCAAGGCGAGAGTGAATAGGCACTTACAGGGCAGATATGCACCATCCTAGACTGCGTCCCACTTAACACCAGGTGCGATTGTGGTCAACCTGCCTTGTTATGTATAAAAAAATTTGTGTATTTGTCTTCCAATCTTGTATAGTCTGGTCCGGGAGCACGTAGAATTTTGTCCAATGACCCCAAGCTTATCGCTCGCGCGTAATTATGTTGCTGTCGCGCTCGCACACTCACTGCGAGCGCCGATCGCACAGTCGCGACAGCAATATAATTACGCGCGAGGGATAAGGATGGGTAGCTTGGGGTCATGGGACAAAATTCTACGTGCTCCCGGACCAGACTATAGTCACAAGTTATTTATCTTTTCCATTAACCTTTTGTATGCTGTGGGCGTATCTGTGGCAATTATTTTTATCTTGAAACTAATTTTAGAATTCAAGAAGTTAGTACTCTTGCTTAAAAAAGCTTATTTCTTAGCCAAGCTGCTAATATCTTAGTCAGACTACTGATAAAATTAAATAGTTTAATATTAAACTGTCATTAACTCTAACTACCTTCTTATCATTCAGTGTGCAGGCCAAACGATGAATGCAATAAGTAATTTTATTTATGAATAGAACTGTAGTCAGGACAACATTTCAAATCTTTATTTCATGCAATGTCTATATTTTTCGTTTGGATATTAGATAATATGATTATCTGTTTTGGACAGTTGTTCAGTAATAAGTTTATCTATAACCATGACTCACTGAGACCTAGCCATGGTTATTCCTATGGTTTTACCTCTAACAGCTGCTTTATCTTTCCATCTTGCTTGAAAGCACTGAGTTTACCTCCTTTATTGTTTTTTTACAAACAAATTATTGTTTTTTATCTGTTTACACATTACTGTTGTAATGCGCGGTGGCCAGATGTCAGACTGTGTATTTTTGTATAATAGTTCTTATTGCAACCATATAAGACAGGCTGTTTTATTTGAAGAGATATTATCTATTTATTTTTTATTTTATCTACTCTATACAGTACAAGGTAGATTAAGGTAATCCTTAAATCTGTGATTTAAAGATAAAAGTTTTATTATGTCACATTTATTACTACGGTTTTTTTGAAAAGACTATTCTTTCTCTTGATATATCCTGCAATCAGTAAGAAGACTATCGCCCGTATCACAAACAATGCTTGCTTAATTGAAGCAGGAAATCGAACGCACAGCGTTTAATAGAGCTCTATGATTGGTTTGTGTGTCATTCTGTGCGTCCACGCGCACTGTGAGACCTCATAGTAATGTGTGTGAATACGGGCATATGAGTAGATTTGTTCCGTGATTATAGGTGACTAGCTGCCGCCCGCGACTTCGTATGCGTGGACCCCGTTTTACCCCCTTAGGGGTGGAGTTTCGTAAAATCTGTTCTTAGCGGATATCTACACCCTATGTGGCTATGTAAAGAACCTACGTGACAAATTTCAAGTTTGTAGGTTTTATAGTTTCTTAGATTTCGTGATTAGTGAGTCAGTCAATGACCTTTCGCTTTTAAAATATACTAGCGGCCGCGCCTGCGACTTCGTACGCGTGGATCCCGTTTTAGGGGCTGAATTTTCAAAAACCCTTCTTAGTGAGGAGAACCTACATTCTAAAAGGAACCCCCATGCAAAGTTTGAGACTCCCTTGTATTTTCTGAGATTTCGTGATGAGTGAGTCAGTCAATCAGTGACCTTTCACTTTTATAGATATGTATTTTGTTGTTGCTCACTCACTTGGTGGTAAATTGCATTATGATGACAGAATGTGGAGTCATTTAGTGACAAACTAGTTTATCTTTCTTTAACAAGGAAATGAGTTTGGCCCATTAATTGATGCATCCATTATGTGATAATATATTATCTACAGTGTACACTTACTACACGAACTAAAGTCGCTGACATAGCCCGACGGATTAGCAAGCTGAAGTGGCAATGGGCAGGGCAGTACGCAGAACTGACGGCCGATGGGGCAGCAAGGTTCTGGAATGGAGGCCGCGTACCGGAAAACAGAGCGTGAGACGTCCACCTACAAGGTGGACCGATGACATCGTAAAGGTAGCAGGGAAGCGCTGGACGCAGGCCGCTACCAATCGATCAACATGGAAAGAATTGGGGGAGGCCTATGTTCAGCAGTGGACGTCCTATGGCTGAAATGATGATGATAATGACAGTGTACACTTTAAAAATAATGTTATTTCTAGTTAGGTGCCTCACAGAACGAACCTAAAAACAACAATTTCATTTCAAATTCATTATCGTTTATTAGAAACTTTCAATTATTGTAAAACACTAAAAACCTTGGATAGTTTTATTTTTACAAATAAGCACGAAGCAACTGCAGTCTACTTGACCATGACCGGCTGGGTTGGCCTTGGGCGAACATCGTTAGCCGCGGAAGAATGTCCAATTTTAGGACAATTACTTGCGGCTCTGTTTCATTGGGCAATTTGGGCACGAAAGACATCGGGTTTTAGTGGGTAGGCCCATGGAAGGAAGAGTTCCACATAACTCACTGACCGTCGCCATCGGCCAGTGGATATGCGCAAAGCATTTTCCGACGAAAAAAAGGGATAACACCCGGAATAACGTATAATTAGAAGTATTTTCCCCAACAGCCAGACAGTTTTGACAGTTCCAACTCCTTGCCAAACAGTTTTTTTAGGGTAGCTCCCAAAGCCACCAAGACCCAAACTTCATAATTCACCAACATTATATCCTATTGGGAGCATAATTATGCTGACAAACTTTCAGCTTTTATAAAATGAAGTAGGTCTGGCGTTCACTAGCTCTTAGTCTACTATGTTTAGCAGTGGACGTCCTTTGGCTGGGATGATGATGATGATGGTGATGACCCATATGACCCAATAATGTGATGTTTAGATAGATAGATGGGTACATAAATACAACTGACTGACTAACACTGACTCTGTTCGCGCGATAAAACGCGGGAGATAGCACGGACGCATAGCATGATGCAGTGTTCTGTGAGGGAGACTAACGTCCAGTCCAGCTAGGTTAGGCTACTGGACCAGCGCCTTATTCACGTAACAAAACTTAACGACAACAAAACACTAAGTTGCGTTCCTATCGCGTAATCGTTCTATCAAAATGACCCTTGTGAATACGGATTTAGAACTGTTTTTCAATAGGACGACTTCTGAACGTTACCGAGATCTTGACTGTCAAAATACGTGAATTAGGCCACGGTAATTTATCGACGATACGATAAGTCCATACATTTGTCATCTAATGTCGTCTAAAATTGACGATACGAATGGCGCGCATTCTAGGCAAGAATCAGTGGACTGTCATAAGCTGAAAGTTGTTGATGACGATGAGCAATAATAGGCTAGATGACAAAATTTCAATTATTTGTCCGTCAGACAGATTATTAGAAAACTAGCGGCCGCCCGCGACTTCGTACGTGTGGACCTCGTATATTATGTTGATCTGGGTTATAACCTCGTAAGTCCCCGCGTACTTGTACAAGTACATATTAAGGATAGTAGTTCAGACCTGACATTTAAACTACATAGCAAGAGTAACTGCCGAATGTACTTACCCAAGTACAAATCTTTCATTCCCCATTTACCGGGTAGTTTTTTTACAATGGCAAAAATGATATGACCATACTCATTCAATACTCTATGGTCAATTCCGCCATGTTAGACAGGTAACGTCAACTGTCAGTGTCAGTGTCATTTTTTCGCAAAATGGTCACGGGGTCGGATTGCCGGCTGGCACGAGGATAGTTTATCTGTTTATATCAAAGTAATCTTTGGTTTTTTGTCTTGTTTTTTAAATGTATCAGTAAATATAAATTATAGTTTTTGTAAATTAAACAAAATTTAAAAAGAAACTTAGTATTTTATGAGGTTCATGGTCGGTCAAAATAATTTGTACTTGATATAGTACGTTAGGCATTTGTTACCCAAAAAATTGTATGAAATTTGTATTAGGTATGAAATTAGCGTTTTTTTTTCTTCAATGTTCATTACTATGTAATTTCTTTCATAGTATAGCTATGTCCATCATTCTTTTATTATTTGAAATTTGACTTCAAGAGCTTACTTTTACGTATAAAATGCTAAACTTAATTTGNGGTGGGAACGAAAAGTTACGGGACTATCCCTCCCGTGACCATACTTCATAAGGGGTTCAAAATAAAAATTTCAAATTATTTTTTAAACTCGAAGTTCTCGAGTGGCGACCACGGGCCGGAAGACGTACTTAGTGTGGGCAGGCCCCCATTAGGTGGACCGATGACCTCATAAAGGTAACAGGAAGGCGCTGGATGCAGGCCGCTACTAACCGAGAGATGTGGAAATCATTGGGGGAGGCCTTTGTTCAGCAGTGGACGTCCTGTGGCTGAAATGATGATGATGATTTAATAATCTATAGCTTTATTGATTGATCCTCCTTAGGACAAACCCTTGCAAGTTTATTAAGCTGTGAGCCAGCAGTCTGGCCAGCGTGGGGAGTGTAGACCAAATCCTCCATTTGCCTCTGGTAAATTAGAGAGGGTCGTGCTCGTGCCAGGGTGGATAAAAATCACGATTTTTTTATTTTAATCAAAAAAATCAGATTTTTTTAAAAAAATCACGATTTTTTTGATTAATTTGATTTTTTTTGATTTTTATTAGGTTCTGCGATCATTTCTTTAGTTTTTTTACGGAATACATTTTTATTTACGTAGAATTGATGTATGGAGCAGGCAACACCGCCAAAAAAAATTAATTATGTGGTTAAATTAAAAATCGCAAATGTGATTGTATAAAAAAATTAAAATTTTCAGATTCTCCATACAAAACGACAATTTCATACATTAACACCTAATATTAACATTGTTTTCGAACATTACAGTTGATTAATATTAACTCCCAGCCTTTCATTAATTCCATTTTCGGTCATTGATTTAAATCAATGATTTTTATTAAAAAAATCATGTAATAAAAATCGTGATTTAAATCATGATTTAAATCAACTTGATTTAAATCATGCAACCCTGGCTCGTGCTCCTACAATAGATATTAAATGCCCGTGTTCACAAATGTTACTATGAGGTCTCATAGTGCGCGTGGACGCACAGGGTTACACACGAACCAATCACACACCCTATTCAACGCTGTGCGTTCGATTTGCTGAACATACGCAAGCATCGTTTGTGAATACATGCGTAAATGGCCTCATGATGGTGAATCATAAATGTGTGGACGTGACATATCATACTTTTATTGTCAAGTTTTGTATGTTATATGCGCAGAAAACACAATTGACTTTGAATTATCACTTCCATACTAGTAAAATGGCCTTCGAGCGACGTATAATATTATTAGGATTCTCAATTCGTTATAATAACGTAGATGTCATGGTTCGGTCCTTATGTGGTTACTGCAATGTCAATAATATTAAATGAAACCAGTTAAAATGCGCTGTATCACATATCACCAAATGTTAGGACCTATAGCAGGGTTTCCCAATTTTTTTTTGTTAAGGAACCCTAATTGATTATACTTTTCCTAGCGGAACCCCCGTACTACTCCGCCCGCACGCCCTGCCCCTCCCTTGTGCGTAAACAAGTCGGTGCGAGCGAACAACGTAGGTCACGAAACGTGGGATAATATTTTTTACGGAACCCTTGCTGCCTTTCCACGGAACCCCAGGGTTCCGCGGACGACCACCAGGTGCGATTGCGGTCAAATACCTGCCTTGGCTAGCATAAAAAAAAACCATTAGGGAACTGCTGACCTATAGTAATCATAAGATATTCAAGGCACAATTTAGGCGGTCTTCCCACTGCTGGACAAAGGATTCCCCCAAGGATTTCTACAACGATCGGTCCTGCGCTGTCCGCTTCCCCAGATCGTCGGTCCATCTAGTAGGATGCCTGCTCAGCGTTCATACTACGTCTGCAGAACCGTAGTCGCTATTTGAGTATTTTTCTGCCCTGACGGTCATCAGCTCTAAGAGCTATGTGCCCTGCCCACTGCCATTTGAGTTTAGCAATAGGGAAACTTCGAGCATAGCATAGCAGATATTTTGTGGTATTATAAGTAGGGTAAACCAGAGAGTGATTGCCCACTGGTAGTGATTGCCCGCTTTAAGAATAATATTGTCAGGTGCCGACTTTGAATCACTCTAGTTAGATTTGAATTTACTAAGTAGATGGCTCCGAGATCAATGTACAGTAGATTTAAAATTTATAACAGGAAACACTTAAAAAAAACAGTTAAGGCGGATTTTGTCAAGACGGGTGAAAATGTTACTCAAACAGGTAAAGACTTTAACAATTTTACTAAGGAATTACTTGCTTAGAGGTTAAATTTTTTTTGCAAGTTATTTAATATTCAAGTAATGGTGTATAGTCATGATGAAATTATAAGTGTTTTCTCCATTATCAATGAAAATAACTGATGAAATTTGATTTCTAACGGTCATTTTAAGGGTGGGTAATCACTGCACGTAAATCAGTATATTTTTAGTTATTGCCCACCATCATTTCAGTTATTGCCATATGTTAATGTATAGTTATTGCCCAGGGCAATTATTATTAGAGTGTTGCCACCATGCAGTAGCAGTGTTTAAGTTGCTCATTGCTAGACTTGTTTTGCAATTTACAGGCATAAATATTGAAATGGCTTTTAATGTTTCATTTTCAGTATGCCAAAGACTCCAAAAGTTCAATATAGCATAGAAAATTTGCAAAAAGCGATCGAAGCTGTACAAGATGTATCCAACAATTTATCTACAAGATGAATTGCTGAAAAATATGGTTTGGCTTGAAAAAATTGATAAAAATTCAAACGCAAATACAAAAAATTAAAATCCTACGTTAAATCTACTAGTGAAAATGTTAATTGTAAGGAAATAGATACAACTTTAGGGATAAATAACCAACAGCTAATTGAACATTCTGAGTAACCACTTGAACTGATATCAAAGAAGATAAAAAAATAAATACATATATAATTTACATATAAATTTCAAATTTTTGCGTCATCTATGTTTTGAAGTAGATGATTCTGTCTCTACCGATTCTGGCTCAAGAAATATTTGATAATATGTTAATAAGGCCAAACACAATTTATTTTGAAATGTTGAAGACTGTACTACTAGAATTTAAGTTTAATGTTTTGTTTTGTTTATTTAAAGCCTATTTTGTTATTTTAAAATTGATTATTTTGTTTTAAGATACTGGGCAATTACTGTGCTTTGATGTGGGCAATTAGTGTAAGTAATGGGCAATGACTGTACTTTTTGGAGGATTTTAAATTTATTTCAATATTTTCTAAGTTACGTAAGTTTTAACTAAAAACTGTTAATATTCTATTTAACAGTTTATTGAGTTATAAGAAAAAAGTCATAAATGGTCGATACTTAAAATACTTTCTTTAATTTTTCATTTCAATGTGTTTGAAATCTTTAAGTGGGCAATAGCTATACGGTTTACCCTACGTTTATATTCTTTTTCTAGTACACATAGGACAAGCTTTGCTAAGTTTAGGGGTTTCTGGGACGTGTAAAAGTGCTTTTTAATAGTCTACTTGCAAAATTTTATGAGTCGAGTCCAAGGTTAATTTATTTAATCTTTATTTCCAGGTAATACCATGCCTGTACCCGCTTCCGGGGGGCATGTATCCCGGCCGCATGATCCGCGTCCAGGGTAACGTGCCGCCAGGCGCCCAGAGGTAAGGTATTAACCCGGCGAGGATGTGGAGGGGTCAATTTGACCCCGCCCTTCATATTTTAGCTGGAGTAATTGAACTCTGCTCCCCTTTGCATGCCACTAGTGAGTCGACCGTCGCTGGTGAAATAACATAGACGTGCGCAAACGTAAAAATGACGAAATTTTGCCCAAAACACATTGCTCTATTTTGTTAACAATGAGCTGATTTGTACCTTAGAACTTTAATGATACAAGATATTGATTATCGCCGCTTGGGGTTTGATGGGTTAAAAACTGACTGTTAAACGCTAGACTTATACACTCGCGAGCAAAAGTATGGAATCACTTACATGAAGTTGTTTCCACGCGATCTTGTGTACTAACGAATTTGTTAGGAACAAAAAAAGTGGCACCATTTTAAAGATTAAACTTTTATCTTTAAATTGATACCAAATTCATTTAAATCACACCAGTATTTAAAAAGATATCCCGGCTGATGTGAAGAAGTAACGAAAAAGCCATGTATGAACTGTTTGCGAGGTGCTGCCTATTTACCCCCTAAAGATAAAAGTTTAATCTTTAAAATGGTGCCACTTTTTTGTTACTAACAAATTCGTTAGTACACAAGTTCGCGTTGAAACAACTTCATGTAAGTGATTCCATAGTTTTGCTCGCAAGTGTAGCTTCTGAGCCAGAAGTGGACAGTCTGGCTTAGAAAAGGACAGTCGGGTCCAGAAGCAGCCAGTCAGGCCCAGTGTTCCAAACCAATACCTACATGTTTAGCGCCATCTCCATAAACAGTTGTAAAGCGCCATCTATGGTTCTTCTCACTTTCTTACCGAACTAACTAGAGCAGCGGTTCCCAAACTTATTTAGTCTACTGCCCACTTTGAGAATAAATTATTTTTTAGCGCCCCCATTTTTGTAGTCAAGAGTCGAGCTCAGTCGGTGTCCACGAGTCCTCCTAGTAGATGACGCCTCCCAAGCCTCTACACAACGTCCCGATTTTTTTTTCTGGGTCTCTTACCTTAACGGGGGGCCCTTTAAGCCTGCAGCGCCCACAAGGGGGCGTTATCGCCCACTTTGGGAAAGACTGAACTAGAGTAACGAACTAATTCATATAAAGAACCATAGATGGCGCTACACGTTACGTCCGTGTTGCTTGCACGGCCATTTACTTACACATTCCCTTTCCAACCACTGTCTGAAAACTACTGCGTGTAAAAACTGTGAAATACAAACCCCTTTAGCAACAAAAGTCTCCTGACTTTTTCTGCAACATCCAGCTAAATCAGTTTTTTAGTCAAGGACCCCACGCTTTAGGCCTCAGCCTCGAACTTAGCGGGCAGCGGCGCGGGAGCGGCGGCGGGGCGGGAGCGGCAGGATCTTATGCGTAAAATCAAATAGACCGGTTCTCGAAAACAGCGGCGCGGCAGCGGCGCCGGANGTACAGTCAGCGTCAAATAGTTCGTGACACTCAAAGTGGCCAAAAGGAAGTCAACACAACCTTCATCATTTTAGCCATAGGATGACCAATTGTCCACTGCTGAACATGATTTAAACAAAAGGCCGGTTGGTGGCGGCCCGCATACGACAAACACAACCTTATTTCCATTGTAATAAAGACTACTACTTTGGCTGCTGTACTATTTATCGCTGAGTAAAACCAGGCGATATCGGCAGACGGAGCTGCTTTTCGTGGCGTTCTCGTGCCGGCACTTTGCCGCTTTATCTCGTCAGGTGGCGCATTGTCGAATCGATCGCTGAGAATAGTTGTCAATCGTATACGTTGTCGTTTCGCCGGGTGAAAGTTGAGGCGAACGAGGTTGCTATCCTTCGGAACTACTCAACCTTCACTAGTATCAGTTTTAAAAATGATACATTACAATTATGAAGAAAATTAAATATAGTTTTGACTGATTTATTAAAATTGTGTTCCGTAATAAACTGGTGCCATCATTTTACAATACATATGTGCTTTTTTTTTTCAGAATAAAACTATGCTGGGCTCTTACATCCAGCAGAGTATATTTGGTGCTAATACTCCCCTTCCCGCTGTGCTATCGTTTTATCAGCAGCAGAGACAACCCTACAAATTACCCGTGAGTATTGCAGTGGTGGCAGCGATTGGTTGTGTTAAAGTGAATGATTTTGTTTTGGCTCGATTTGATTCCATTACGTTTTCCAATATGTGAATTGCGAATTCATCTAACGCACATAACAGTTGGATTATAGTAGTTGTAAATGGCACTTGCTGCTTATTTCATCGCTCAGAATTTACCCACAAAATTTAGATAAATGAGAATCAATTTTCTGTACATTCCCAAAAAAAAAAAACGTATATTCATAAGTAAAGACCTAATAATATCCAGCAGATAAAGATCCTCTACACAGGAGTTGCAGCGGCGGGAACGAGAGGTGGGAATATTCCCGTAGTGTGTCCTGGGCTTCATCATCATCATCATCATCTCAGCCATAGGACGTCCATTGCTGAACATAGGCCTCCCCCAAAAGCTTTCCATGTTGCCCGGTTGGTAGCGGCCTGCGTCCAGCGCTTTCCTGCTACCTTTATGAGGTCGTCGGTCCACCTTGTGGGAGGACGTCGCACGCTGCGTTTTCCGGTTCTTTACGAGATCGAATCGGAAATGAGGAGATCCGTAAACGAACTAAAGTCGCTGACATATCCCGACGGATTAGCAAGCTGAAGTGACAGGGCCCATAGTAGGCAGAACTAACTGCCGATACGGCGGCAAAGTTCTGGAGTGGAGGCCTGGGCTTAATACGTTTGTTTTTTATCCCCAACGGGGAAGCTCTTGGCTTGTATCTCACCTGATGGTAAGTGATGATCAGGCCGAAGGTGGAAGCGAGCTTCACCCGGAATCCTCAACCACAGAGGAACTTTTTATCTTACCTCTAACTGTCAGAACACAACAATGCTGTTAGCATTGTTGTTAAGGTGGCAGCCTTAGGTAATTTGGTGGTAGCTAGCCAGGCGGACTTGGAACAAGCCCTACCACCAACCAAACCGAACAGAAAAATCTGCCCCTACTGGGAATCGAACCCGGGACCTCTGCGTCTAGGGTTGCCAGGTCCAAAGACACAAAAGCCGGACTTTGTACTTCACTTGGCCAGACATTTAATTTTTACCCTAGCTCACGAATGAGTACCTACTATCATCATCGGTTGCCCTGCGCTTGATATTATTCTGTGGCTCGACTTTCGCCTGGCGCGGCATCCACTTAAAAGCCTAACAAAAGCCGGACAGGCTGGACGAGACAATATTTGGCCGGCCAAGACCGTAAAAAGCCAAACATGTGCGGCAAAAGCCGGACCTGGCAACCCTATCTGCGTCTGAAGCAGGTGGTCTAACCACTAGACCGTCTAGGCCAGGGTTTCCCAATTTTTTTTTGCCAAGGAACCCTACTAGGATTATACTTTTCCTAGCGGAACCCCCGTACTACTCCGCCCGCACGCCCTGCGAGGGGCAGGTACTTGTGCGTAAACAAGTCGGTGCGAGCGAACAACGTCGGTCACGAAACGTGGGATAATAATTTTTACGGAACCCTTGCGGCCTTTCCATGAACCCCAGGGTTCCGCGGACCACCATTCGGGAACCGCTGGTCTAGGCGATTAACGCGGTATTTCTAAATCGCAGGAGATGGACGAGACGAGCGACGAGGACGACGAGCCCGAAGCGGGCCCGGCGCGGCCAGTGCGGGCCGGCGCCGGGCTCGCCGGCGTGGGCTCCTCGCTGGAGGCCAGCGCGCTCGGCCTGGCGCCCGCCGCGCCCAGCGCCGCCTACGACGAGCCGCGCGACATGTCCGTCAGCACGCTGCACCTGTACGANTGAATAGCCCAGAAAGAGAAATTAGTTTTTTCAAAGGCCTTAATATGGCTTTTTGTAACCTTTTGGACTTTAAATAAAAGCCGTCATTATAATAAGCCATTTTATTGATGTTTACCTTAAAGATTAATGTATTTCATTTTATTAATAGGAAATTGTCGTAGTTTTTTAATATCCGGTATCCGGCCGGATAGTGAGTTACTATCCGGTATCCGGCCGGATAGTAAATTAAGGCCGGATATCCGGCCTACCGGATAGTTACCGGATATCCGTTTCATCTCTACTGTAGATCCTGGCTACACAGGAGTTGCAGCGGTGGGAACTAGAGGTGGGAATAGTCCCATGTCATACTTCATAAGGGGTTCAAAATAAAAACTAGTGTCAAATTATTTTTCTCGAGCGGCGACCACGGGCCGGAAGACGTACTTGTGTAGTGTGGGCAGGCCCCCATTAGGTGGACCGACGACCTCATAAAGGTAACAGGAAGCCGCTGGATGCAGGCCGCTACCAACCGGGCGATGTGGAAATCATTAGTGGAGGCCTATGTTCAGCAGTGGACGTCCTGTGGCTGAAATGATGATGAAAATAATCTATAGCTTTATTGATCCTTCTTAGGAAAATAATTCATTGTGTAAACTCGTCGAAATATTCAAGTTTATTAACGCTGTGAGCCAACCGTCTTGCCATCGTGGGGAGGCTTATTCCACTATTCCCCGTTGACAATCCCCGTCAACGGGGATTAGTGAACTTTTTGTTCACTATTCCCCGTTATATTAGGATTTTATTTTAAACATTATAAGCTCCAATTGGCGTTAACGGGGATCAGTGAACAAAAACTTCACTATTCCCCGTTGACGGGGATTGTCAACGGGGAATAGTGGAATAAGCCCTTGGGGAGTATATGCCAAATCCTCCATTTGTCTCTGGTAAATTAGAGAGGGTCGTACCCCTTGTAGAAACAAACGCCCGTATTCACAAACGTTACTCTGAGGTCTCACAGTGCGCGTGGACGCAAGGGTTACACACGAACCAATCACAGAGCTATTCAACGCTGTGCGTTCGATTTGCTGAACATAAGCAAGCATCGTTTGTGAATACGGGCGTAAATGCCCTCATGATGGTGAATCATAAATGTGTGGACGTGACATATACTTTTATTGTCAAGTATTGTATGTTATATGCGCAGAAAACACAATTGACTTGAATTATCACTTCCATACTAGTAAAATGGCCTTCGAGCGACGTATAATATTATTAGGATTTTCAATTCGTTATAATAACGTAGATGTCATGGTTCGGTCCTTATGTGGTTACTGCAATGTCAATAATATTAAATGAAACCAGTTAAAATCGTTTTCGCGCAATTGGTCAAATTCGCAATTGGTCCAATCGTGAAAAATTTACAAATTCGCGATTAGTCCAATTCGCGATTGGTCCAATTCGTAATTGGTCCAAAATAAAACGATATCCAAAATGAAATAAATAAGGAGGTTATACCCGCCCGTCTAAACTCGTCTAAATCGGCCGACGAAAAATTGATGGTCTGCGCCTAGGCTAAATGTGCTTTTTTAAAGTGTACTTGCAAAAATAAAATGAGTTTTATGAGTCGAGTCTAAGGTTAATTTTTTTTATTGTTTCCAGGTAATACCATGCTTGTACCCGCTCCCGGGGGGCATGTATCCCGGCCGCATGATCCGCGTCCAGGGTAACGTGCCGCCAGGTGCCCAGAGGTAAGCAGTACCTTAAGATTACCAGCCTGATGACAAATTATGCAAAAGGGACATAATACGCGAACATCGGGCCTCTCCACTCCAGCCCATCTGTCTAGCTGCTAGCGTAAGCAAATCCTCCATTTGCTTCTGATTAGCAAAAGGGTTATAGATCGTTTCATTCACGAAGACGCGCCCCACCATTGCATTCTTCCGCTAATGTTTGAGTGTCATCGGTACACGTTAAATTATCCATGCTCACGCACACTACAATAATGCCGCTCGTATTGCTCGGATCAAACTCCCCGCACCCCGCGCGACCGAGACCAAACATTGGTGGGGCGCGTCTTCTTGGATGAAACGATCTATACTAACTTGAAGGTGAACAGTCACAGTCAAATCTTGACTCCTACAGTCAAGTCTCTAAAATAAAGATGATGAGGTGTTCCTAAGGGCTTTTCAATCGTCAGATATCTTTTAACTGAAGAATAAACTTGTCATTTTGACACATTTCCCATACTAAAACTGTCAATGTGGTAAACTTATAAAAGATATCTGAGGGCTTAGTGTGAGTATACATCAAACGTGTGTGAGCGCGATAAAATATATATGAAGATTTTAGTTCTTGAAAGTTTCCGCTAGGAGCGCTGTACAATCGGTCATACATTTAATGTCACTTTTTTGCGCGACATCGAATGCGTTTGACGTACTCACACACTAAACGCCCCCTGACGATTGATAAACAAGCCCTAAAAAAATTATTGTTGACACTACATTAATAGTGCCTTTCGTGTAGAATAAACCACTTTGGTGATGACAGAAGGGGCTCTGCAGTTTAATCATTATTCTTTGATGAAGATAATGAACCTTCTCCACCAGATTCGCCATCAACCTCCAATGCGGACCCAACACGGATCCCCGCGACGACATCGCTCTCCACTTGAACTTTCGCTTCGTGGAGATGTGCGTGGTCCGCAACCACCTGTCCTCGATGGAGTGGGGGGTTGAGGAGACTGATGGGGGAATACCGATCAGGAGGGGGGAGCCGTTTGAGGCGCTGCTGCTGTGTGAGCCTCAGTCTATCAAGGTTAGTCCATAGGGTACGGGACTTATCTCACCACACTTTCCCTGTATAGCCAGGATCTACAGCTTAGCCTCCAGTGTAACCCAACCAAAACCAAGTGCAGGTTGAGTGGTCCATAGGGTGGTTGTTACAGCAATGAGGGTTTCTTAATTAGCGCCACTGGCGAGTGACGTCCTGCCACTTGTGATTGAGACAATGACACTGACTGGTGAAACCTGAAGTTGTAGGACCATCACATTTGCAATGAATCACCAGGGTGGCGCCACTGTTTTAGCCACTGGCAAATGATAGGACCTTACTCTACAGTGGCGCCAATTTAGTTACTCCAAAATGACCTTCCTCCTACCGCTTCAGCGCTCTCCAGATGGCTCCATTGTCTTAGCTACAAGCAACTTAATGACAGGACCTCACTTAGTGACGTCAACTGACAGTAAAGATGTGCGTGGTCCGCAACCACCTGTCCTCGATGGAGTGGGGGGTCGAAGAGACTGATGGGGGGATTCCTATAAGGAGGGGGGAGCCGTTTGAGGCGCTGCTGCTATGCGAGCCTCAATCTATCAAGGTCAGTCCATAGGGCAGTTCATAACAGCAAGTCTACTCCGTACGTAGCTTCGGATATACCTGTTGCCGACACTCATGCTGGCATCTGGCTTGGCGTGAGAGAGACGGCAATATTGACACTTTGGATGACGTTTTTGGGAGTAACCCCGCAGCTAACAACACTGTTTTGTTCTAAAGCAAGGAACAGGACCCTACTTGACAGTGGCGCCGACCTGGTGACTGGTGCCTGATGACATTAGAAACCATTATTGGCGCTACTGTCTGAGCTACAGGCAAGTGATGGAGCGCTTACCTTACTCTACGGTGGCGTCATCCTAGTGACTCCAAAATGATCTTCCTCCTACCGCTTCAGCACCTACCAATTGGTGCCACTGTCTTAGCTACAAAAATGACAGGACCTTACTCGCCAGTGGCGCAACCTTTTTCAGACTAAACGACCTTGACCTGATGAACAAATACCATTATCTCATTCCAGGTGGCCCTAAACGGCATCCATTTCTGCGAGTTCCTCCACCGGACTCCATTCCAGCGGATCACCCACATCACTGTCGATGGAGACGTGGCCGTCCAGTTCATAGGCTTTGAGGGAGCCGCGCCGCAGCAGCCGTATATGGTACGCCCCCAGTATCAACCATACCAGTATAGACCTTATAGGGTATGTCACTAACTAACCCATAGAATGCTGTCGATTTGTGGATTGGATTGTGTGTATGTTACTGTCGTGTAGTGCCATATTTGTCACTCGGCCGTCTGTGTCGTGCCATATTTGTCACTCGATTANCTAAAGCGCCGCGCGAGCTGCCAGCTGGTTTCGAGAACGGGTCTGCGTTGCCCGCCCCGCTCCCGCGCCGCCGCCGCTGCCGCCCCGCTGCCCGCTAAGTTCGAGGCCTTACACTTAAAGGCGGGTTAGAATCGCGCTGACAGCTCGCTGATCGTCGGCGCTGACAGATCAATATGTATGTAATTAAGAGAACGTTCCTGAGTGACGCTGATCGCTCGGCGCCGACGCTTCATATATTACGGCTTACGGTGTGATTCTAAAACCAGCCTAAGACAAAAATGGTAGGAATGTAGGGACATACCATTGCCAGATGGCAGCTCCCCTGCCAAACTTCCCCTGTATGCGTTGCCTGAGCGCGCTTTGTATGTAGATTGTCATTTGTTACTATCTATTCTGGTTATTTTGTGATGCTGATGATGGTACCTTCCCCATCAGGTTCGCCATCAACCTCCAATGCGGACCCAACACGGATCCCCGCGACGACATCGCTCTCCACCTGAACTTTCGCTTCGTGGAGATGTGCGTGGTCCGCAACCACTTGTCCTCGATGGAGTGGGGAGTTGAGGAAACCGATGGGGGAATACCGATCAGGAGGGGAGAGCCGTTTGAGGCGCTGCTGCTGTGCGAGCCTCAGTCTATCAAGGTTAGTCTATAGGGTAGTTCATACCAGCGAGGCTACTCCGTACGTACTACGTAGTCTGTTACCGTCACTCATGCTGGCATCTGGCTTGGCGTCAGAGAGACGGCAATATTGACACTTCGGATGACGTTTTTGTGAGTAACCCCGCAGCTGACAACACTGTTTTATTCTAAAGCAAGGAACAGGACCCTACTTGACAGTGGCGCGACCTGGTGACTGGTGCCTGGTGACATTAAAAACCATTATCGGCGCCACTGTCTGAGCTACAAGCAAGTGATAGAGCGCTTACCTTACTCTACGGTAGCGTCATCCTAGTGACTCCAAAATGACCTTCTTCCTACCGTCTCAGAGCTCACCAGTTCACCAGACGGCTGCACTGTCTTAGATACAAGCAACTTAATGATAGGACCTCACTTAGTGACGTCAACTGACAGTAAAGATGTGCGTGGTCCGCAACCACCTGTCTTCGATGGAGTGGGGGGTGGAGGAAACCGATGGGGGTATACCGATCAGGAGGGGGGAGCCTTTTGAGGCGCTGCTGCTGTGTGAGCCTCAGTCTATCAAGGTTAGTAAAAAAAACTCATAAAAACTCATTTATTTTTGCAAATAGGCTTTGAAAAAGCACTTTTACAAGTCTGTTGGGTAGTTCATACCAGCAAGGGTACTCCGTACGTAGCTTCGGGTATATCTGTTACCGTCACTCATGCTGGCATCTGGCTTGGCGTCAGAGAGACGGCAATATTGACACTTCTGATGACGTTTTTGTGAGTAACAACCCCGCAGCTGACAACACTGTTTTATTCTAAAGCAAGGAACAGGACCCTACTTGACAGTGGCGCGACCTGGTGACTGGTGCCTGGTGACATTAGAAACCATTATTGGCGCCACTGTCTGAGCTACAGGCAAGTGATGGAGCGCTAACCTTACTCTACGGTGGCGTCATCCTAGTGACTCCAAAATGACCTTCCTCCTACCAGTACAGCCCTTACCAGTTTTTTTTTGTCCACAACGAGGAAGCTCTTGGCCTGTATCTCACCTGATGGTAAGTGATGATCAGGCCGAAGGTGGAAGCGAGCTTCACCCGGAATCCTCAATCACAGAGGAACTGGCTATCACTCTTGGTTGGTTGGTGCCACTGTCTTAGCTACAAAAGTGACAAGACCTCACTCGCCAGTGACGTCAGCTGACAGTAAAGATGTGCGTGGTCCGCAACCACCTGTCCTCGATGGAGTGGGGGGTCGAGGAGACTGATGGGGGGATACCGATCAGGAGGGGGGAGCCGTTTGAGGCGCTGCTGCTGTGTGAGCCTCAGTCTATCAAGGTCAGTCTGTAGGGTAGTTGGTTGGCCCTTTTTTGGCGGTCAAGCTGTAGATCTTGGATACACAGGAGTGTTTGAATAGTCCCGTTAGGTGCGAGCCGCAGTCTATCAAGGTCAGTTGTAGGACTATTCCCACCTGTAGGAAAGAGACCCACCGCTGCAACTCCTGTGTAGCCAGGATCTACAGCTTCACCGCCAATAACAGCCCAACTAATGAAGGTCAAGTTTGTTCCGTGAGAAAGCTGCTGTTATTGGAGGTTAGTAAGTAGCGTAATTAGGTTAGAACCTTACTCTACAGTGTGCAGTGGCGGCAACTGGAGATAGAAGAGATGGATCTCTTCTTTGTCGCTAAAACATTGGCGTAATCTAGTTAAAGTTGAAGCGGTAGAAACTGTCGCATTTGCAATCAAGCACCAGAATGTCGCCACTGTAGAATAAGGTCCTGTCACTTGCTTGTAGTAAGCACTGAAGCGGTACGAGGACTATGACATTTACTTGGCGCTACTGTAGAGTGAGGTCATGTTACTTGCCACTTTCTCAGTGTATCATACTTCATTCTTACTATCTTAGCCACAATACAAGAAAGTGACAGGACCTTACTCGCCAGTGGCGCAACCTTTTTCAGACTAAACGACCTAAAGCCTGATGAACAAATACCATTATAGTGTTTTTTGTTTGTTTACTCTTTTATGATTGCCTTGTTTTTCTTCTTCTCTTCCTGTACATTGCACCCCCCTTGCTGACAACAGAGGGCCCGCTGAAAATCAGTTTCGAGACAAGCCCTGGCGCGGTCTTGATGTATGCTGAGCCTTTTTGTCAGAGGGGCACAAGCAGCTATCTGTCCATTTCTGTATCTCTTTCATTATGTACCTATGTCTTTCTTGCTTGTATGTCTTTCTTTCAAATAAAAACTATTCTATTCTATTCTATCATTCCAGGTGGCCCTAAACGGCATCCACTTCTGCGAGTTCCTCCACCGGACTCCGTTCCAGCGGATCACCCACATCACTGTCGACGGAGACGTGGCCGTCCAGTTCATAGGCTTTGAGGGAGCCGCGCCGCAGCAGCCGTATATGGTACGCCCCCAGTATCAACCATACCAGTATAGACCTTATAGGGTATGTCACTTACCAACCAATAGAATGGGTGTCTAGAATGGTGTCGATTTGTGGTTTGAAAACTATGTTGTGTGTGTTTGCATGTCAAATTTGTCACTCGGCCGTCTGAGAAGTGCCATATTTGTCACTCGGCCGTCTGAGTAGTGCCATAATTTTGTCACTCGGCCGTCTGAGTAGTGCCATATTTGTCACTCGGCCGTCAGAGTAGTTACATATTTGTCTCTCGGCCGTCAGAGTAGTGCCATATTTGTCACTCGGCCGGCAGAGTAGTGCCATATTTATCACTCGGTTATCTGATTAGTGCAGTCTCTGTCACACTTGAAACTATGATGTAGCATGCTATTGTTTCATTCGAACAGCGCCTTCTCTAACACAATGTGTCATTAGTATAGTTCCATCTCTGTCCCACTCACTAAAGTTACACAGCGCCGTCCAGTTCATAGGCTTCGAGGGCGCCGCGCCGCGGCAGCCGTATATGGTACGCACCCAGTGTCAACCATACCAGTATAGACCTTATAGGGTATGTCACTAACTAACCCATAGAATGCTGTCGATTTGTGGATTGGATTGTGTGTATGTTACTGTCGTGTAGTGCCATATTTGTCACTCGGCCGTCTGTGTCGTGCCATATTTGTCACTCGATTATCTGGTTAGCGCGGTCTATGTCACACTTGAACCATGCTGTTTCTTGTTTAAATTAGTGTCATGTCGCATGCTATTGTCTCACTCGAACAGCGCCGTCCCTCTCACAATATGTCATTATAGTAGTTTCGTCTCTTTCCCAAACCATAACAAATCATAGCATCCTTATCACATACAGCGAATAACACTACATTCTGTGATTTCTATAATGCCGACTCTGTTCCACTCTAAAGTCACATAGCCCCGTCTCCCTCGGTGACGTGGCGCACTAGCTTCCATCCTCTCATGTTGTCTCCGTCCCACTCACTAAAGTCACATAGCGCCGTCTCCCTCGGAGACGTGGCCGTCCAGTTCATAGGCTTTGAGGGAGCCGCGCCGCAGCAGCCGTATATGGTACGCCCCCAGTATCAACCATACCAGTATACAGCGTATAGGCCGTATAGGGTATGTCACTAACCAACCAATAGAATGGGTGATTAAAACTGTGTCGAGTTTGTGTTGTTGAATGTTGGAATGTTAACGTTTAGTGCCATATTTGTCACTCAGCCGTCTGAGAAGTGCCATATTTGTCATTCAGCCGTCTGAGAAGTGCCATATTTGTCACTCAGCCGTCTGGGAAGTGCCATATTTGTCACTCGGTTATCTGGTTAGCGCGGTCTCTATCATACTAGAAACTATATTATGACGTCTCTTTTTAAATTAGTACGGTGTCGCATGTTATTGTTTCATTTGAATAGCGCCTAACACAATGTGTCATTAGTAGTTCCATCTCTGTTCAACTCACTAAAGTCACATAGCGCCGTCCAGTTCATAGGCTTCGAAGGCGCCGCGCCGCAGCAGCCGTATATGGTACGCCCCCAGTATCAGCCATACCAGTATACAGCGTATAGGCCGTATAGGGTATTTCACTAACCAATCAATAGAATGGGTGATTAAAACTGTGTCGAATTTGTGTTGTTGAATGTTGGAATGTTAACGTTTAGTGCCATATTTGTCACTCAGCCGTCTGAGAAGTGCCATATTTGTCACTGTTGTATCTTGTTTAAATTAGTATGATATTGCATGCGATCGTTTCTCACTCGAATAGCGCCGTCTCTGTCACAATAATGTCATTATAGTCACTGACCTCTCATAATACACATTGGGCAGGCTGTCTCATACAAATGACAGCTGATTTTGTGTGCCAATTTAAAGCGCCACTACGATTGTCCCGAGAACTAATTTTGACGTACATTGTATGAAGTAACCATAAGAGTAAGCGAGAAAGAAAATCACTAAATTTAGTTCCATGGATAGTCGTATTTGGCTACAGTATAGCCTTTAGCGCCAAAATGGTGACACTCAAATAGGCACATAAATATTATGAATGCAGCCAGTCCAGTGTGTAATAATGTCAGTGCGTTATATATTTATTTAATGATAGTATACATCACAATATCAACTTATATTACAATCTATCATATAGATGACCTAAACTGAACTGTCCCACCAAACTCATTGACAGAGAGGCGCCACCATCGTTTAACTATACAGGGTATTAGGTAAATGGGTATATGAGCCGACACTAGCCCATGTTAACATAGGCATATCCCAACTAATATTATAAATGCGAAAGTAACTCTGTCTGTCTGTCTGTCTGTCTGTCTGTCTGTCTGTCTGTTACGCTTTCCCGCTCAAACCTCGCAACCGATTTTGATGAAATTCGGCATAGAGATAGTTTGAGTCCCGGGAAAGAACATAGGATAGTTTTTATCCCGGTTTTTGAAACAGGGACGCGCGCGATAAAGTTTTTCTGTGACAGACAAAATTCCACGCGGGCGAAGCCGCGGGCGGAAAGCTAGTAAAAATATAAATGGTATGGTGAAGTCAGAAATTTGATATCATGATTTTATTTATTTTAATTTTCATCTATATATATAAAAATGAAACCCGTTTCGCGTTGTCACGGCATCACGTGTGAACGGCTGAACCGATTTCGATAATTCTTTTTTTTAAATGTTTGTGGAAGTCCAAGGATGGTTCTTACGGAAAAAAATATTAAGAAAATCTCTACGCTAAGGCGGTACGAAGTTCGCCGGGTCAGCTAGTACAAAATAAATTTTACAAAATCCGATTTGTATGAAAATTAGAATAGTTAAAATGAAGATATCAATTTTCTGACTTCACCATACCTTTTATATGACCATGTTAACATGGGCTAGTGTCGGCTCATATACCCATTTACCTAACACCCTGTATAGTTTCCAACATGGCAAAAATCGGAACCAGCGATCCGGTATTGACGGTGACGCCCCCTGTCAATGTCACGGATAGGACAGTTCAGTATATTGGGTCTATAAATTTATTGTAAGTAATTTTTTATGCACTCGCTAGTGATGACGTTTTGATGTATACTCGTACTTAGCCCCCTGACTAATTTAGTTACACATTTATCTGACAGATAAGTCCCTATCAGTCACTTTATCAGCAGGTATTGAAACTCGTATTAACTGTGAATGTTTGTAATTTCTAGGCGGACCCCCCAACTTATGGTGGACAGTACGGGCCCCCGCCCCCCGCTTACGGGGCCCCTGGCTATGGAGCCCCTCAAGGTAAGGATATATCATGTATAGTCTGGTCCGTGAGCACTTAGAATTTTGTCCAATGACCCCGAGCTACCCATCCTTATCGCTCGCGCGTAATTATATTGCTGTCGCGACTGTGCGATGGGCGGCCGCAGTGAGTGTGCGAGCGCGATAGAAACATAATTACGCGCGAGCGATAAGGATGGATAGCTTGGGGTCATTGGACAAAATTCTACGTGCTCACGGACCGGGCTTTACTTAATATAATATTTATATTTAAGAGATGCAATTTTTTATAATTTTTGAAACTAAAAAAATAGTTTTAAACTTTCATGGTGTCACTATCATAATTATTATTACTGACGGGATTGCTACCATGTACCTTAACCATGGCGCTTGCAACAGTGCCGAAATTTCGGTACTCAATTTTAAGCAATAGATGGGAATTGAACCTCCGATGCTGACTTACTTAATACACTTGAAAAGCAATTTCGACTGGTTTTATGCCCATTCTATGTAACTCAGCGGTCAAAACAGTCGTCCAGCAATCGCAAGGTAGTGGGTTAATTCCCAAAGGTGGTAATCGATCTATTCGACAAAAATGTGTACTAACATAATCGATGTATAAATAATAATACTAGAATACAGAATTTCGTATGTCGCAAATTCGTTATTTTAACCCTTAAGTAACATCCTTATTTTTGGTTACACATTGAACACCCTGGGGTAAAAAATTAGCCCAAACGGAAATTGATTTTTTAAAGTAAATATTGAAAATAAAACAATTTTTAATTTAAAATGTATTAGCAAGTGGACTAAATTATACGATTGCCTTAAAAAATCGTCTGTCTCGCGTAAAAAACATTTTAAATCAATCATAACAAAAAACAAAGAATTTTTCATTTGCAACTATAGTCTCTACAATGATCTTCTAGAAAAATCTTGAAAAGTTATTGTGGGAACCAAAAACTTACACTAATCGGACATCGAATAGCTGCTTTATACAATTTTAAACTCAAAGTTAAATAAAACGTAAATTTTTGGACTTTTTATCAAAGCAAAATAAAAAAAAATTTTTTTTTATAAAATTATGAGAAATTGTTTTTTATTTTAATTTATTCCTAAATATTATTTTCAAAACACATCAAACACACTGAATTATTACGTAATTATCATTTTGTAGTTATATTTCTGTGTCGAATTTATGAACGCTCTGTTCTGAGGGGATGTCTTCGAAGTTCGAAAAGTATCATGTTAATCAAGCTCTAATTATCTCTCTACATTCTGGAGACAACGTGCTACTTGATCGTCATATAAATATTGACTCATTTTGTTTAAATATCATAAAAACCTATTAATTACATGTTAGGTGATGGTAAATTAAAGCATGCGTAACTAACACCCTGGGGTAAATTTCTACCCCACCTACCTGTAAAAGCCAAACGGATAATTTTTGTCACATCCCGCGTCTACGAGCTTAAAGCACACACTCTGCATTGAGAATACACAAAACGACATTGCTCTAGCTTCACTAGAAAAAAAGATATGCCAATTTTTATACGCCTGGGGTAAAAAATTACCCCACGGTGTTACTTAAGGGTTAAGGTTCTATAGGCATTATTTAAGAAATTGTGTGTAGATGATATTTTTAACTTTTTTTTAATAAAAATATAATGAAACAGTAGTTGCTTTGTAACATTACTGGCTTTTAGTAAATAAAAAAAAATACAAAAACTGCCATGTCGCCTGTTAGTGTCCAAACGATAAATTACTTTTTGAAAGCATACTTTTTAAAAACAATGGAGAATTACGCTACCATTACAGTAACAAAACCGAACCGCGTTTTATTATTCTGTACGTATCACTGCTCCTATTTTTTTAAACAATTTTAGAGTGATACGTAGATGGACGCAAACTAGCGACATGACCCCAAGTTATTTAAAATATACAAAAAGTTTTTTGGTGTATATTTTGCATATTTTTTTATTTGATTTGCCATATCTTAACAAAAAAATATACATTTTTAAATGTAATACTATGGGATTCTAATAAAATTATTTTTGTTCTTTTTTGGGTGTCGTATAATATTAACAATTATAGTCTATCCAATATAGCTTGATTAGAATGACAGCTGCCATCAAAAGTAACGACATACCTTTGTAGTAGCGATCAATGAGAGCTAAATATTGTCGGACAAGAAGTAATTCACGTCTGACCTACAAACAATANACTCCAACGAGATGGCACAGTGTCATAGAAGTGCTTTCTATGACACTGTGCCATCTCGTTGGAGTAAAAGTTTTAACTGTAGGTATGTTTGCCAAATTTCCAAATAAGGCACGAGCTTCTGTCTCTCTACCACGTCTTCACTGTCTTCAGAGATTGGATCGTTTTCATCTTCCTCTATTACTTGAGAAACAGTCTCCAAAGAGTTTTAAACTTGCTGTTCCATCATTTAGGTTGCTTAAAATAGGTAATTCATTCTTGGGGATTACCATATTTAACAAAATACCACACAACCTTGTCGAATTGCCAATAAACAAATTTAAGATACATATAAAAAATACCCTTATGTCCAAAGGGTACAAGGTTCGAGACTATATTGATGTCAAGGATGCGTGGTCAGTTCAGTTTGCGCATAAATTTGATGTACTTAAATTTGGCTATTCGTTAGATAATTCTTGGCAATAAGTGGTGACTGAGTTTGTTCCGGCGTTTCTTCTCAGCACTTGCCACATGTTTGTCTCGAAGCGCTGGTAGGGCCCAAAAGATAAGGAGACATGAAAAGTGCCCCATAAGGGCTACCTCTTTTTTATATTTGACGTTCATAAGTGCCACTTGTGGTGTAAACTGAATAAATATTTTTGATTTTGATTTTAAACTACCGGCGGCGGCGGCGGCGCGCTGACTCCTTATGGCGGCGGCGCGCCGCGGCGGCGCGCACGTCTACAATGTATAAATTAAATTACTTACCTACAAAATTTCTCTTCACACATTAAACACAAAAATCCTTAAAAACATTTATTTTCTCAAAAAATCTGCTAAAGTATTTCGTAAAAATGCTTTCTATGACTGTGTTCTTTTATTACTTTTATTTGTAAACAATTAACAACGTACTAACAAAAATAACATCAAATTGGTTACGGGTTTTCTTTTTTTCTTTGTGTTTTTAAGCTTGTGTATTTTTTTTGTAATTGGCAACGATTTGTGTATATTTTTCGTAATTGGCAACATTGTGTACGTTTTTTTTTCTTTGGCGCAGGCTTCTACTGAGGGTTGACGTAGTTTGCTGACGAAGATTTATAGAAACACGTAGGTAGATGTTTGGTGTATACTTACACAGTATTTGGTGTATAAATATACAAAAAATTGAGTTTCAAATAAAATGATTCACGTATACGTCGTCGAACTGATTGATTGATATTAATATATTTGCGATTATTAAATGAACGAAAATAATCTTTAATTTATATTTTCCCAAAAAAAAAAAAACTTACCATTTAAAAAAATCTATTTGCTGTCGTAAAGCGTTAAATAATATAGTTTTGTGTTTAAACATATACAAAATAAAATGCAGTTATTAGCTTATTAGTTTATAAAGACACGGCATTCCTGATATATCAATCAATTTGATAGACGTTGTTATCACACACAAGTAAAATAATATTTAATAATATTCTTAAAAATAAATTCAAGTAACTTATGCAGTTTTCAAACATTTAGTACATGTATACACATTCCATTCGTCGTACAAAAATATATATTATATTATATTGAACTATTTGTATTACATTTCAGGTGCCTTCTAAAGTGATTGGGTGGAGTCGACTGGAAACTACAATGTTATTGTTATTATAACCTCTTACTCATAAAAAAGCAATTACTATAGGTATAGACTTAGAGCATAACTGAGACAGTGCCTAAGACATTGGTTCCCAAACTTATTTGAGACGCGCCGTTTCGACCATACAAAAAATCCGCGCCTCCCTCCTCCAGTCAGATTATTTATTGGTCGTATCGAGCAGTCTAGAATGCATTCTCTCAGCGGTCGCAGGTTTTTTATACTTAAGTACACAGATGACCCGCGCCCCCCAAGGTCTTTGCGTCTCCCTATTTTGGGAACCAATGGCCTAAGGTACGCGGCACGGGAGGGTGTTTTTGTGACGTCAAACGTCAGCGAGACTTCAGATTTGTGTGCTCAGTCACGTCATAATATGTCAAAGTCACCCCTCCCGTGCCGCTTCCATAAGTCAGGCACTGTCACAGTTATTTTCTAGACCTATAGTTTACAATCTCACGCGTTATATTATAAACTGACGAAGTTCACAATTTTACGGTGTCATGTCCGCTAACAAAAGCAAGTTGATTAATATTGAATGTTTTTATGAATAAGAGGTTAATTGTTTATTACGTTATTTTACTTATAAGCTGTCCATACATGATCTGGCCGCGAGGTTATGAATAATGAATCTTATTATTAAAAGTATAACGTTCATCACTGAGAGAACACATTTTCTGTCATTTACGTTGAGCTTTTGTAAGGTAAATTTCAATTTCATCACAAATATTTTAAAATGCTTACTATAATTTAAAAAAGGTAAATAAATGGCAATGAAATGTTGTCATTGTATAAAAAATGCAAAGAGCTGTCACTTTGACAATGTCAGAGTTTGGGAAATTCCAAAAAAGTCAGTGTTGCCAATTGCCATTAATCAAAAAAATCTCAAGACGCATACTTGCCCTTCACATTTAATATTTAAAAGTACAATAACTTAATGAACATAATAATTATTGTTGTAATTCATTATTTTTATTCTTTAGTTTTAAATCACGCCTTTTGTAATATTTCTTCTTGACTTTTAAAATCATTTTGCCAAAAATATTATTAGAAGTAAGTTTAACCAACTATGTAAAACATATTTTTTGTTTTTATTGAACAAAAATGTTAAATATATAAAAAGTCTTCACTTTTAAAGGCGGAGTTTCGCTCGTTTTAAGGTATTTATATACCAATAATATAATTTACTATTTTTCCAATTATACTAATATTTTATCACATTTATGTAAGCCATTGATTGTTATATTAATTATAATTCATAATATTCCTATAGATTCAAAATTTTGTAATTTTAAGCAAAAGCATTTAAAAATAATTGTTGGAAGTTGATACACTTTTTCCTTTATTTTATGTACTTACACTTTCCGAAAACATGTTTTTGTTCCGGGTACATATGACTAGAATGTTTCCCGTAACGTTCTTAATATGTTCCTGGTAAGTAAGGATATTGGATAACGCTACTAAGAATATTCCCAGGAACAAATTCATAATATTTATAATTTTCAAATTCCCAGGAACGTTTTTATAACCGGGAATTCACGTCATTCCCTAACAATAGATAATTCAGTGTTGGGATACTAAAGCTTCGAACTCCTACGTTCTTTATTAACTTCGTTGCTGGTCCAATGATAGTTTTAACAGAGTAAATACAAATGAGTAGGTCATCTTCATAGAAACGCGTATTTAGCGTGAATTTAGCGTGGATTAGCTTTAGCGGGGTGTTGCGCCGAATTTTGTCAGTGTGTGCGTGCGCGCCGCATACGTATTGGCGCGCTCACATACAAACCGCGCTCGGTGCGTTTCTATGAAGATGACCTACTCATTTGTATTTACTCTGGTTTTAATCTCCGGACAATCTTGACCTTCACTGGTTGGGTTTTTATTCGCGGTTAAGCTGTTGATCCTGGCTGCACAGGAGTTGCAGCGGTGGGAAAAAGAGGTGGGAATAGTCCCGGAAACTAAGTGGGAAATGTGGGAATGTACCAATCACTTTTATTATAATGACACGTATCTTATTGATTTATTAAATTAACTTTGAAGTATTAGAAAGTATTTTATGTTTGGATAATCATGTTTTTATTTGTTTGAAAAAATAATGTAGCACTTTTGGTTGTATTGAAAATTGTTTCATTGCATTTATTGTTAATATCTTTCTTATTTGTAATCACTTGGATTTAATAAATATTGTATTGATGTTGAATGATGGGTTTTATTTCATAGTTCTTCCTATTTGTTATTTATTAATACTGCGCAGTTTTCTTCAGAGTTAATTATTTAAATTCTCATTTAGCATGTTTAAAAAATAAACTAATAATGAGTTCTAGATATTTTAGAGGTAGATAAACAAAAAACTTGTTAATTCATTAACTTAAATTATTTTTGCACATGTCATAGACAAGCACTAAAGGCGAACTTATTCCGTATACAATTACGTATATCATTATCTTTGGACTAAGCCTAAATTAGAATGCGTTGCTTGAAAAATTATCTGATCACAAAAATGAAAAATTATAGTCTCTAGCTCTTCAGGAAGAGGGTCTTTTTTTATTATAATTTACAAATATATTTTAATTCATAAATAATGAAATACCATATAATAATATTATTTGTGGTAGACTGTGTCTCCAGGGCACAGCTAAAGAAGAAAATCCCTTAAGTAACATTTTTAGGTTTGAAAAATTTCCTGAAAATATCTTTGACATTTCAGGTTATTCCGCACCACCGCCTACAGCTGTGGTAAGTTATTATTTTAATTAATATGTTACACTTTAAAAACATCAATGTTACGATACGACATTTCTCGATTCATAGAGTAAATTCAAGTTTACTACAGTTTAAGCCTTTAATTGGCATAACAATAAATAATTTTGAATTTGAATAAGTCACATTTTTCGTTGTTTGTGGACCTAAAGACAAGGGAATAGAAAGAAAGTTCAAAATATGGTGGGAAATAATATATTCCCACTGCCGTATAAAGGGATAACACGATCACTTTTGAAAACACATACGGGTGAATTGTAATATTTAGAACTTTTAACTTCTTTAAAGTGTGAAGATAGTGACGCGTATTATACATATAAATAAACGTTTCATCCTTCAAAAATATCTATTTTGCCTTCCAGCAAGGCTACACCTCAGCCCCATACGGAGCGCCCCAACAGCGCTCCGGCATGGGAACGGGGGCAGCAGTGGGGCTTGGGGTGGGCGCTTTGGCCGCGGGGGGGCTGGCAGGCTACGCTCTTGGTGGGGGCTTCCGCAGCGACAGCCCGCCTTCCGAGGTAGGTCACGGGTACAACCCGTTGTTCGACGGGTACAACCCAGCGTTCGATGTGGGGTACCCTATGGGTGATGGTAGAGATACGTTCCGGTCTGATTCTGAGAATACTGTTGAGCAAGGGAGTCCTACAGCGCCGCTTGCTGAGTATCCAACTCAAACTGAGCCTGAAAGTCTACCGATAGCTGATTTGGCTATATCAGAACCGAAAGATAACGATTTCGATGGAGGTGACGACAATGATTATCTTGAGGACAATGCCGGCGATGGTGATGGCGTTGATGATGATTATTTGGAGAATGATGATAATGATAATAACGATGATGGTGGTAACAATGACAATGATGATGACTATCTGGAAGATAACGGAGATGATTAAAAGGTACTTGGTCCTTGTTAAAGTATTATTTGGCTGGTCAGTAGTGTAGCGTCAGTTTGAAGTTCGATATAAAGCCTAGTCTGCATTTATTTATCGCCTCAAGCCCACAGGTCACAAATAAAATATTTTATTCAGTAAAATAGTAAGACACGGGTCTTAACGCGACGTTTATCAATGAGTTACATTATGTACTCACGGCTTGACGTTTCGGCTGCTATGCTGCAGCCGCGGTCACAAGCAGACTGGCGGCTCGCTGGTGTCTTACCTACTATTTTAGTTGAAATGGAACGCGAAAGTTTAAAATCTTATATTTTATTTACCCTCATACAAGTCCCAAATATAGCTTGCCTTACCACAACGTTGGGAAAAATATGGGCTGGTTTATTTCGTAGTAGAGTCAACATTTTCTGCTCGGTTTGGTTGGCGATATATTTTTTTCTAATTCCGACTAACTTCTTCGTTGTGGCTTAAATTTTAAATATTAATATCGTAGGGCTACAAACCATTACTAATACTGGGAATTACCGGGAATTCCTCACGATTCCCGGGAATCACCCACGATTCCCGGGTAAAAATCAATACATGTCTCGTGATAACGTAGATTTGTTGTTACTAAAAAAACAAAATGTATTAAAAATTTGTTTTCATAACGGCAATTTTATAGGTAAAAGACCTATTAGGTATACTACCTATAATAATGTAGACTATTAGGTAAACTACCTATAATAATGTAGACTATTAGGTATACTACCTATAATAATGTGGATTGGGCTTTATATTTTCTTGAATGATTGCTTAGGGCTTAGTCATTGAATGCTACAAAAATATTTTGTACATAGCTTGAAGTTTTTAATAACCAGTCAAATGCATGAGCAACATAAATAAAATTGCTTCAAATTACTTAGTCCTCATTTGATTTTGACTCATATTCTAAAGACAATTAATTCAAAATCCATTGGGGAAGTACTCGTAGTAGTTGATTTGCTAGATATACAAATAATGATCAGAAATAATTCTATTCCAGTACAATATATTCAAGATATTATGTAGTAATTAGTAAATAAATGAAGAATACTCACATTTATTAATAATACTCAGAGTGATAACACTACATTGTATTGAAGCTTATACTAATTTAGTATCATCACAGCACAAGTTTTTTGATAGAAAAATAATGTATACTGACAGATATAAGTATAATAAGAGAATATAATATAATAATAAGTATACAAGTGAAAAATGTATAATAATAAAATTATACATGATAATAAGATTATTATGAAGATGGGAAGAAACCATGACGTATAATAAAATAACAGAACAGAGATTAGAGAATAATATATTATTATCTACAGAAAGATTTATATAAATTAACAACTATGGGATCAGTGCCTACATGAAAAATATATCGAAGTATGAAGTGATATATCGTTGAAACTAAGTCGCCTGACATTTGTAAGTACTCTGCCTACAGATATATTGCACGACTTTGGAGTTTGGGATATTAACAATTTGATAAACGTGAGAAATGGTTTTGATTTAAAAAATAATATGGTAAGTTGGTTGTTTTAGGCGCATGTAGACTCACGCACGCCTAACTCTAGTTTGTAAGCTTAACAATATTTTTGCGTTAATTATAGGCGCTTAACTCAGTGCCTGAGGTATTTTAGCGGCACGGGAGGGGTGACATTGACATATTATGACGTGACAGAGCATACAAATCTGAAGTCTCGCTGACGTGTGATGTCTCAAAAACACCCTCCCGTGCCGCTACCATAATGCGTGGTGTGGTTCATTATAAAGCTGGACGCCATTAAAATTCATATCGCGAATATTAGAGTGACTGTGTTTTTGTTGTCTTCACCTACACTTCACAAGAAGCGCTGTAAAAATGCCTTAATTTAAAGCTCAATATCGATGTTTTTCATCATTTCACAACAAACGAATACTACTAGTGTAAGATACGCACAGTCATGAAACCATGAATTAAAATTCTAATATTGCGAAATGTGCGGAAGGCTTCTATAATCTTATAGTTGATTTTGATTAGAAGTTAGAAGGTTTTGTACTCTCTAATTGATTGGTGAAATTCGAGACTTCAAATTATCTGTTATCAGTTTGGGGCTTGATTCTGCCTGTATAGAACGCACAATATACAAGTTGTAAAATAAGGTAAAATCCAAGATTTAAATAAATAATACATTAATTTAAAAAAATGTCTAACAAAATTCGTGTTACTTATTCTATTGCAGTTCGAGTAATTACGTTTAATGCACAGACCCTGAAATATTACGGGTCTCATTTTTAACAACCTGTATAAAGTGTAAATTGTGTGTAAAAATGCATCACGACGCCTGAAACTACATTGTGCACTTATGCGATTTCATTTGGCAAGTTCGTTCGTGTCAACCAAACGACGTCCACTGCTGGACAATGGCGTCCCCTTTTTGCCAAGTGCTAAGAACAATTTCCTCCGCAGGTAAACATCGTCGAAAGCTTCGGCGGCGACGACTGGATGGACTGAGGTTGTATACATAAGATCGTGGCGGTCACAGCGGTGGCCTTCGTCATGTTCGTCGCGAAGATCACTGTTGAAGGACTGATGATTGTGTGGGTGGGCTGGACGAAGGACAAGTAATTGGAAGGTCTTGGGTAGTTGACACCAGTCAATGAAGTATTGTATTTGCGATCACCAGTTGTGCTTTTTTTTACAGTGGCGCTACTAATTTAGCCACTAGTGACAGGACTTAAGGCGATTCGCGGTCCGCGTGATTTCATATAAAAAATCCCGCGCGCAGACGCGTTGTCAGTGTTTGTCAGTGTTGTAGTTTCAGTCATTAGTGACAGGATCTTACTTTACAGTGGCGCTACTAATTTAGCCACTAGTGACAGGACTTAACAGCGGCGCCACTGTCTTAGTCATTGGTGACAGGATCTTACTTTACAGTGGCGCTACTATTTTAGCCACTAGTGATATGATTTAACAGTGGTGTCAGCACTATCTTAGTCACTAATAAGATAACCTTATTTTACAGTGGCGCCACTATCTTAGCTATTGATGACAGGACCTTACTTTACAGTGGCGCCACTGTNTTCGAGGCCGCGCCGCAGCAGCCGTATATGGTACGCCCCCAGTATCAACCATGCCAGTATACTGCGTATAGGCCGTATAGGGTATGTCACTAACCAACCAATAGAATGGGTGTCTAGAATGGTGTCGATTTGTGGTTTGAAAACTATGTTGTGTGTGTTTGCATGTCAAATTTGTCACTCGGCCGTCTGAGAAGTGCCATATTTGTCACTCGGCCGTCTGAGTAGTGCCATAATTTTGTCACTCGGCCGTCAGAGTAGTTACATATTTGTCACTCGGCCGTCAGAGTAGTTACATATTTGTCACTCGGCCGTCAGAGTAGTGCCATATTTGTCACTCGGCTGGCAGAGTAGTGCCATATTTATCACTCGGTTATCTGATTAGCGCAGTCTCTGTCACACTTGAAACTATGATGAAGCATGCTATTGTTTCATTCGAACAGCGCCTTCTCTAACACAATGTGTCATTAGTATAGTTCCATCTCTGTCCCACTCACTAAAGTTACACAGCGCCGTCCAGTTCATAGGCTTCGAGGGCGCCGCGCCGCGGCAGCCGCATATGGTACGCCCCCAGTATCAACCATACCAGTATAGACCTTATAGGGTATGTCACTAATCAACCAATAGAATGGGTGATTAAAACTGTGTCGAGTTTGTGTTGTTGAATGTTGGAATGTTAACGTTTAGTGCCATATTTGTCACTCAGCCGTCTGAGAAGTGCCATATTTGTCACTGTTGTATCTTGTTTAAATTAGTATGATATTGCATGCGATCGTTTCTCACTCGAATAGCGGCGTCTCTGTCACAATAATGTCATTTTAATTTCTGTGACGGGTCTGGGTGTGACTATGTATAATATTTATGTATTTAAAAAAAAAAAGTATATAAGTAGTATATCCGCTAAGCTAGCACCCATAACACAAGCATTAAGTTGCTTACTTTGGGGCTAGCTGGCGCTGTGTGAAATTGTCCAAAGATTTATTATTATTATTATTATTATTATAGTCACTGACCTCTCATAATACACATTGGGCAGGTTGTCTCATACAAATGACAGCTAATTTTGTGTACCAATTTAAAGCGCCACTACGATTGTCCCGAGAACTAATTTTGACGTACATTGTATGGAGTAACCATAAGAGTAAGCGAGAAAGAAAATCACTAATTTTAGTTCCATGGACAATCGTATCTGCCTACAGCATTGGTTCCCAAAGTGGGGGGCGCGCCCTCCAGGGGAGGCGCAAAGCCCTTTAATTAAAGGGGACGCGGGCCATCTGTGTACTTAAGTATAAAAAACCTGCGACCGCTGAGAGAATGCATTCCAGACTGCTCGATACGACCAATAAATAATCTTGACTGGAGGAGGGGGCGCGAAATTTTTTGTATGGTCGAAAGGGGGCGCGTCTCAAATAAGTTTAGGAACCAATGGCCTACAGTAAGACCTACAGCGCCAAAATGGCGAAACTCAAATAGGCACAAAAATATTATGAATGCAGCCAGTCCAGTGTGTAATAATGTCAGTGCGTTAATTATTTATTTAAGGATAGTACATCACAATATCAACTTATATTACAATCTATCATATAGATGACCTAAACTGAACTGTCCCACCAAACTCATTGACGAAGGGGCGCCACCATCGTTCAACTATATGTAGTTTCCAACATGGCAAAAATCGGAACCAGCGATCCGGTATTGACGGTGGCGCCCCGCTATCAATGTCACGGATAGGACAGTTCAGTATATTGGGTCTATACATTTAATGACAGTTTTTTTATGCACTCGCTAGTGATGACGTTTTGATGTATACTCGTACTTAGCCCCCTGACTAATTTTGTTACACATTTATCTGACAGATAAGTCCCTATCAGTTACTTTATCAGCAGGTATTGAAACTCGTATTAACTGTGAATGTTTGTAATTTCTAGGCGGACCCCCCAACTTATGGTGGACAGTACGGACCCCCGCCCCCCGCTTACGGGGCCCCTGGCTATGGAGCCCCTCAAGGTAAGAATACATCATGTATAGTCTGGTCCGTGAGCACTTAGAATTTTGTCCAATGACCCCGAGCTACCCATCCTTATCGCTCGCGTGTAATTATATTACTGTCGCGACTGTGCGACGGGCGCCCGCAGTGAGTGTGCGAGCGCGATAGAAACATAATTACGCGCGAGCGATAAGGATGGGTAGCTTGGGGTCATTGGACAAAATTCTACGTGCTCACGGACCGGGCTTTACTTAATATAATATTTATATTTAAGAGATGCAATTTTTTAATTTTTTGAAACTAAAAAAATAGTTTTAAACTTTCATGGTGTCACTATCATAATTATTATTACTGACGGGTTTGCTACCATGTACCTTAACCATGGCGCTTGCAACAGTGCCGAAATATCGGTACTCAATTTTAAGATACATGGTAGCAATTTAGCAATCCCGTCAGTAATAATAATTATTGAAAAAATCGATTACCTCAGATGGGAATTGAACCCCCGATGCTGACTTACTTAATATTTTTAATGCTTTTAATACTCGCATCAAATAAATACTTTCTTTCTTTTTTGGTTTTATACCCATTCTATGTAGCTCAGCGGTCAAAACAGTCGTCCGGCAATCGTAAGGTAGTGGATTCAATTCCCAAAGGTGGTAATCGATCTTTTCGACAAAAATATGTAGAAATAAGTGTACTAACATAATCGATGTATAATAATAATACGGAATTTCGTATATCGCAAATTCGCAATTTTAAGGTTCCATTTATGCATTTAAGAAATTGTGTGTAGATGATATTGTTCACTTTTTTTTATAAAAATATAATGAAACAGTAGTTGCTTTGTAACATTACTGGCTTTTAGTAAATAAAAAAAAATACAAAAACTGCCATGTCGCCTGTTAGTTTCCAAACGATAAATTACTTTTTGAAAGCATACTTTTTAAAAACAATGGAGAATTACGCTACCATTACAGTAACAAAACCGAACCGCGTTTTATTATTCTGTACGTATCACTGTTCCTATTTTTTTTTTACTATTTTAGAGCGATACGTAGATGGACGCAAACTAGCGACATGACCCCAAGTTTTTTAAAATATACACAAAGTTTTTTGATGTATATTATTATGTATATTTTTTATTTCATTTGCCATATCTTAACAAAAAATATACATTTTTAAATGTAATATACTATGGGGTAGTATTTTTTTTGTCTTTTTGGGTTTCATATAATATTAACAAGTACTTGGTAGTTTTTAATTTATCTATGATATAAATTTTTTTAATAATAATGTATACTAATAATACTAACGTATTTCAATGGACCGTCATAAGGCGTCAACCGATTATTCAGTCCAACGTTTAGCCCAGTGTAGGGTCTAATCGATAAAATAATTCATTGTTGGATTGACTCATTGGATTGTGTCGTGGATTGGCTCCTAAACTATCAATAATTAGTGATGCATGCTATATTTTTTTGCTTTTATTAAGCCATAAGGTTGTTTATAGCTTACATACTTCTAATCTTTTTGAAAAAATGTAAATAATTTTGTATATTAAAATGTGACATACACGTAAAAGTTACCGGCAATTCTTTTTCTAATATATCACAAAACTAAAAATTTACACTTTTGTAAAATCACACTTTTGGTACTACCTAAATAAAATTTTACAGAAAAAATATAGTGAATGAAAAAAAGAAAAGATTTTTCAACGAAAAATTAACGTTTTTCTACAAAACAGTGAGTGTTGAATGATTTTGTACTTTAAAGGTAAGTTACATTGAAAATATTATGTGTTGTGCACTGTGTAATATACATCATTCACATATTTGGAAAAGGCACATTTATTTTTGTAAATTACATCAAAATCATAACACTGAACATAGTAAAAGTTTGCTTTAATAACGATTTAAACTTTTCTCAAAATTGACGCGGTGGTCTAGTGGTTAGAGCCTCTATCTGGGATCCTGGGTTCGATTCCCAAATGTAACACATACTCAACAAGAAAAATAATCTGTTCTCACAGTTTTGTTAAATTATGTAATCAAAATTTTTGCTTCAAAAGCCTGCAATGTATAAATTAAATTACCTACAAAATTTATCTTCACACATTAAACACAAAAATCCTTAAAAACATTTCTTTTCTCAAAAATATCTGCTAAAGTATTTCGTAAAAATGCTTTCTATGACTGTGTTCTTTTATTACTTTTATTTGTAAACAATTAACAACGTACTAACAAAAATAACATCAAATTGGTGACGGGTTTTCTTTTTTTCTTTGTGTTTTTAAGCTTGTGTATTTTTTTTGTAATTGACAACGATTTGTGTATATTTTTCGTAATTGGCAACATTGTGTACGTTTTTTTTTCTTTGGCGCAGGCTTCTACTGAGGGTTGACGTAGTTTGCTGACGAAGATTTATAGAAACACGTAGGTAGATGTTTGGTGTATACTTACACAGTATTTGGTGTATAAATATACAAAAAATTGAGTTTCAAATAAAATGATTCACGTATACGTCGTCGAACTGATTGATTGATATTAATATATTTGCGATTATTAAATGAACGAAAATAATCTTTAATTTATATTTTCCCAAAAAAAAAACTTACCATTTAAAAAAATCTATTTGCTGTCGTAAAGCGTTAAATAATATAGTTTTGTGTTTAAACATATACAAAATATAATGCAGTTATTAGCTTACTACACTCAACAGCAAATAAATCGCACCACCCGCGACGTGAACTTTAAAGATTTTCTTATGACACAATAATGGTGCCCCAACAATATTGGTGTTATTTGAAAGCCCAATAAATATCCTTAAAGAAAAACACATTTAATTTCTTAATAAATGATTAACATATACCATAAATGTGACTTAAAAAAGACCTCACTTTGGGTTCACCTCTGGGATCAATTAGACCAAATTTTATGGTTATAAAACCAAATAATGATCACACGTGTCCTCTTTAACAGATGGATAGCGATTAATCCCAACTTAACAGTTTTATAGCCATAAAAATTGGCTCAAGCGTAACTATCTATTTTTTGAAGAAGTTACTCTGGATCCTTCTAAAGAAACATTTTTGGGGTAAAAATCTTTACTATAATGAAATGAAGTTTAGAACTAGGCTTTTGAATGGTACCAATATTGGTGTGAAGTGGGGATGCATACGTTTGAAAGTGCTTGTCGCGGGTGGTGCGATTTATTTGCTGTCGAGTGTAGTTTATAAAGACACGGCATTCCTGATATATCAATCAATTTGACAGACGTTGTTATCACACACAAGTAAAATAATATTTAATATTATTCTTAAAAATAAATTCAAGTAACTTACACAGTTTTCAAACATTACTACATGTATAATGTATACACATTCCATTCGTCATACAAAATATATATATTATATTATATTGAACTATTTGTATTACATTTCAGGTGCCTTCTAAAGTGATTGGGTGGAGTCGACTGGAAACTACAATGTTATTGTTATAATATCCTCTTACTCATAAAAAACAATTAATATAGGTGAGTCGCATAACTGAGACAGTGCCAAGGCATTGGTTCCCAAACTTATTTAAGACGCGCACCCTTTCGACCATACAAAAAATCCGCGCCCCTCCAGTCAAGATTATTTATTGGTCGTATCGAGCACCACCACCCATGGTTCTTCCTGCCTCACGGCGTACGAACCGAATCTCGGGAGAGCGCGCGGGTACCTGCTCTGGGCTCTTTTCCCCGGGCGCTTTGCTTGACTCCCTACAAATTTATCTGATCTGGTCGTATCGAGCAGTTTGGAATGCGTTCTCTCAGCGGTCGCAGGTTTTTTATACTTAAGTACACAGATGACCCGCGCCCCCCAAGGTCTTTGCGCCTCCCTATTTTGGGAACCAATGGCCTAACGTAAGCGGCACGGGAGGGTGTTTTTGTGACGTCAAACGTCAGACTTCAGATTTGTGTGCTTATTCACGTCATAATATGTCAATGTCATCCCTCCCGTGCCGCTTCCATACCTCAAGCACTCAGTTATGTGATAGACCTATAGTTTACAATCTCACGCGTTATATTATAAACTGACGGAGTTCACAATTTTACGGTGTCATATTATCCGCTAACACAAGCAAGTTGATTAATATTGAATGTTTTTTTATGACTAAGAGGTTAATTGTTTATTAGGTTATTTTACTTATAAGCTTACATGATCCGGCCGCGTGGTTATGAATAATGAATCTTATTATTAAAAGTATAACGTTCAAATTCCACTGAGAGAACACATTTTCTGTCATTTACGTTGAGCTCTTGTAAAGTAAAAACAATTTCATCACAAATATTTTAAAAAGCTTACTATAATTTAAAAGGTAAATAAATGGCAATGAAATGTTGCAATTGTATAAAAATGCAAAGAGCTGTCACTTTGACACTGTCAAAATTTGGGGATTTAATAAAAAGTTAGTGTTTCCAGTAATGAAAAATTCTCAAGACGCAAACTTGCCCTTCATATTTAATATTTAAAAGTACAATAACTTAATGAACATAATAATTATTGTTGTAATTCATTATTTTTATTCTTTAGTTTTAAATCACCCCTTTTGTAATATTTCTTCTTGACTTTTAAAATCATTTTGCCAAAAATATTATTAGAAGTAAGTTCAACCAACTATGTAAAACATATTTTTTGTTTTTATTGAACAAAAAATGTTAAATATAAAAAAAATCCTTTTAAGGTGGAGTTTCGCTAAAGGTATTTATATACCAATAATATAATTTAGTATTTTTCCAATTAAACTAACATTTTATCACATTTATGTAAGCCATTGATTGTTACATTAATTATAATTCATAATATTCCTATATTTGTAATTTTTAGCAAAAGCATTTAAAAATAATTGTTGGAAGTTGATACACATTTTCCTATATTTTATGTACACTTTCCGAAAACATGTTTTTGTTCCGGGTAGATATGACGGGAATGTTTCCCATAACGTTCTTAATAATATGTTCCTGTTAGTAAGAATATTGGATAACGCTACTAAGAATATTCCTAGGAACAAATTCATAATATTTATAATTTTCAAATTCCCAGGAACGTTTTTATAATCGGGAATTCACGTCATTCCCTAACAATAGATAATTCAGTGTTGGGATACTAAAGCTCGAACTCCTACGCTCTTGATTTACTTCGTTGCTGGTCCAATGATAGTTTTGTTTTAATCTCCGGGACAAACTTGACCTTCACTGGTTGGGTTTTTATTCGCGGTTAAGCTGCAGATCCTGGCTGCACAGGAGTTGCAGCGGTGGGAATAGTCCCGGAAATTAAGTGGGAATTTACCAATCACTTTTATTATAATGACACGTCTCTTATTGATTTATTAAATTAACTTTGAAGTATTAGAAAGTATTTTATGATTGGATATGTTTTTATTTGTTTAAAAAAATAATGTAGCACTTTTGGTTGTATTGAAAATTGTTTCATTTGCATTTATTGTTAAATCTTTCTTATTTGTAATCACTTGGATTTAATAAATATTGTATTGATGTTGAATGAGGGGTTTTATTTCATAGTTCTTCCTATTTGTTATTTATTAATATTACGCAGTTTTCTTCAGAGTTAATTATTTAAATTCTCATTTAGCATGTTTAAAAAATAAACTAATAATGAGTTCTAGATATTTTAGAGGTAGATAAACAAAAAAGTTGTTCATTCATTAATTTCAATTATTTTTGCACATGTCATAGACCAGCACTAAAGGCGAACTTATTCCGTATACAATTACGTATATCATTATCTCTGGACTAAGCCTAAATTAGAATAGGCGTTGCTTGAAAAATTATCTAATCAATCAGCTAGAAATCAATCACAAAAATGAAAAATTATATAGCATGAAAAGCAAAAATTTGTGGTCTCTAGCTCTTCTGAAGGGGGTCAATTTACAAATATATTTTAATTAATAAATAATGAAATACCATATTATTTGGGGTAGACTGTGTCTCCAGGGCACAGCTAAAGAAGAAAATCCCTTAAGTAACATTTTTAGGTTTGAAAAATTACCTGAAAATATCTTTGACATTTCAGGTTATTCCGCACCACCGCCTACAGCTGTGGTAAGTTATTATTTTAATTAATATGTTACACTTTAAAAACATCAATGTTACGATACGACATTTCTCGATTTATAGAGTAAATTCAAGTTTACTAGAGTTTAAGCCTTTAATTGGCATAACAATAAATAATTTTGAATTTGAATAAGTCAATTTTTCGTTGTTTGTGGACCTAAAGACAAAGGAATAAAGTTCAAAATATGGTGGAGGATAATATATTCCCACTGCCGTATAAAGGGTTAACACGATCACTTAAAAACACATACGGGTGAATTGTAATATTTAGAACACTTCTTTAAAGTGTGAAGATTGGTTCAGATCAGTTTCCCGCTGAAAACCAGCTTCTCGGCATGACGTTTGTGTCATGTCGCGATTTTTGCTGAGCGGGCGCCTATTCAGCATATGTTTTTATTTATTGTTTGTTATGTTTTTATGTTTTTTTATGTACTTACTCTTGCTTTGTATTATACCTTAATGATAATTATGCTGAATAAAGACATTCTTATTCTTAAGATAGTGACGCGTATTATGTAAATAAACGTTTCATCCTTTAAAAATATCTATTTTGCCTTCCAGCAAGGCTACACCTCAGCCCCATACGGAGCGCCCCAACAGCGTTCCGGCATGGGCACGGGGGCAGCGGTGGGGCTTGGGGTGGGCGCTTTGGCCGCGGGGGGGCTGGCAGGCTACGCCCTTGGTGGGGGCTTCCGCAGCGACAGCCCGCCTTCCGAGGTAGGTCACGGGTACAACCCGTTGTTCGACGGGTACAACCCAGCGTTCGATGTGGGGTACCCTATGGGTGATGGTAGAGATACGTTCCGGTCGGATTCTGAGCAACCGACTATTGAGCAACCAGGGAGTCCTGAGGCTACAGCGCCGCTTGCTGAGTATCCAACTCAAACTGAGCCTGAAAGTCTACCGATAGCTGATTTGGCTATATCAGAACCGAAAGATAACGATTTCGATGGAGGCGATGACAATGATTATCTTGAGGACAATGCCGGCGATGGTGATGGCGTTGATGATGATTATTTGGAGAATGACGATAATGATAATAACGATGATGGTGGTAACAATGACAATGATGATGACTATCTGGAAGATAATGGAGATGATTAAAAGGTACTTGGTCCTTGTTAAAGTATTATTTGGCTGATCTATTGATATACACTATTGTGTAGCGTCAGTTTGAAGTTCAGTATAAAGCCTAGTCTGCATTTATGTATTTATCGCCGCAAGCTCACAGGTCACAAATAAAATATTTTATTTAGTAAAATAGTAAGACACGGGTCTTAACGCGACGTTTATTAATGAGTTACATTATGTACTCACGGTTTGACGTTTGGTGGTCACATGCAGACTGGCGGCTCGCTGGTGTCTTACTATTTTAGTTGAAATGGAACGCGAAAGTTTAAAATCTTTTATTTTATTTAGTACCTACTTAGGCTCTTTCCAGGGCCCTCAGCCCCTCATACACGTCCCAAATATAGCTTGCCTTACCACAACGTTGGGAAAAATATGGGCTAGTTTATTTCACAGTAGAGTCAACATTATCTGTTATAAGTTTTTTCTAGTTCCGACTAACTTCTTCGTTGTGGCTTAAAATTTAAATATTACTATCGTAGGGCTACAAATCTTTACTAATATTGGGAATTACCGGGAATTCCTCACGATTCCCGGGAATCACCCACGATTCCCGGGTAAAAATCAATACATGTCTCGTGATAACGTAGATTTGTTGTTACTAAAAAAACAAAACACATTAAAAAATTGTTTTCATAAAGGCAATTTTATAGGTAAAAGTCACCTATTAGATAATATATTAAGAATAATGTGGATTGGGCTTTATATTTTCTTGAATGATTGCTTAGGGCTTAGTCATTGAATGCTACAAAAATATTTTATACATAGCTTAAAGTTTTTAATAACTAGACAAACGCATGGCAACATAAGTAAAACTGCTTCAAAACAGTCCTCATTTGATTTTGACTCATATTCTAAAGACAATTAATTCAGAATCCATTGGGGAAGTACTCGTAGTAGTTGATTTGCTAGGTATACAAATAATGATCAGAAATAATTCTATTCCAGTACATTATATTCAAGATATTATGTAGTAATTAGTAAATAAATGAAGAATACTCACATATATTAATAATACTCAGAGTGCTAGCACTATATTGTATTGAAGCTTATACTAATTTAGTATCATCACAGCACAAGTTTTTAATAGAAAAATAATGTATACCGACAGATATAAGTAGAATAAGAGAATATAATAATAAGTATACAGGTGAAAAATGTATAATAATAAGATTATATGAAGATGGGAAGAAACCATGACGTGTAATAAAATAACAGAACAGAGAATATATTATTATCTACAGAAAAATTTATATAAATTAACAACTATCGGATCAGTGCCTACATGACAATACTCTAGCGAAGTATGAAGTGATATATCGTTGAAACTAAGTCGCCTGACATTTGTAAGTACTCTACCTACAGATATATTGCACGACTTTGGAGTTTGGGATATTAACATTGATAAAAGTGAGAAATGGTTTTTAAATAATATGGTAAGTTGGTTGTTTTAGGCGCATGTAGACTCACGCACGCCAAACTATAGTTTGTAAGCTTAACAATATTTTTGCGTTAATTATAGGCGCTTAACTCAGTGCCTGTGGTAGAGATGACCCACGCTGAACTGTCCCACCAAACTCAATGACAGGGGGGCGCTACTATCGTTCAACTATATGGTTTGCAACATGGCAAAAATCTGAACCAGCGATTCGGTATTGACGGTGGCGCCCCACTGTCAATGTCATCGACAGGACAGTCCAGTGTTTTGGAACTATATTTTAGCGGCACGGGAGGGGTGACATTGACATATTATGACGTGACAGAGCATACAAATCTGAAGTCTCGCTGACGTGTGATGTCTCAAAAACACCCTCCCGTGCCGCTACCATAATGCGTGGTGTGGTTCATTATAAAGCTGGACGCCATTAAAAAAATATAGTATGAAATGCTGGCGTTTGTAAATTATAGTTTTTGCATGTTGAGCGTTATCAATATCATATCGCGAATATTAGAGTGACTGTGTTTTTGTTGTCTTCACCTACACTTCACAAAAAGCGTTTGTAAAAATGCCTTAATTTAAAGCTCAATATCGATGTTTTTCATCATTTCACAACAAACGAATACTACTAGTGTAAGATACGCACAGTCATGAAACCATGAATTAAAATTCTAATGTTGCGAAATGTGTGGAAGGCTTCTCTAATCTTATAGTTGATTTTGATTAGAAGTTAGAACTAATCTGCTGTAAATATTATTATACTCTAAAATTGATTGGTGAAATCCTAGACTTCAGTTTGGGCTTGATTCTGCCTGTATAAAACACACTATACAGGGTGGAATTTTGTAATGCCACCTGGAGGGAAAGTACTCTTAATACTGTAGATAGAAAATTTTACTCAAATAAAACATTCCTTTATTTTTTTAAATAAAGAGAATTGCATTCAAAGATTTTTATAAATTTTTCGAAAATTCACTAGGTACCATACCATACAATTTTCTGTAAATAATTAAAATAATTTAAGATTTCATGGTTTTCATTTAATTTATCAAGTTTGTTAGAGAGATTTCATCCATAAACTTAACCCTAACGATCGATGCAATAAAAATACAGGGTGTAATTTTTAACAAAATTTAGTTGGTTCGATTCCCGGGTGTGGCATTCAAATTTTTGGAAATCTTTGAATGCAGTTCTATTTCTATTCAAAAATAAAGGAATGTTTTCTTTGAGTAAAATTTTCTATGCACAGACCCTGAAATATTACTGGTCTCTTTTTTAACAACCTGTATAAAGTGTAAAAATTGTGTGTAAAAATGCATCACGACGCCTGAAACTGCATTGTGCACTTATGCGATTTCATTTGGCAAGTTCGTTCGTGTCAACCAAACGACGTCCACTGCTGGACAATGGCGTCCCCTTTTTGCCAAGTGCTAAGAACAATTTCCTCCGCAGGTAAACATCGTGGAGAGCTTCGGCGGCGACGACTGGATGGACTGAGGTTGTATCCATAAAATCGTGGCGGTCACAGCGGTGGCCTTCGTCATGTTTGTCGCGAAGATCACTGTTGAGGGACTGATGATTGTGTGGGTGGGCTGGACGAAGGACAAGTAATTGGAAGGTCTTGGGTAGTTGACACCAGTCAATGAGGGGTATTGTATTTGCTGTCACCAATTGGCGCCACTGACTGGTCAATAGTAGTTAAGAAAGAGCTTTTTTTACAGTGGCGCTACTATTTTAGCCACTAGTGACATGATTGAACAGTGGCGTCAGTCTAATAAGAGAACCTCACTTTACAGTGGCGCCACTATCTTAGCCATTGGTGACAGGATCTTACTTTACAGTGGCGCTACTAATTTAGCTACTAGTGACAGGACTTAACAGCGGTGCCACTGTCTTAGTCATTGGTGACAGGATCTTACTTTACAGCGGCGCTACTAATTTAGCCACTAGTGACAGGACTTAACAGCGGCGCCACTGTCTTAGCCATTGGTGACAGGATCTTACTTTACAGCGGCGCTACTAATTTAGCCTCTAGTGACAGGACTTAACAGTGGCGCCACTATCTTAGCCACTAGTGACAGAACCTTACTTTACAGTGGCGCCAACTGGTGAAAGCAAATACAATAGCCCTCATTAACTTACTTTTTGACACACCAATATTTGATGTCACTAAACTAAAATTATAAAATAAAATTCATAAAATTCATTTATTTTTGCAAATAGGCTTTAAAATCTGTTGATTTAATTCAAACTATTGAAAATCGGATTTTACAGCAAATTGTAAACCAGATCGTTTTTCAGGCATCATTTAGTGACGTCACATTTCTATTTAAAATTAAACTCGATTTTCAGGCTGACTTGAAGTGAACGTACTTGTGTCTTGGTGTCAACTACTCACATAATGCTCAAAACTCAATTAATAACTATACAACAACCGAAAGTCTTTAAATGGTCCGTAATACCGCGTATATACAGCTTAAAATGCTATCTGGATGATTATTTCCTGTGATTGGCCTAAATATTGAACTTTAACTAATTTAATACAGTTTTGAGCCTCGTTATTAAAGAAAGTGTTTAAAAAATGACTATTATAAAGTGTTTATAAATTAAGAACAACTAAAATGTAAAAATTACTTAAGATCCTCCCACTCAACATTTTCTTTTACTTAAATGCGTGCAGTGCCATTATTATGTAATATTAAATTGTATTATTAGTAGCCCTTTAAGAGACGCATCGAAGATATCACAATGTCCAAATTTTAATAATAATTATTCAGTATGTCAGTCTAAGTAGGCACAACAACAAGTATTATAGAGAACCCCACATAATAATGTTTAATTCTTATTTTCTTTTCTGAGTCTATGCTATATGTTAATGCCTAGTGTAAGAATGATGATGCCATTGTTAATTTAAACACTTTAAAATACGTATTATCAGATGTCCAATAACATGATTATATTTGTATTTACTTACATAATATAGTTTTGATCAAAGAATAAAAGAAATATTCATTAAAAAAGAAGCACTAGAATTGCTTTTTCAACTTAACGTTTCTTGTTACTCGTGTAATTAAATTAAATTAAATTAAAGCCAGTAGATTTCTATAATGACCTAGATACTTATTGTTATAAGTAAGATCAAGCCTATAAATTAAGTTTAATTTAAAATCTATAATCATTATGTAAAATCAGCGAAGGTTTATTTGGTTTTGTAATGTCTTGAAAATATATATTATTGTTAAATATAATATAATGATAAGGAAAAGTATTGTATTATATTTATAAATGTTATAAAAAACTTAAGTACAGTGTAATATGGTGTGATTGACAAAAATATATTTATAGTATCGATAAAATAAAATTTATATATTTCGGCCTTAAATGCTAGCAAAGTATATAAATATAATATGTATAATATTTAATAATATTTAATAATAATATGTATAGAATAACTAAAATTCAAAGTAAATATTTATCTTCAAAGATTTGCTATAGTAATATTATATTCAATGTTGAAACGGTGAATAAAAATATACTATATTATTTTTTGTATTATTTACTCATTATTTTAATACTTTTTCTATTTTTTATTTAATACTACCATCTTTTATATTATATTTTTTGTTATATGGCTACAAGTACGAGTATTTTAAGTAGGTACATAAAAGATTTAAAAATGGCAGCTAAGAATCGTCTTTACGTAAGATTTTCAAAATTTAAAGATGTTAAACATATTATATTATAATCTCTTAGAATTTCTTTCAAAATCTTTGACTTTTCCCTCATTCATTTACCAACTCTACTATAAATTAAAGTGATTAAAAACATCAATCATAAAACGCTATTTCAAATCCATTGTAATTTTACCCACACCGGTAACAATTATTGTGTTTTGTCGTTCCCGGGAACTTTCTCAGAACGTGATTTTTCCCGGGAACATTTTTTATTTATTTATTATTATTTAAGGATAGTACACAGCACAATATCAATCTGTAATAACAATGTTTTTTAGTAGATTTTGTAGGCCAATTATGATTTCCTGTTAAATTATGTTTCCTAATAAAGTTATCCAATCAACCGGAACATTATGAGAACGTTGCCAGGAATGTTCCTGACTTTAAAAATGTTCATTAGAAAAATAAAAAAAATGGTTTAAGTTAGGAATAACATCACAAGTATCTAATAGAAAAAACAATATTTAAAATAAAATCTGCTCATGTTTTATTTTGAGCTTTTGTATAAGGACTATAGTGAGAGGCCACGTTTCCGAGCCATAAGTTATCACTGGTAACATACATTGGTTGTAGACTTTCGTCTTCAGGCACTGCGGTATTTTTTGGACGAAAAGATGTTACATGTAAATATTAAAACTCAGTAAGAGCAAAATGACGATTTGTAAGAACTATTTATTAGTCCAAGCAAATAAAGAAATTTTGACTTTGACTTTGACTTTATGTTTTATTTATTTTATGGGCTATGGCTCTTTTCTGTTGTATCTGCTTTTGGAAACACTGCAATTGTGTGTTAAATAAATAAGTATTATTAATTTTGAATTTGTTTTTATTTGTATAAGGTTAACCACTTAGTAACATTTTTTAATTGAACAAAGTATTTATTTTTTAAAAGTTAAAAAAGTATTTTACACAAAATATTTAAAAAAATCAATATTATTAGGATTATTTGGATTTTAAATGTTTTAATTAGGATCGCAAAGAATTTTGTATCGAAAAATCTATAATCAGAGGGCTGAGTGTGAGTTTACTGAAAATTTTAGTTCTTGAAAGTTTCCGCTAGGGGCGCTGAACAATCCGTCATACATTTAATGTCATTTTTTTACGCGTTCATCGCTCATTAGTGACGACATTTGATGTAAACTCACACTAAGCTCTCAGGATGGTATACATACTACAGTAAGTAAATAAGGTAAAGTTTTACCTCAGTCTTATAAAATGCAGTACAGGCAGGCCTCCCACAGTAGATCTGAAGAACTGAAGATCTTGTGAAGGTCGCGGAAGCATTTGGATGCGGGCAGCGCAGAGCCGTTGGTTGAAATCCTTGGGGGAGGCCTTTGTCTAAAGCCCGGTCTGTGAGCACGTAGAATTTTGTCCAATGACCCCAAGCTACCCATCCTTATCGCTTGCGCGTAATGAGGGTTTTCGCGAATGAAAGATCCGCTAGATGGCGGTACTTGGATGTGGGGTCTGACTGCTGCGTGATTGGTGGATTTTGACATATCTGTCAGTGTCATGTCAAAAATAACCAATCATGCAGCATTTGGACCTCGCGTCTACGTATTGCCATCTGGCGGATTTTTTATTCGCGAAAACCCTCATTATATTGCTGTCGCGACTGTGCGACGGGCGGCCGCAGTGAGTGTGCGAGCGCGACAGCAACATAATTACACGCGAGCGATAAGGATGGGTAGCTTGGGGTCATTGGACGAAATTCTACGTGCTCACAGACCAGACTAGCAGTGGACGTCTTTTGTCACGATTGCAGTTAAAAGTCGTGTTTCTTGCGCTTCGAATGTGCAGTATACCGGTGGCGAGAGAGGTGTCGAGTTGACTTGAACTTCCTTGGGCATTGCTCGCACTGTAAAGAAAGATCAATCATCATCATCAGACTTTGTCTCCACTGAAGGAGGACGACCCTTTAGAGCAGTGGTTCTTAACCTTTAAGTCCTGAGGGACCATTACCTACTTATACCAAATTTCTGTCTTATCAGGGACCACGGAAGGTTAGACAAACTTCGTGGGTGCACAGTAGATAAACTGTGGTGGGTGTATAGGTAAGGTCATTTTGAGAATAAGAAGGTTTTTTTTTTAAATCCTATGAAAGCGGAGGTCGATTTCTCGCCCACTGTGCGCCGTTTGCGTTGTGTTGATTCGACTCATCACGTCACATCACTTGTTTCTTACGATGTCTTCGCGGACCACTTGGGATGCCTCCAGGGACCACCGGTTAAGAACCACTGCTTTAGAGGAACATAGCTTAATATTCTGTGAAGCAGGGACGTAGCGCCGCAATGATACGGGGCCCCCGGAATACAGGGTGATATGGGATACGGGGGCCCCGTGCCAGGCTTTTTCGAATAGACAAAGTAGGCATGAGCCTGTGGAAGTTATTTAATTTTGCTTAGACCTTTTTTGATGGGGGTCCCAACAAATTTTGTTGTAGTACCCGCCTAATATAATACCACTGCTGTAAAGAAATAATTATTCATTATTCACCGATTTACTACTTAGGTAGGTACTTTTTGTTCGTTCATCATCATGTCATTCTACAAACTTTTATTTGGCCGATATTTTTGTCTGTGTAACAGTGGCGGGGCAAGACCTAAATTTGATGTGGGCAAGACAGATTTCGCGAGGCCTTGTTCTGCGGCGATCTGAAGACGGATTTTATAAAAAAAAAAACGGGTCAACGGTCTATTCATTGACAGTTTCTGATTTCTTGATTCAGTGATTATTTTTAAAGGAATATTGCGCCAAAGAATAATGTTCGTCACTTAAAACCGTGTTGTTGCTTAATTTTGTGTCTGATTATGGCTGAATTTGTTTGGAAAAAAAAATTATTTTTTTAACTACATTGTTTAGCTATCAAGAATTTATATTTAATAGTCAATGTTTGCATTTATTGTCGTATTGTGATATTGTCATCTCCACCTTGTATACATTTTTTCAAAATTTTTGATGCGCGAGGCCCCTTGTTCCGCGAGGCCGTAGGCGGTGGCCCACGTCGCCTACGCCTTACGCCGCCTCTGCTGTGTAATGTGCGCACTTTCATTGAATATTGATATTCATACTGTTTAACAGTCCGACCAAAATATCGGCCGACACTTATCAGGAATTTTGTTTTCATATGGGTCACTTAAAAATTAGGGATTGATGGGCCTTAACCTCCCTCCAGTGGACGTATTATGGTAAAGCTAAGAACTCACGGCGCGATTTTCACGAGCCCGCCGCGTTTGCGGGTGAAAATCGCGCCGCGCACTAAGGCACTGGTACAAAATGGTCGCCTGCCGATCGGGTGGTTTTCGCGCGGGCGAAAACCGCCGAAACTGCGGTTACCGCGTCCCGCGCGATTCTGCCGCGCCCGCTGCGGGCGAAAACCGCGTCGTGAGTTGTGCATTAGTTTTTACATAAGTATCTGCATTCTACAGAAGCTGCGGGCCCGCAACCGCCGCGGGCGCGTTTGACAATCGCGCCATAAGTTCTTAGCCTAAGTCTTACTTGTACAGAGGCAGTTTCGCGGTGGCCCTCCACGTGTTGTACCAGGCACCTCCGGCTGAAGAACGCCGATGAGCATATGTCACACACGTACGGACGCTCGCCAGTGTGCTTGCGGCGTTCGTGGTACTGAAGAGGGAATTAAAAAAACAGTTATTAAAACTCAGTAAAACTCATTTATTTCTGTAAGTAGGCTTTAAAAAAGCACTTTTACACGTCCCAGTATTAACCCTACCACTGCTTCGGGACAATAAATGGGCCAGTGCTGAGAAGAAGCAGCGCAAGAAACAGGCACTATTGTCAGCCTCTTTTTCAAAGGTTTACAGGTTTTCAAAATACATAGTTATAACTATTTATGCGAGCTAGGCAGTTACGCATCCCAAACATTTTTATCTTTTAAATAATCATCGACTTTATAGTAGCCCTTTTTCATTAAGGTACTTTTAATTTAATACATTTCCCCATAAATGAATTCCCAATCTTATGCAGTCTGAAATTTGGAACGGCAAGTTTATTTTTGTTTCTTGTATTAAAGTTATGCAAATCGCTCTTTAAGTAGTAGTAAGTACCTACTTATTAGTAAGCTGAAGCCCAACGGATTAGTAAGCTGAAGTGGCAATGGGCAGGGCATAGTATGCAGAACTGACGGCCGATGGGGCAGCAAGGTTCTGTAGTGGAGACCACGTACCGGAAAGTGCAGGGCAAGACGTCCACCCACAAGGTGGACCGACACCTCCTAAAGGTAGCGGGAAGGCGCTGGATGCAGGCCGCCACCAACCGGCCATTGTGGAAATCATTGGGGGAGGCCTATGTTCAGCTGTGGACGTCCTATGGCTGAAATGATGAAGTATTGTTTGCCTCCTGTTCCTGTCACATAAAAAAAATCGTACCTATCCTATTTCTAATCATTACAAATAACTATGTAAATAACTAGCGGCCGCCCGCGACTTCGTACGCGTGGATCCCGTTTTACCCCCTTAGGGGTTGAATTTTGCAAAATCCCGTCTTAGTGAACACCTACGTTCTAAAAGGAAACTCCATGCATACTTGGTTTCTCGCGATACAGGTGCATACCCAGTAGCGGCGTAAGGGGGGGGCGGTGGGGGCGGTCCGCCCCGGGTGCCAAGCATCAGGGGGTGACAAAAGTCGCGCAATAAGTACTCACTGACGCATCTGCATGGCAAGGACGGTCGTGATTTCAATTTCAACCTATGCTACGCCGCCACTGTGCATACCTAGTGCGAGAACCGCTACCAACACTTCTTCACAATCCACCATAGCATGTAATTAGCTTAATGTCATTCCGTTTTTTGTAAATCTGTCTTGCTTAAATAAAGATTTTATTATTATTATTATTAATTTGCGACTCAGCACTTGTAGTTTCTGAGGTTTCGTAATGAGCGAGTCAGTCAGTGACCTTTCGCTACCGGGAATATTCCCGGGAACGTCACAGTTCTGTTTAGGTTGACAGGAAAGCAACCTAGAGCTTTCATGTTCAGAGAAAGTTTATTGAATTATGATGAACATTTCACACAAAATTAAACCCAATGAGAATCTTAGTTAGTAAAATGATAAAATTACTTAGCATAAGAGATAGCTTATGCAATGAGATCTTTAAAAAATGGAATAAGTAGATTCGTATCGTAAAGGTAGCGGGGAAGCGCTGGACGCAGGCCGCTACCAATCGATATCCAATCGTAAACATGGAAATCATTGGGGGAGGCCTATATTTAGCAGTGGACGTCCTATGGCTGAAATGATCATGATCAGATTCGTAATAAGATCGGAGTCCTTAAAATGGGCTTGCTCATGGCATTCGTTTGTTTTCATCCATGAAGACGCACCCCACCAATTTTTGGTTTCGGTCGCGCGGGGTGCGGGGAGTTTGATCCGAGCAATCCGAGCGTCATCATTGTAGTGTGCGTGTGCACTCATGGATGATTTTGCGTGTATCGTTAGCACTCAAACATTAGCGGAAGAATGGTGGCGCTCTTCGTGGATGAAACGATCTTAGTCATTTTGACAGCACAGGAGCACATACTCGTCATACATAACATGCAAACAATATTCAAACAGTAATAAAGCTGTCTCTATCGCTCACCAAAAGCTGGCGCTTGTCCAGAGCGAGAAAGTCGCAGTGTTGGCACGCCACCTTCCGTTCTTTACCGTGGTAGGACATAGCGTGGCGCTTGAGCTGAGATTGTATGAACAATTTGCCACAGTACTGGAAGAATAAGATCAAATTCAAAGTTAAAACTTCAATCAGTAACCAGTTTTTCGATTTATCTTGTTAGTTTACAAAAAAAAATAGTGAGATCACTTATCGTTTCCACCCTGTACTTATATGAGAAAAAGAAGAACACGAAATATACAAGTTAATGGGAAAAATAAGTATTAATATTAAAATAATACACAAGTTAAGGTAATTTTTGCATTTACCTCGCATAAAACTTTCCCTCTAATATGGTTATGTACATGAACTCTAAAACTGCCCCACGTACTCAGAGTTATTTTACAAATTTTACACTTCATAGGACCTTTTGGGTCACCTTCCATCAGCTCCATATACATTTCTCTAATTTTTTTTCTCGGTAACTTTTTCTGTTTGCCATCTTGAACTGAATTCCCGCCATTTTCTTCATCTGTCAATCTATCACATTGGATTTCTATTTCGATTTCTGCAAATCCGGAATTATCTTCGTAATCGCTATCGGAATCTTGGTTTAAATCTTCTTGTTTTAAATTTGAATTGATTTCAGTAGTGTCTGGTTCATTATTTTCGATTTTTATCAGCGAATTATTGGCTAAATTCTGTTGTACTAGTTTTTTGTGGGCGTCGTGACTTTGGTTTCTTAGAGAAAAGGCGGAGTTGACCAGTTCGGTACAGTCGCCACAAATTTTCTGAGGGTAGCCATCGTTTGGTTCTATCTGCAACAAATATTAATATGTGTGTACACCTACATAACTACACTAACTGACATAGCCCGCAGAATCTCTAAAATCAAGTGGCAGTGGGCGGGGCACATAGGTCGTAGAGCTGATGGCCCAGCGGCCTGGCTGGAAAATTCTTGAGTGGCGAACCACGAGCCGAAAGAAGGCAGGCCTCCTACTCGCTGGACCGACGATCTGGTTAGTGGCGGCGTAGCATGGGTTGGCACCATTAGAGCAACAAAGAATGAGCGAGCGAGATGTCACTATCTGCAACCCTGTGTGATAAAAAGAGATGTGTGATGCCGTCACCGTCCATTAGAACCATTTTTGCAAAAGATTTGACAGACAGTGACACTAAGAGGCACAAAGAAAATTTCAATTCATTGTTTTTTACATTGAGTTATAATGTACTACGTAGTAATATTACTTCAATGGTTTTTTATAAAAATTTCGGAAAATCCTGTTTATTTTGGTAAAAATTGTATTCTAATATAATGGTGACCGGTTCCGTCCTTGATTGTGATGTACACCAAAGGAATAATCCCGCAAAACATTAATTTCACAGGTAAATTAATTTAAATCGACACATCCAAACTTTAGCTTTATTTTTGTGAATGCGCTTAGAATTTTAAGCACTAAGTGTGATAATTATGTTCTTTAAACATTAATTTAAGTTGTGAGCATTTCATGCACATAATCCAGAATTTACGAATATTTTGTGTAAAGAAATAATTTTCGTATTACACTAGGTCTGTACCTAGGGTTGCCAGGCGTCCGGCTTTAGCCGGACATGTTTGGCTTTTTAGGGACTTGTCCGGCCAAATATTGCCTTGTCCGGCCTGTCCGGCTTTTGTTAGGTACCAAATAAAAAGTATTTGGTTGCCACGCCAGGCGAAAGTCGAGCCACAGAATCATATGAAGCGCACGCATCAGGATGTCGGTTAGCAACCGATGATGATAGTACTCTCATGAGCGCTGACACTAATTGCATTGTCACATGTCCGGCTTTTAGGGTAAAATGTCCGGCCAAATGAAGCACAAAGTCCGGCTTTTGTGATTTTGGAGCTGGCAACCCTATCTGTACCACAATCGATAAATATACCTATTTTATGCACTGTTTATCACAGTCACTGCTGCTTATGTAGGTACATAAATGGCGTTTATATATGAATTTGGAAAAGTATTATTTTGTAATTACCTGTTAGTTAATAAACTAAACTAAATATTAGATACTAAACATAATAATAAATATGTCTTAAGGATCAGAGGTGAGAGTGCTTTTTAAAAGTAATGTACGGCACCAGCAGATATCGATTTATTACATAACCGAAACCAATAATTCCACAAATCAAATTGACGTAATAAAGAAATATGCCTATGGCAGAAATAATGATCTAGGTCACAAATATCACAGTCCCTGAACCGAGAGAACGTCCGTCACAGCGAAGCGCTCGAGCAAAGTGTCGCGGCGCGCCGGGCGGCCGGTTTCTCGTGCCTTCCCACTCTAACACAGAGACAACAGGATCGAACGATATGACGTCACGCTGACGTAGCGGGTGTTATTTCTAAGATATGTTTATGCACACAAATGTTTGTACTGTGCAGGAATCGAACCCGCTACCTCCGGAATAGTAGTCCGTTTCGGACCACTACACCAAACGACCAACAGACAGACAGTCTGTCTGTCTGTCTGTCTGTCTGTTACGCTTTCCCGCTTAAACCTCGCAACCGATTTTGATGAAATTTGGCATAGAGATAGTTTGAGTCCCGGGAAAGAACATAGGATAGTTTTTATCCCGGTTTTTGAAACAGGGACGCGCGCGATAAAGTTTTTCTGTGACAGACAAAATTCCACGCGGGCGAAGCCGCGGGCGGAAAGCTAGTAACTAATATAATCGATATCGATATTCATGTGAAAAGTAACGACATACATCACTGACATGCACACATTTATTTTTACACACACAAATGACATCTCAATTTCGGTTTCGTTTGACAGCTCGTGATTGTTGCTCTAATTGGCACCCGGGGCGATCCTCTTAATACTAATTCGAAGATATTAGTATTAGTACGAATGAGCTATAATAACATATTATTATAGATACCAATGGCACGGATTTTGATGAAACTTTACAGTATTATTGTTTATAACCCAGAATAAGTCTTTAAATAAAAAAAAAAATAAGCTATAATTTGTGACGATATGTGATACAAAATTTTCCACCGGTGAAGCTGCGGACAAAAGCTAGTTTACCTTAAGAACAAAATTAAGTAACATTTTGAGGTTATGTTTATAACAACGGAGTATAGTAATATCGCTCACCTTCAAACCAGTTGTTAACATAAGCACAGTCGAATACCTCTCACTTTGTTTATCAACAAATATTGGGTTTAAATTCAAATCACTTAGACACAATCTACAAACATCAAGCGACATTTTTAACTTTTCTATTTGATTGCAATAAAATTGTGTTTTTGGAAAGTCGGGTATAGCTAGCTCATCTGTCAGATGAAATGACAACTTATTTTTTTATTGTGCTATACGGCTTTGGGTTCAACCTTTTAAGCCAAGTTGGACAAAGGAAACGGCTGACATAAAAAAAAATCTAAACTCAAATCATTTATTGTTTTCAAATTAAATGAAATATTTAAACAAAAATTTAAAAAAAAACTGAAATTTATAAATAAGCCAGAACTTTTCTAAGATTATTATAAATCTTTTCAGAGACATTTACCTAATAAAATATATCAAAAGGCGTCATAATTTCGACGTGTTGATATTCAACGTACTATTTTCGCAAAAAAACTTTCTAAAACTTATCATTATTGTCATTTATAGCCTGACCAGGAANCGTTTTCACACGTCCCATCCGGTATTTAACCCTATCACTGCTTCGGGTAGCACTTTTATGACTTACTTATTGTCTGACATCCTTGACCTACTTTTTTTTTCCTATTATGGCATGCACGGCTTGTGCGTCAGCCACGATGAGGTAAGGTAAAGCCTTTACCTTGCCAGGGTGTTAGGTAAATGGGTATATGAGCCGACACTAGCCCATGTTAACATGGTCATATAAATGGTATGGTGAAGTCAGAAAATTGATATCTTCATTTTAATTGTTTTAATTTTCATGCAAATCGGATTTTATAAAATTTATTTTGTATGTAGCACCCATAACACAAGCATTAAGTTGCTTACTTTGGGGCTAGCTGGCGCTGTGTGAAATTGTCCAAAGATTTATTTATTTACTAGCTTTCCGCCCGCGGCTTCGCCCGCGTGGAATTTTGTCTGTCACAGAAAAACTTTATCGCGCGCGTCCCTGTTTCAAAAACCGGGATAAAAACTATCCTATGTTCTTTCCCGGGACTCAAACTATCTCTATGCCAAATTTCATCAAAATCGGTTGCGAGGTTTAAGCGGGAAAGCGTAACAGACAGACAGACAGACAGACATTTAGGTACATACATTTACCAATTTTGGTGATAAATAGGCATTTTGTATTAGTTTTTGTATGACGCCTGAACAAAAACAAAGGGTAATAATTTGGTGTTATACATAGATTTCGAATATAAAAAATATATAATTTAACTAATTAAGACATGACAAAAAAACTGAGGTATGTCTCGTTTCTGTCGGGCCTGGGTCTCACAGATGACCGTTCTTCTTTCATCAAAATCGGTTGCGAGGTTTAAGCGGGAAAGCGTAACAGACAGACAGACAGACAGACAGACAGAGTTACTTTCGCATTTATAATATTAGTTGGGATTTATTTATTCACAATAGCTTCATTGGCAAGTTTATCAGCCTTTTCATTACCGAAAATATGGCTATGACGACCTACATTTTGTGGACTTCTAGACTAATAAGTAATATGTGGACGTCATTTAGGTACGTAAAGCCGGGTCTTCAGCGCGTGTTTTGCCACCAACAAAAACATGTCAACATTCAACAAAATTGTCTACAAAAACAATACTAGGTATCTACTACTAGCTGACGTACGCTGTTTTGACCAATCGTATCGCAGAATCGAAGAAGCACGTCTGGATTGGAGAGTTTAAAAATTACCGTATTCGGGGCTCTGTTTATGATGCCCCAGTGTTTACTCGTGTGCTGTCGTTCAAGTGTAATTTTCATTTAAAAACGTTCGTTCACCTACCATTAGCTGTCACTAGAAATGTTAGGGCAGAGGTTACATCCGTTAACGTTTAAAAACAACTGACGTTTACATGTAGCCACCGTTAATAGCGGATCGCTGGTTCCGACTTTTGTCACTTTGGAAACCATGTAGTTGAACGAAGATGGTGGCGCCCTTCTGTCACTGTCAATAGGACAGTTCAGTGTAGTTCTTCTATACGTTTCACACAAATGACGTCCACTGCTGGACAAAGGCCTCCCCCAAAGATTTCCATAGACCTGCGCTGCCCGTATCCAGGCTCTTCCCGCGACCACCACCAGGTCGTCGGTCCACCTAGTGGGGGGCCTGCCCAGTGACCATACTACGTCTTGCGACACTTGCTCCACTCGTCAATTTCTGCCCCAGTGGCCATCAGCTCCACTTTCGGCCTGATCATCGCTCTTATGTGAGACACAGTCCTAGAGCTTCCTTGTTGTGGACAAAAATTGAAAATTATTTCAATGTTAGATAGCCCATTTATCGAGCAGGCTATAGGCTACCATCACGCTAAAACAAATAACGATTCCACGAGGACAAATTCGCGAGCAAAAGCTAGTTTAAGTAGTAAGCAATAAAAAAAAACCCTCCTTCTGGCGCAGTCGGGTAAAGATTTACGAATAGGTACACCGACCCCATGACCTTATTCAATGAAGGTCGTATTTCAAAGAAATTAAAAAGGAAAAAATACTTGGTAGGTTACCTACCTAAAAAATAAAAACAATTGTATTAAATATTTTTTTAAAGATTTCAAATATCTATTGAAGGTAAGTTACATGCTAAAAGTCATAAGAGGCGACTGAAGGACGAAAGTCCAATAAATCCAAGAAATATCTACCTACTTAATTTAATACTACCTACTACCAGGCCTGTTCATCTCCGCGAGTTTACATCGAAAACAAAACACGCACGATGGCCCTCTACAGGAATTCGACAAGGCCTCACATACGAGCGAACATTGACTCACGCACGCGTATTCTTGTGTTGATGGAAGAAAATAAAGAAAATGGTGTACTAAATACTGTGCAGTATTTAACTGCCTAAATAATAATAAAAACACAGAATGTCCTTTTTTAAGTTGCCTCAAGACACTGAGAGGTAAATAATATTATTCATGATAAATTCATGCTAAATAATGTATTTCCTCCGCCNATGGTTTCCAACATGGCAAAAATCGGAACCAGCGATCCGGTATTGACGGTGGCGCCCCACTGTCAATGTCATCGACAGGACAGTCCAGTATTTTGGAACTATAGCTTCGGCGCAGTGCCGATCACTGACGTTTGTCAACAAAATGGTGCTTGACTCTTGAGACAGGCTAAATTACACCATATTGCTAATGACATTGAGCATACATTTTTTAAATACCTGCGCGAAGTAAAACTTCTGTACGTAGTACTTATTATTATTCTGTGCTACCTCCAACCCGTCTGGCCAGCGTGGGGAGTGTAAACCAAATCCTCCATTTGCCTCTGGAAAATTCAAGACAGCCGTGCTCCTATTCATCATCATCATCATTTCAGTCACAGGACGTCCACTGCTGAATATAGTCTTCCCTCAATGATTTCTTTGTTGACCGGCCTGCATTGCAGCGCCTTCCTGCTACCTTTAAGAGATCGTCGGTTCACCTTGTGGGCCCGAATAATTTCCATAATGACCGGTTGGTAGCGGGCGGCGGTACGTTACTCCACACCACACCTAAGGGGGTAAAACGGGATCCACGCGTACGAAGTCGCGGGCGGAGCGTTATCACAGTAGATTATATATACTGTGGCATTATTGCGGCGCAATTAAAACACGTATCCTACAACTAAACAGGATGAAGCAAAAAACGGGATGTCTCTGTGGGAACATGCCGTGAATTGTTCCGTGCAGTAATTTCCTAAAATATACAGGGTGTTAGGTAAATGGGTATATGAGCCGACACCAGCCCATGTTAACATGGTCATATAATGGTATGGTGAAGCCAGAAAATTGATATCTTCATTTTAATTATTTTAATTTTCATACAAATCGGATTTTATAAAATTTATTTTGTATGAAAATAAAAAAAATAAAATGATGATAGTTATCAAATTTCTGACTTCACCATACCATTTAAATGCCCATGTTAACATGGGCTAGTGTCGGCTCTTATACCCATTTACCTAACACCCTGTATAAGTCAAAGGTTGCATCCTTGTAACATCTCAGTTTTGCTTGTCACTTCTCAGGGCTGGCAAAGAATGAACCAAAGTCCAATAGATTTTTTTATAAAGATTATTACCTAGTATTTGTTTTTGCACAAATTACTGATTAGTAATTTGTGCAAAAATAAACCGTTAGCCCCTCGTGGTAGGATAATTAAAAACCTTCTTGAATCACTCTATCTAATGAAAAAAACGCATAAAAATCCGTTGCGTAGATTTAAATATATTAATTTAAGCATACAGACAGACAGCGGAAAGACAGTTTGTTTTAAAATAAGTATGCAATGATGCTGCAAAAAACAAGAATAAAATTTCTTTATATTGCATAAAAACGATAAAAAAATTATAATAAAAAAATCGCAAGGTAACTACCATTGTTATTTTTTTTACCAAAAAAATATCCGTTAGACAACCCTAAATGTAGGATTAAATGCGAAATAAATTAGAAAGAACTCCAGTCTCAAATAATTTTTCAGTGTAGTTCGAACAACGGTGGTGGAGGTGTCTCAAAAAGTTTTGAATTAAAAATCCAAAATGGCTGTGCCTCTTGTCACTTTGAATACTGGCTACAATTGCCCAATGCTGGGATTGGGAACTTGGCAGGTGAGAATTAAATAAAAAAAATATTGTTCATTACCTAATGCCATTTTTCTCAGCAATTAGATTTCTTGGTTTCCTGAATACTTAATGAAATCTATTTGGATATATAAAACACTTCTTCGCATCGCCTCGGGGGAAACTGGCTATGCAATAACAATAAAAGAATTCCTATGGCCACCTCCTGATTCCATCATCAATACGCTGGACATCATCTAGTACTAAAGTGCTCGAAAAGACAAATCCAACGAACCCAAATTCGATGCGATGCCGCCGTTTCATTTAGGAGTTCCTATGGCCCCCTCATGACTCCATCATCAGACCAGCTCAATCGGTTGTGGAAAACTGGTCTTAAATTCAGTTGCAAGAGTTGTCCTACACATACTAACAAGTGTCGTTGTGATCTGGTTACAAAAACTGTTGTTTTGGGTTCTGGAAGTTCTGGAAGCCCGAACGTACTTGTCAGAACGCGTTTTTCTAGCGTTTTTCGGCGTGCCTGCTGTATCTTTTCGGTAAATAGTAGGTACTGGATTAACGATTAACGGACTTAGGATAATTTAACGGAAGTTAACGAGTCCGTTAACATTTTTTAAAGTTTAATTAAAAGTTAATCCGTTAATAGAAATGTTAACTTCGTTAATTAACGATTAACGGATTAACGAGTTAATGCCCAGCTATGCCAGTATCAACCCTACCTCTGCTTCGGGACGATAAATGGGCCAGTGTTGAGAAGAAAGCTACACAACTACGCAAGAAACTCAGTCACGATTGTCAGCCTCCTTATCAAGGAAATATTAATAATAATAATAATAATAAGCAGTTCGATTTCTTTAAAGTTAGGAATAACCTTTTTTTGCAGTCCAAGCCAGGAGAGGTGGAGCAAGCAGTGAAAGACGCCATTGACGTGGGCTACAGACACATAGACTGCGCGTTTCTCTACTACAATGAGGCCGAAGTCGGTAAGGCCATCAAGGAAAAGATCAAAGCAAAAGTGGTGAAGAGGTAAGTGAGAGTTTTGTAAACAATCATCATCATTTCAGCCACAGGACGTCCCAGTCCTGGATGTGTCAATAGGCCGTATAGGTCGCGGCTTAGGGGCGGCAGCGTCCTAGGGGCGGCAGATTTTATATGACGCTTACTCGATTTCAGAAGATAAAAGTTAAATAAAGATCCAACCCCACCCTAGCGTACGGGCGGCAAAACTGTAAATCCGCCACTGGGACGTCCTCTGCTAAACATAGGCCTCCCCTGTGGGCCTCCCCCAATAATTTCCACATTGCCCAGTTGATGATAGCGACTTGCATCCAGCGCCTTCCTGCTACTTTTATGAGGTCATCCATCCATAGGCCTCCCCCAATGATTTCCGGATTGGCCGGTAGCGGCCTGCATACAGCACTTCCCTGTTAAAATGTGGTCGTCTGTCCCCCTTGTGGCCGGACATCCTACGCTACGCTTGCAGGTTCTTGGCCTTCACTCTAGAACCTTGTTGTAACATCGACCGTCAGTTCTGCTTGCTATGTGCCCTACCCATTCCACTTTAGCTGAACAAAACAGGAGTAATCCCACAGAATATTTCCGAATATTGTCACTTCATCAGGTGTCATTGCTGTCAAAACTCTAGTCTGTTCCGCATTTTTTGTCAGTCAAAACTAACTGTCAAAACTAATTTAACTAACTAATTATAGTTTCAAAGCTAGGAACAATCGAATATGAAACCGCAAATAATTCTGTTTTCAAAGCTAAAATAGTTTGAGAAGTTGAGTCTTGGAAATTTTAAACTTTTTTTGTTAGTACTTTTGTATTTTGTCTGTATCTATAAGACAAATTCTAAAATTAGTTAACTAACTAACATGTATTCGAACTGATTTATGTTAATTTATTTGCAAGAAAACAAAATGAAATGGACTTATAAGAAAAAGACGAGATTGTTAGACTTTGAATTGTGTATTAAGAAAGGTGATAGGGCTCGACATCCGTTAGCAGGCTGTGTAAGTTACCGGATGCCTCTAGGCATCTATACAAATGTTTATTTTATTTTGTTTTTAATAATTTTACATAATGTATAGTTAATATTATAAAGCTGAAGAGTTTGTTTGTTTGCTGGAACGTGCTAATCTCAGAAACTACGTGTCCGATTTGAAATTTCTTTTTTTTGGGGCCCATTAACGAGGAAAGTTTTAGGCTAACATCACCCAACAGCCAATAGGGGCGGAATAAAGAATGTTGCAAAAACGGGAATCTTTTAAACTATGTATTTTCCAGGGTACGAAGTCGCGGGACAGATAGTATTATTTTCGTGGATAACGGTGCTGGTTGTGCATTTATTTAAGACTAGCTGTGCCCGCGACTTCGTCCGCGTGGACTAATGACTTTGGGTAGGCACTTTTAATAATTTAGTCTAATTATTTTACAAAGGCCTATGTTCAGCAGTGGACGTCCTATGGCTGAAATGATGATGATGATGATTTTACAAATAGCTTTTGCCCGCGACTTCGTCCGTGTAGAAGTCGAAAAAGTTCTCATAGGATTTTTAAATGGTTTTTAACGTTATTATCTAAATGTTTGAATACTATTTGATCGTTTAAACACAGTGAATGATTCAATTACATAAAATTTTAATGATACTTTTCACGGCTTCGCTCTCATGAATGTTAACGACCGTCAAAAGCACGTCGATAGATGGCGGTCACTAATTTAGACTTTGATTTGCTCGTTTAAACACAGTGAATTATTCAATTACATAAAATATCTATAATGACTAAATTTTAAATATTATGAACAGTTCTATAAATGTAATATTTAGTTCCTAATTAGGACTAATGATACGTTTCACGGCTTCGCTCTCATGAATGTTTACGACCGTCANTTATTGGGTCTTCACAAATTATTATCACTATATCCTTCTTCTGACATGCTACTAATCACTAATTTGGAATCAAAAACTTCGTTCTAGGTATCTTCTATTGTTTTATCACTTATAAACCACCAATAGTGCAAAAAAATAAAAAACAAATAAAAATTGCCATGAAAAAAAAACTAACGTAACTGGTATTGTGGGGGCCGCGCGGACCCCAACACGTGCATATCTTCATCCTGGTGAATGATGCAGTGCTGAAACACCTGCACCAGACGCGAGTAGCGCCGAAATGAGAATACCAAAAATTTTGGCTGCTCACGATGCGTAGCTTCTTAGAAATCAAAGAAAACGTCATGCGTGGGGGCCGCGCGGCCCCCACGATACCAGTTAAGGGTTAATAATAATGCATTTATTGACATACACCTGAATGCGTTCGTGAACAACTTGTTTAGTATAAAAATTATAGCTATATTCAAAATACAAGGCTTATGCACCCTGTGCCGCACTGAAGTAGGGAAGTCTGGTGGGTATTCTAGGGACGTGAAATACAAATATCGATAGTTTAAATTAAGTTTTAATAAAAATTATAAAAGTAACAAACAAAGATGTTTTAATAATTTAGTCTAAATATTTTACAATTAAGACATACGTGCATAAATACTTAAATAAGCCATATTTAAAGAAAACATATTATTTAATAACATTTAGTTACAACTTCAAATGTTTTTCACGAAAAACATTATTTAAATTAGCAATAAACCGTGTAGCAAATTAAATTATAATCAATTTGCAGTTTTGATTTTGTTTGTTTCTCTTGACGCCATGTCGACATGTGCGTTTCTTACGAATGCGAGGCAACACTGGCTGCACGAAGCTAGCGTGGGGTGCGGTACCAGGTGCGCAGGGTACAAGGTGCTTCGACCTGGTTTCGCATTGTGAAGACATTTTATTACTTCCGTGCGGTACCAGGTCTAAAAACCTGGTATTAAGGTAGGTACATCATTGGATTCTATTTTAAGAATACATCATAGATATATATTCATCACTTTCCTACACCGGACCCAATTGAAGTTATGCCTTTCGCACGACAAGGAAGACTATAATTTTCTTAGCCGCACGGTAAGCGAGACGTACACAAGGTCTATAGACCTGGTTTCGCACTCAACGTGTTAAAATGTGGTCGTCTGTCCACCTTGGGGCCGGACATCCTACGCTACGCTTGCAGGTTCTTGGCCTTCACTCCAGAACCTTGTTGTAACATCGGCCGTTACTTCTGCGTGCTATGTGCTCTGCCCATTACCACTTTAGCTGAACAAAACAGGAGTAATCCCACAGAATATTTCCGAATATTGTCACTTCATCAGGTGTGATTGCTGTCAAAACTCTAGTTCTGCATTTTTTTGTCAGTCAAAACAAACTGTCAAAACTAATTTAACTAATTATACCTCGGCATCAAATAAATCGCACCCCCCGCAGCAAGCACTTTTCAAACGTTTATGCAACCCCACTTCCCACCAACATTGATTCCATTTGAAAGCCTAGTTCTTCTAACCTTGATTTCATTAAAGGAAAGGTTTTTACGCCAAAAATGTGTTTTTAGACGGATCCAGAGTCACTTCTTCAAAAAATACGTAGTTACGCTTGAGCCATCTTTTATGGCTATAAAACTGTTAAATAATTTAATCGCTATCAATCTGTTAAAAAGGATACGTAAGATCATTATTTGGTTTTATAACCACAAAAATTGGTCTAATTGGTCCCAGAGGTGAGCCCCAAGTGAGGCCTTATTTCAAGTCACATTTATGGTACTTAATAATTGTTTATAAAAAAATTCAGTGTGTTTTTCTTTAAGTTTATTTAATGGGCTTTCAAATAACACAAATATTGTTGGGGCACCATGATTGTGTCAGAAGAAAATCTTTAAAGTTCGCGTCGCGGAAGGTGCGGTTTATTTGATGTTGAGTATAGTTTCAAAGCTAGGAACAATCGAATATGAAACCGCAAATAATTTCTGTTTTCAGAGCTAAAATAGTTTCAGAGAAGTTGAGTCTTGGAAATTTTTAACTTATAGGCCAGTAGAATTAGAGTCTTTATGGGCAACTAATGAAGCCATTAAAGCACTAAAATCTTTACTAGGAATTATTTCCGATTTAATTCATTTTTGTGTTTAATTCTACTGGCCTATTAGTTTTGTTTACTTTTTTTTGTTAGTACTTTTGTATTTTGTCTGTATCTATAAGACAATTCTAAAATTAGTTAGAACTGATTTATGTTAATTTATTTGCAAAAAAAAACAAAATGAAATGGACTTATAAGAAAAAGACGAGATTGTTAGACTTTGAATTGTGTATTAAGAAAGGTGATAGGGCTCGACATCCGTTAGCAGGCTGTGTAAGTTACCGGATGCCTCTAGGCATTATACAAATGTTTATTTTATTTTGTTTTTAATAATTTTACATAATGTATAGTTAATATTATAAAGCTGAAGAGTTTGTTTGTATGCTGGAACGCGCTAATCTCAGGAACTACTGGTCCGATTTGAAATATCTTTTTTTTTGGGGCCCATTATCGAGCAAAGTTTAAGGCTAACATCACCTAACAGCCAATAGGAATAAAGAATGTTGCAAAAACGGGAATCTTATAAACTATGTATTTTCAAGCGTACGGAGTCGCGGGACAGCTAGTTGTATTATGTAACTAATATTAACTATGTAGACTATAGCTGATGGTTTCTATAAATAAATATGGGCTTAAAAACATGTCTGAAAAAATTTTTCCTTGAGTTATTTTTAATTTTTACATAACTACCCGAGTAACAAAAGGTTATAATATCACACAACACGCTTCGTTGTTGTGTTTTGACTCAGCAAGTACCTTGCCCGCTGAAGTGACATTGGGCAGGGCACATAGTAGGTACGCAGAACTGACGGCCGATGGGGTAGCAAGGTTCTGTAATGGAGGCCGCGTACCGAAAAACGCAGCATGCGACGTCCACCCATAAAGTGGTGGACCGACGAGGGACGACATCATAAAGGTAGTAGGAAGGTGCTGGACGCAGGCCGCTACCAACCGGTCAACATGGAAGTCATTGGGGGAGGCCTATGTTCAGCAGTGGACGTCCTGTGGCTGAAATGATGATGATGAAGTATTATACCTTGCCTTACTACTTACTTAGTTAGGCTGCTTTATAATGGAATTAATTAGTTATGCCTCCCCCAATGATTCCCACATGGGTCTGCATCCAGCGCCTTCCTGTTACCCTTATGAGGTCATCCGTCCACCTTGTGGGTGGACGTCGTACGCTGCGGTACGTAGCCTCCACTCCAGAACCTTGCTGTCCCATCGGCCGAAGGTTCTGCGTGCTATGTGCAGTGTCCATAGCCGCTTTAGCATGCTAATCTGTCAGCGACTTTAGTTTTAGTTTAGTTAGTTTGGTTACGGATCTCCTCATTTCTGATTTGATCTCGTATAAAGAGTTCGCGGTCACCTTCTACTGTATTTTAGATTCACTCTATTGTAATATTAAGCTGAAGTTTGGTTGTTACAACGCGCTAAACTCATGAACTACTTATCTACTGGTCCGATTTGAAAAATTATCCAAGTGTTCAGATAGTCCATTTATCGAGTTAGGCTATTATTTTAGGCTAAGTACCTATTAATGTAAGACAAGTTACTATTCCACGCGGACGAAGTCGCAGGCAGATGCTAGTCTAAATTCAAAGGTGACTGACTGACTGACTGACATAGTGATCTATCAACGCACAGCCCAAACCACTGGACGAATCGAGATGAAATTTGGCATGCGAGTAGATGTTATGACGTAGGCATCCGCTAAGAGGATCCACGCGTACGGAGTCACAGGCAGAAGCTAGTTTAAATCAATAAAAGATGAAGGGAAATCGCTTTATATCATAGATTTTTCTGATTTCGTCCTCAGGAAAGACCTGTTCCTGACTTCCAAGCTATGGTGTACCTTCCACAACCCGGATCTGGTGGAGGCTGCTTGCAGGAAGACCATGTCGGACCTTGGGGTCGACTATTTGGATCTGTACCTCATCCACTTCCCTCAGGGATATGAGGTAGAGTACCAAAGAGTTTATTGAAGAGTTAGGACATTTTCGCGAGTTTATTGCATAGTTGGGATTTTTCCCTCGGTGTCAATTTTAAGTCTTTTCATTTCCTCATTTTTTACACACAATGAAGAAGCTCGTGACTAGGGATTGCAATCCGGTTCGGCGGATCCGGTAATCCGGCGGATCCGGTGTGTTTTTGGACCTACCGGATCCGGTGACTCGGCGCCGGATCCGGTGGCGGATCCGGTAAAGCAAAAAATACGCGAACGTGAACTGGGAAAGTCGAGCGCGCACGCATTTGCCAGATCGCTAGACGTACCGCTCGTTCGACGTTTCTTAGGAGTCAGATTATTTCTTAAAAAGAACTGAAGTTGAATTTATAAGTAAGTACTTTAAAAGACTGTTTTGTTGATTTAAGCCTGTGTAAATTATTAATAAGAGTTTAATAGTATTATTACTTAAGTACTTTCAGATACTCACATACAGCAATAAGTGAGAATCAGACTGATTACTAACTTTATTATTTAGAATTTTCATAATTTTATTAGTACAAATAGTACGTACTTACCAAAAATTACAATTAATACCGAAAAATATAAATAAAAGTGACTTTATTTTCCATAAATACGTATTTTTTTTATGNCTGTCTAGTGAAAAAATAATTAATCTACTTATTTGTAATGAGGTATGGAAATCCTTCATAGTAGGGTAGGTTCCTATACTATCCTAAGAATTATTGATTACCTACATGGCCAACATACCTTTCAGCATCTTTGGATAGCGAAAAAAAAAAGATAAATCCGGTAGATTACTTTTCGTTTAAACACCCGAACGCCGCACAATATTTCTTTCTCTTTATGTCCATTTTTAAATAATACTTCGATCATAGAATAATAATCATACTACTACAACGCACGCCACGCGCCAGCGTCCTGACGAGCGCGCGCGTGACACTCGACTGATATAATACCCGCCGGCGGGGCGCTTCGCTGTAGGTAATTATCGGATGTACCGCGCGGAGTGAGCCAGGCCTGGTACTGGTCCGATTTGAAAAATTATCCAAGTGTTCAGTTCAGATAGCCCATTTATTGAGGAAGGCTATTATTTTAGGCTATGTACCTATTAATGTAAGACAAGTTACTATTCCACGCGGACGAAGTCGCAGGCAGAAGCTAGTCTAAACTAAATAACTCAAAGGTGACTGACTGACAATATAGTGATCTATCAACGCACAGCCCAAACCACTGGACGGATCGGGCTGAAATTTGACATGCAGGTAGATGGTATGACGTAGGCATCCGCTAAGAAAGGATTTTACGAAACTCCACCCCTAAGGGTGTAAAACGGGATCCACGCATACGGAGTCACAGGCAGAAGCTAGTTTAAATCAATAAAAGATGAAGGGAAATCGCTTTATATCATAGATTTTTCTTATTTCGTCCTCAGGAAGGACCTGTTCCTGACTTCCAAGCTATGGTGTACCTTCCACAACCCGGATCTGGTGGAGGCGGCTTGCAGGAAGTCTATGGCTGACCTCGGCGTGGACTATTTGGATCTGTACCTCATCCACTTCCCTCAAGGATATGAGGTAGAGTACCAAAGAGTTTATTGAAGATTTAGGACATTTTCGCGAGTTTATTACATAGTTGGGATTTTTCCCTCGGTGCCAATTTCAAGTCTTTTCATTTCCTAATTTTTTACACACAATGAAGAAGCTCGTGTCTTGCATCTGATGGAAAGTGATGATCAAGACGAAGGTGGAAGCGAGCTTCAAACTGAATCCTCAACCGCAGTAAGAATGGGGATGTTGCCTGGGTCAAAAAGCAAGAGTTTTAATTAGTCCGTCAGTTAACTTATCAAAAAATACTCTACACGTATTTTTCACTTTTTCAAACTAATGAAAATTTAAAGAGATAAAGCGCCCCAAAGTTCATAAGAAGAGGCCCGTGACGTCAACGGTATCCTTCCGTTTGGCCAAATTACTTTTCGCCAAATTTCACTTCGCAAACAACTTATCGCCAAAGTTTCATTTCCCAAATAAACTTTTAGCAACTGTACTTTTCGCAACTAATTCATTTGGTCAAATTAACATTTGGCCAAATTTTACTTGGCAAATGTTTATATAGCAAATGTTTTATTTTGCCAAATATTATATCCCAAATAATTTGCTTGGTCAAATTGACACTTCACATACTTACGAGTACCCACCGTTACCCACAAATCAAAGCATAAGGCACATGGTCATGGTTCTCACAATAATTTTATGTAAAACAGAGAGATTGCAGAAAATAGTATGGTTGCAAAAAGTAGGTATTGTAGAAAATAGTAGGTTAGGTTAGGTTAGAACAGTGACCCTTAATGCGCGAAGGCGAGCGAAGCGTGCCGCGGCAGCGGCCGCCGAGCGCTAGAATCATCTCTATTGTTAATGAATCATTTGGAAATTTCGATAAAAAGAATGAAATATGAAAATTTATTTAGAAAATTTTTTATATTAACTACCCACTAAACAAAATAATAACCACAAGCTAATTTGTGTTTGTGTTCCATTCTATGCATCAATCATATTGTTTTGTAAATAGTTTATCGCGAAATATTTTTGCCAAATGAAACATTTGGCAAAACATACTTTGCCAAACAATAATTTGCTAAACAATAATATGCCAAAAACGACATTTGCGAATTAAAAGTTTGCAATAAGTTGTTTTGCCAAATGAGAATTTGCCAAATGAAAATTTGCGAAACGTTGTTTGCGATGTGATAATTTGGGAAACGTTTTTTGGCCAAACATTAGTAATCCGACGTCAACGCTTGCTTAAAAATGCCGCACGTTGTGACGTCGTGCGCAACTTCAACGCACCATAACTATGTAATAATTTGTTAGATTGACAAATAAAAATATATGTGTCCAATATTTTTTGATATTAAACATTACGGACTAAAAAAATTTTTTTAGGCAACTAGCCTATTATAACTATCTATGATCTCCGACTGCCGAAACAACAACGATCGTTGTTTTTGCAGATGGTGGAAACTTAGCAAGGCGGACTTAGCATATTCGAAACACACGGTTGCTGCGTCGCCGCTTTTGAAGAAAACGCTAGATCCTTTTTAGGGTACCTAGGTCTTCTTGAATAGTAATTTTAGCTATGTGCTAGAATTGCTAAGATACTAAATAAAATACCTTTTTATAGCCCGCAGAAGACCCATTCGCGAAGCTTGACGATCCCTTCGCGAAGCTTCCCAACGGGCGGACCAATGCGTCGGTGTACGACTACGTGGATACCTGGATAGCGATGGAAGCACTGGTTGAGAAGGGCCTGGTCCGCAGTATTGGCGTCAGCAACTTTAACAAGAGGCAGCTGGATCGAGTGCTGGGGGTGGCTACCATCATTCCCGCTATGCAGCAGGTATTTTTTAAATGTTTGTAAACCGTATTGCAAAATTAAACAATAATTTCCGTTAACTCCTTCAGATTCAAGCTTCATTTTATGTTTAGGTACTAGTCCGAAGATTTTACAACGAATGCTTTGTGCAATCATTTCGCCTTATTAATTTATCTACGAGGTAAGCGGTCGACGGGTGGGAGTGGGACTATAGTGGTGGTGGACCGGATGTTTAACGAACGACCCTCGAATTGACAGTCTACCTCGCTCGCTAACTTCATATAAAGGATCGTCTTTCGCAACGAAAGAAAACCATTTGGCAATCGTGTTTGTCTCGAAAATAACCCATGAGAAGTAAAAGCTCCATGAGGAGTTGACAATTTTGTTCTACCAAACCTATAGCGAAATATTTAGTCTATTCGAATTCTATATCCTCCTTCTCCAGAATCCTCAACCACAGAAGAAGAAGAACTGCCGAAACACATCTCATACTTTTGCCATCTTTCAGATCGAAGTGCACCCATACCTGAACAACGCAAAGCTGATCGACTATTGCCGGTCGAAGGGCATAGCAGTGACCGCTTACTCTCCGCTAGGATCCCCGGAAAGGCCCTGGGCTAAGCCGGGAGAGCCCAACCTGATGGACGATCCCAGGCTGACCAGCATCGCTCAGAAGTATAAGAAGAGCGTGCCGCAGATTTTGATCAGGTAAAATTGCAATTCGTTTCAGCCAAATGACGTCCGCGTACCGAAAAACGCAGCGTGAGACGTCCACCCACAAGGTGGACCAACGACATCATAAAGGTAGCAGGAAAGCGCTGGACGCAGGCCGCTACCAACCGGGTAACATGGAAAGCATTGGGGGAGGCCTATGTTCAGCAGTGGACGTTCTATGGCTGAGATGATGATGATGATGAAATGACGTCCACTGCTGAACAAAGGCCTCCCCCAAGGATTTCCATAACACCGAACCTGCTCTGCTCGCATCCAGACTCTTCCCGCGACCTTCACCAGATCGTCGGCCCACCTAGTGGGAGGCCTGCCCACGCTAAGTCCTCCGGCCTGCGGTCGCCACTGAGATTTTCTGCCCCAACGGCCATTGTCTCTACTAGATAATATGTGCCCCGCGCACTGCCATTTGATTTTAGCAATTCTACGAGCCATGCAATAAGTAACTAGCTACTTAACTAACTAGCTTACTTAGTTAGGTAGAATGAGATTATCTAACTAAGTAAAGTAATCAACATGACTCGCAGACTTGCCAAACTTCACCGGCAGTGGGTGATGAGCAGGAAGACGGTGGAAGCGAGCTTCACCCGAAATGCTCGACCGCAGAGGAACTGAATAATCTTACCTCTATAACACAACAATTCTGTCAACATTGTTGGTAGTAGCTAGCCAGGTGGACATTGGCATATCTAAGCCTAGGGTACTTTTCCAGGAGGGCCCCTGACAAGCCATGTGACGATGCGATTAGTATCATAGCTCATGAATTAGTTCTATCATATTTGAATCGGTAGCCCATTATCATTGGGCACCAGACCATTCTGGGTTAGTTTAATGCTATCGAGCTTGGGCGCCGCTAGCCAAACCAAGCAATATTTTCTTAGGTAAGTAGAGGGAAGTCGAACCTTAACATCGAACGGGAGTTCTTTTGATTAATTTCGTAGTTTTGATTATTGTCGTTTCGGTCCAATGACAGTTTAGCTTTCCGCCGGAACTAAATTGACCTTTACTGGCTGGGTTATTGGCGGTCAAGCTGTCCTGGCTACACAGGAGTTGCAGCGGTGGGAATCAGAGGTGGGAATAGTCCCGTAATAATAATATTGCCTGTTTTTCCTCAGATACGCCCTTGACCGCGGCCTGGTGGTGATCCCCAAGTCGGTGAAGAAGCAGCGGATAGCGGACAACTTCAACGTGCTGGACTTCAAGCTGCAACAGGAGGATATGGAGCAGATTGCGTCTCTGGAGTGCAGGGGGCGCGTGTGCGATCTGGGCGAGTGAGTACAAAACACAGGCATTTAGTATGGAAGCTGGAAACATTGAATTTTTGGATAGATCCAGTTACGACATCCATGGCGGAGAGTGGCCTTGTAATTCTGACAGAGTAGGTATAGTTTAGCGGTTCCCAAACTTATTTAGTCTACTGCCCACTTAAGAATAAATTATTTTTTAGCGCCCCCTATTTTTGTAGTCAAGAGTCGAGCTCAGTCGATGTCTAAGAGTCCCCCTAGTAGATGACGCCTCCCAAGCTTCTACACAACGTCCCGTTTTTTTTTTCTGGGTTTCTTACCGCCCCCCTTTAATCCTGCAGCGCCCACAAGGGGGCGTTATCGCCCACTTTGGGAAAGACTATAGTTAATCATAATATTTCTTCTTTTTGTTCCAGTTCCGACCACCGTGACTATCCTTTCTTCGACGAATACTAAATTGAAGAATCTTTTTTAATTTTGGAAGACATTTGTAGAATAATTAATTTATTAAAGCGTTTGGACGAAGGGAATCAAAAGATAATATTTGGTTATAATAAATTTTTCATTCACTAAATTGTTTATGAACTATTGTGTTTTATTTTAGAGGTTAGTTACTTAATTTTAAGTGTTGGATTAAAAAAACGTTTCGAAAAAGCCGAAGAAGTGTGAAGAATTCAAATCCTCCTTATGATTTTTGTCAATGTTTGCGTAATTTTTAACAAAGAATAAGTTTTGGGACCCGATCCGAGACACCCTGTATAATCCCTCAGCCATGAATTTATGGTCTTACATCAATTCTTCTTGATCGACACAATTCTTCTGTCCTAGTGTCTATTCTACTAAACTGACAGCTATCAAGTCAAAAATTATCCGATATTTTTGACATATTTTTGTAACATTTCAACAATGAATTTCGGATAAAATTTTCGTGTGAGAAGCCTTCAAGAACACTGTGTTATTCATGTTAATTTCAAAAATTTGTATTTTCCATCACTATGTGGGTAAGTGTCAATTTCAAAGTTCCACTGTGAGTATTGCTGTGAGTGGGTTCACCAGGGTTCACCACAATACTTAGTCCAGCGGCAGCGGAGTTCGGACCAGTGCAGCGTTCCTCTGATCTCCAGTTCGATACTGCTTATTCACATTTGGGCTATCGTGGCTTTAAATGAGTCGTTACTACAACTTATTATACCTCAGTAGGTATCAATTAATATTCTTTACCGACCTTCACTGGTTGTGTTATTGGCGGTCAAGCTGTAGATCCTGGCTCCAAGTTACTTCCACCATTTATGTTCGAGAAGCTTACGCCCAGAAAACAGAATATAGACTGATAATTATAAAGAATTTTAATACCTTTATTACACTACTATAATAACGGTGAATTTGGATGTTTCAGGGAGGCCAGCAGCAAGGATATGGACAGGTAAATTAAGTAATCACCTAAATTATTCGACTAACTACAACCACAACAAGCTGTGCTAAACTGATAGCAGTTGAACTATTTTCCTTCTGTACCCCAAACCCCTTTTCAGTACCCCCAACCCCAGCAAGGCTATGGATACCCACCACAGCAAGGGTACCCTCCACCGCAGGGGTACCCTCCACCACAAGGGTACCAGCAAGGGTACCCGCCTCCACAAGGGTACCCGCCTCCACAAGGATACCCGCCTCCGCAGGGGTACCCTCAGCAGCCGGGAATGCCACAGCAGCAGCAACAACAAGGTTAGATTCAAATCAAATCAATTTATTAATTTATGGGTTTACAACAGCAGTTTAGATTTGTTTTAAAAGAAATATTTCATGAGACTCGTTCTTAAAATCCTGACAGGATTCCGTGGAGGGTAGTTAAACGGAAAGCATGGACTTCAGTAAACAAATGTTGTGTTATTTTGCGTTCTAAAGTAAGTACAGTGAAGTAAATAAAATAAAAACATTGAAACACTTTTCATTTGAGAACGCATCGAGTGTCAAGAGAGTTGTCGTATGAACAATTCTCCATGGGTTCATACTGGAGAATCCAAAGAACAGTAGAAACGCGATTCACGACGTTTGATTTTACATACGGGTTATTTATTCTGTGATACGGGTTCGTACTTGTCTCCTCTGAATCTAAAGGACAGTAGAAACACGATACACGACGTTCGATTATACACCAATTTCCACGTGATATTGTTACCAAAACTACAGTGGCCACGTACCGGAAAACACAGCGTGTGACGTCCACCCATAATGTGGACCGACGACCTCATAAAGGTAGCAAGAAGAGCCAACCGTGTGATGTGGAAGTCATTGGGGGAGGCCTATGTTCAGCAGTGGATGTCCTGTGGCTGAAATGATGATGATGATTGGTACGAAGAAACCTCATAGGTTTGATTGCCTTTAGAAATCCTGTTGACAGATTATTTCTTTTTCAGGATCCTCAGGCATGGGAATGTGCGGAATGGCCAGTCTCGCTGCATGCCTCACTTGCCTTTTCTGCTCGTGTTGCCAAGCAATGGCTGCCATGTCTGGAGGCGGGGGCAACGATGACGGGGGGGCTTACGGTCCCGGTGGGGGCGGTGGCACTGGTGGGGGATATGATGACGGTGGTGGCACTACTGTCAGCCCCCCCGGCTTTGGGTCAGGCGCCCCTCACGATGCTGGCACGGACGGACATGACGATCATTAATTTATTGAGGAGTTAAACAGCTTAGAGTTTGTGCCGGACAGGTACAAACTTGATAAACTTGGCCATCACTGGTCGGGTTTTTATTGGCAGTTAAGCTATAGATCCTTGATGTTGCAGTGATGGGAGTGAGAGTGGAAAGCAGTCAAGCTGTAGATCCTGGATGCACAGGAGTTACAGTGATAGGAGCGAGAATATTGAGGAACTGGCTTTGTTAGTCAGTTTAAAATAATCTTCTACTGTCAGAGTAGCTCTCATCGTTTAGTTAGTTAAAAATAGGTTGCGTTGGAATTTCCGTCGGTGAAGTCCTAAAAATTCAACTTCGAGTATGATGGTTTTCGACCAACTAAGTACTTGAACTATGCTTGAGCTTGAATTGAAATTGGAGCACCGTTTCAGAAACGTGGCTCAAAAAATGTACCGAAAGCCTTTTGAGACTTGATCACTTTAGAAGGCTTTAAACTTCTGAAAAAAGGAGCCTTGAAACATTAAAAACTCAAGTCTAAAGTCAACACGTGTTCTATCCTACTTAGACCTGAAAGTTAAATCTGACCGAAGAAAGCTTGGAAATATGGAAAATAAAGCTTAAAATATTCAGTCAAACCACGGAATAAGTATAGTACTGATCTGATAGGTAGGTACCGTCAAACTATGCATTTATCAGAATTTTGAAAATACTTCGTAATGTACAGTGATTAGTTTTTATTAGATTTAAATTGTGTATTGTGTTTGTGAAATCAAATGCTGTCTGTTTTGATTGCGTACAATAATTTTTTTGCCTTTTCTTTATACAAAATCATGTCTGTGTTATTTCTAATGTTTTAATTATAGAACTCTGTTTGTGGTTTTTAATAAAATATTATTTATTTTTTAACGCATTTCATTTTACTTCACTAGGCATGTCTAGACTTAACAATAAAAGTTAATAAAAAATATACGAAACTGGCAAAAGGAATTGAAAAGACAACCCTAATAATTATCTACACAACGGGTTAGGCATTATTAGGCAGTAGGAGGCAGTAGGTATTTCCTATAAGGTATTCAGTATGGGAAGACGTAGTGTAGGCAGTCCCCCACTAGGTGAACCGACGATCTGGTGCAAAGAATATATTTACTCTGATCTGGTGAGGGTTAAGTACGGGAGTAGACTGGATGCGGGCGGCGCAGGGCTGGTCCTGTAGAAATCCATGAGAGAGGCCTTTGTCCAGCAGTAGACTTCATTTGGCTGAAACGGACGCACCAACGATTCTTAGGCGGTTTTCACACTGCACCGCGCTCCGCCGCGGAGCGCGTGATTTTCATATAAAAAAACACGCGCGCGGCCGCGTTGTCAGTGTGAAGTGCCGCGCGTGTTTTCTATACAAACTGAGGAACTTGCACAATGATTAAATCTGTCGCCCCGCGCTCCGCGGCGGAGCGCGGCGCAGTGTGATAACCGCCTTAAAGTAACAATTTCCGAGTGAAATATTTCAATATCCTGTCTGTGGTAGATTTTCTATATTCTTCTAAACTGACAATTTCAATGTCAAAATTATCGTGAATGTGACCACATTTAAATTATGTAAAATTGTGTGTTTTCGGTGTTAAAATGTTTTATTCGTGATTGAAATAATGATTTTGAATAAAAATAAAATAAAGCGAATCATGAATAAAATAATTGTGTAACACGTTGAAGCGAAAACATCATGTGCATTGGAAAGGTAAATAAACAAAATGTTGTTTTACTCGATACGATTTCAAGTACAAAAAACGTTAGAAAATTACTTATCATTAGGTACAATCTCAATCGTTAAATTATTTACAAATCATTGGGGGAGGCCTATGTTCAGCTGTGGACGTCCTGTGGCTGAAATGATTATGTTGATGATGATGAAGATTCTATGATAAGGCAGATTCTACAAGGAGTAAAAGACATGGTACGTCTAGGTGAGCTCCTAGCTCTCCTGGAGTCAAATCGATTTGGGCAATCATTTCGTACATGGTCAAACTAGAAATTGAACCTGGATCCTCCTACGTTGCTGCATCTTTCTGGACTACTAAGCCATCAAACTCATTCTTTTTCTTATCGTGTCGACAACAAACCTACTCAGTGTCAGCCTAAAACTCCGCCACAAGAGTAGCGTTGTCAGGGGAACAAAACCACACTTGCACTCCAAGTTTGAGCCATCCGAGAATCCCCACCTGAACAGATTGTCCTTACTACGGCCAACCTGCGTCCGAAGCCTTTTTAAAGACTTCCAGGTAAGCCAGGGGAGCTCATGTCCAGGTGGAGGACTCTCAGACATAGGGACAAAAGAGCAGGAAAGATCAGCTCTCTCACGCCAAACCTGCATCTCTCTTTCAAACTCATAAAGTTTTGCTTTTCCAGTGTTGCGGGAAGGGCGCTAACAATGATAACATACCGTACGGACCTGTGAGTTATTTTCCTACTAATTGCTTGTAATAGGGGCAACAAAAATGTAGTCCGATGTCTGTACATATTGGTCAAGTATTAAAACTACTTTAAAGCTTCATTACAAAGTTTTATATAAACAATTTGAAAAAATCGAACTGCCTAAGGCGGGAATCGAGCCCACAATCTTTCGCTTGCCGGGCTTTAAGGGTAGTACGGGGAGTACATTGATGAAATAAAACGTGGCCATAACAGCGTGTACTTATTATTATTCTGTGGTATTACGCTTGAAAATTTCGACGTTTTCATCCGGTGTCTAAGTAGCTCAGTTGGAAGAGCAGTCGCCCGGCAAGCGGTTCCCGCCAGCGGTGCCATCGATTCCCGCCTTAGGCAGTTCGATTTTTTCAAGTTGTTTATTTAAAATTAAATTGAAAAACGACAAAGTTAAAGAATTATTACAATTTCATCATTCACAAAAGTCTGTCATACCTATCACTTTGATACACTTATTAACTATCTATTTTAAAGCTTCACTAGCCCGAATCTCTATTTTATAATCATTTGCAGGGAGGATTTCAACAGGGTTATCAGCAGTTTCAGCAGGGGGGTGGTTACCAACAAGGATACCAGCAGGGAGGTTACCAACAGGGGTACCAACCAAATCAGGGCTATCAGTATCAACAAGGGGGATATGACCAGAGCCAGGGTTATCAACAAGGGGGAGGATTCCAGGATCAAGCGAGCCAAGCCACTCGAGCTGCTGGTAAGATGATTCTATTAGACTGTTAAGTACCTCATAGACACCTGAGTGTTATTTTATATCGAAGCTAGGATAGCCGAACCAGTGAAGGGGTCGGACTGGCCGACTCGTGATCCGGGGAACGTGGGTTCGGTCCCCGCCGCCGCTCGACTATTGTGGTGAGCTCACTCGTGACGCAAGCATATTTTGCTTAGTACGAGGAGGGGCTGACGGTACTATAGTGGTTTATGCGATACAAAGTACTTAATATACATTAAAAAAAAGAATTTCAAGACGTCCATTTGATTGCTAAATCACTGTCTCCCCCAACCCAATGATAACCAGATTGGCCGGTTGGTAGCGGCCGGCTTCTAGCGCCTTCCTGCTATTCACGAGGTCGTCTGTCCACCTTGAGCTGTGACTGTTATTTAACAAATCGTTTGTTTGTACCCAGAATCGCATTGCCCGAAAATCGACAAGGAGCATTTGATAACGTGCGGCAAACACATCTTAGAATTGATCAAGAAGTACATGGGCCACGGGCACGGCGGTGGCGGTGGCGGTGGCGGTGGCGGCGGTGGCGGTGCCGGTGGCGGTGGCGGTAGACCTGGATATTCCGGGGGAGGAGGCTACGACGGGCAGAATAAAGGCGGGGATAATGTTGGATCTCCTAGATTTGGGGAACAGAAAAATGCCGAAGAAGACACGGATGATGAGCACAAAAGAGATGAACACACCGATGATGAGCACCACACCGATGATGAGCACCACACTGATAACGATGATGACCATGAAGACCATAATGATCATGAGGACCATGATGATCATGACGACCATGACGATCACCACGACCATGACGATCACCACGATAAACGCCATTAAAAATGTAAAAACCATTTAGTTACTGTGTGCCTATAATGGAAAAATTTGATAATGGCGGCTAAGCGTGGGTTATTTTTAGAGCTACAAAGGAAAGTATTGAAGAGAGACGATTGCGAGAAAGTAGCTATTAAATATTGAATATTTTATAAATAATCAATAGAAAAGCAAAGAATGCTTGTCAATTATGCTCTACATGGCGGAGGAACTTTTTATAAAATTTAAACAATAGCTTCAATTTTAAATGATTTACAGTTAGAAGTAGAAAATCGTAATGTTCCAAAAGACTTACCGCTAAAGGCTTATGGCCTTTGTGTTCCATAAGTCTAAAGTTTGCACACTTTTTAACAAGCATTGTTTTAGAAAGCTAAAATAGATTATCGCCATTTTTTCAAGTTTTTAATAGAAAATGAGATGGAATTCTAATGAGGCTCAAATATTTTAAAGGCTTTTAGTCTAAATAATGCTACTTTTAAGTATCAAGGAACAAAATGACTTGTTAATTGAATGAATTCGTGCGTTAAAAGCTCCCGCAACACTTAACATTGCAACATGGTTAATGATTCAAAAGATAATTTGATCCGATATTTAACCAAATCAAAATATTGATCGATATTTTATATAAATCTTGATTATGAATTAAGTTTGAAAAGAGTTGTTTCTTTAACAAAACTTAAGTCTAAGATGTTGGCTCTACAATCACGTTGGAATTTTAATTCTTGAAATATTTTTACTAAAAAAGTAGGTAGGTATAGATCGTTTCATCCACGAAGACGCGCGCCACCAATTTTTGGTCGAGGTCGCGCGGGGTGCGGGGAGTTTGATCCGAGCAATCCGAGCGTCATTATTGTAGTGTGCGTGCGCACTCATGGATAATTTAGCGTGTACCGATAACACTCAAACATTAGTGGAAGAATGGGGCGCCCGGGCGCGTTTTCGTGGATGACACGATCATAAAATGTGTATCACCTGTAAACTTTTTTAATCTAAGTAGGTACATTTAAACTGAAACTTACTTTTCACAAAAGCCTGAAATATCCGTGGCGCTAGTGTCTATGCAAAGTTTGACGTTTTGTCCTTTTCGAAATGTAGGTAAGTAGCTCCACAAAATCTATTGTGTTATTTTGTGAAAAGTATGTCGTACCTACCTGTAAATAAAAACTACTAAAACATGTACCTACAATTTTATAGCTGGATCCATTTTAATATAATAAAGATTGTGCCAAAATACAAGTTGGATATTTTTAAATTTTTTTTTTTTGCTAAAATGTATTTTTAATAACTAGCTATATTATTTTTTACGTTTTGCTAATCAAAATTGTAAATTGTTTAATTTAAAATTAAAAAAAAAAAATTTATGAACTATTTAAAACATTTTACATAATTTAATCATGTCCTTGATTACCTATATTATTTATACCTACATTAATTTTATTCTAATATTTTGATTTAAGGTTTAAAGTGAAAATTATATTTTTTATTGAAATTAAAATTATTTATGATAAACCATTAGGTACCTAAAAGTTAAAAAGTCTTTTAATTTTACATATTGAGTTATATACTAGAAAGGATGGAGAGAGGTTAATAAGTAGGTAGTTATTTACTAGGTATTCGCTGAAAAACATGTATTTTAGAATATGTAGAGACTCCAAAGGGTACAATCATAGTAAATAACGTTTAAAATCCACTTACCTGTAAAACAGCCTGCACACGACAGTCAACCCGCAGAAGGTTTAAATGATCTTGAGTTTGGAAAATGTTTTTCACGAACACTAATTCACTTGGGTTCACATTTCACTTTTGAAAATCGTTGTGGTCTTGCGGTTTTTTTTACAATAATGAATAACATTTACTGTAACCGACGAATTGCGGAGCGAAACTACCCTTTTCCAATAAAATTGCTCTATAAAAGACGACTACTAGCGTCATCTATCGCGGCAACTAACCAATCCCGAATCTGAACAACGAAATGCCAGTATAACAACTTGTATTATTTTGCGCTCACCAGCTGTCGCCACTGTAGAGAAAGATCTTGTTTTAAAAATTTAAATCAAAATTATTTTACTCGCGCAAGTCACTGGCACACTTTGACTGACATTCTGAAAAACGAACCGCGTTTCCATGACAACGGGTCCAAACAAACAAAAATAAACAAACACCGGGGTATTATTGTTGATTTATTATTTATTGATAAAATAAAGTGAAATAATGTCTTCCCTGAGTGGTTATGATAGCGATGCCATTGGATTCGAGTCTGTATCCCAGAGTAAAAGGCTAGAAACTAGCACATCGACGCAAACTAGTGAGTATGGGGAGTCTGGAGTCGGTTCGCAGACGAATTTCACCAAAGATTGTGGGTCTACCGCTTCTCCTAGTGACCTGAACGCTCAAGAAGACGTCTTGAAAGAGTATCCCCCTCCAGGATTAAACGCCTTCCTCAGAAAAGTCCTACCAGGCGTGCTGGAGCAACTAGATCAGAATGATAGGGAGATGCTGTATAATTCTTCAGATTCTGATGAAGAGGAGACGGTTACAGCTAAGCTATTCCAAGAAATGAAGACTAATAAAGACACCCCTGGCTTAGGAAGCGGAGACCATCAGCTAGCATCCATCTTATCTCTATCCTGGAGCAGTGCAGGCAACTCTATAGCTGTATCGATCGGGCAGACGCAGCACGAGCGTTGGTGTGAGCATGAAGGCTTGATCAGAGTCTACACAGTCCGCAGAACAGCTGGAGACAAGCTAGTCCATTCAATTGACATCACTGAGAAGAACTGCGTCACAGTTGTCAAGTACCATCCGTCTGTAGCCGCGCTGTTAGCATACGCCACGAGTTCCGGCGAAGTCGTCCTATGTAATTTGAGGGATTCTGGAAATGTTAATGAGGGGATGCAGTTGACGTCCCCTGCTGGCTGTCACGGAGGCCGCAGCGTCTCTGCTTTACTCTGGGCTGATGCATCCTTAGCTCACATGTTTTTGACCATGCAAATCCAGAATACAGGAAAAAGGCGCGGCGCCTCCGATCAGATTCTGATCTCCGCTGGGTCAGACGGCACCATCAACGTTTGGCAAGTGAATGCCAACCTGAAAATATTTGAAAACGTAGTGTCCTACGCCCTGAATGGGTCAAAGAAAGTACCAGCGCCTGATATCAGTTGTTTCGACTTCATAAAGAGTTATCCACTGCGACCGTCGGAGGAGAAGGTCGCTGATGACGTTTTTGTGGTGGGATCCAAGGCTGGGGGACTGTTGCTGTGCCGCGTGAAGACTGCTCAGCCGGTAAATATTTATTTTCTTAAACTGGACTTTTGCTATTTAACCTCTCAGCCCCCAAGCGGTAGCCGGCTGCCGCGTAACAAAATTGATTTCTTATGTCTAGATTCGAGGAGCTTGAAGGATTAAAAGCGCACTTTTGCAAGTCCCAATACCTAGCTTAGGTTTGCATTTAACGCAACAACTTGTTCTCAGCACCAATCAGTTGTTCAGATGTGGTGGTAGAGCGAGCTATATTGGGACATATACAGGGTGTCCCATAATGGGTGAATCAAACTGCTAGGGGAGGTAGCTATCCCTAAAAAATACTAATGTACTATCCCTAAAAAATATTAAAAAAAAATTGAGTTCGGATTTTTTTTAAATAAAGTGCTCTAAACTCTAAATCTAGTCATTATTTTCAAAAGTTTGTTTACAGATAAACGAAGCGATCATGCACAATTAATATTATTAAGAAAAAAGTACAAATAAACTCCAAACGTAGCAATTATAGCCAGATATAAAAAAAAACTGATTTAATTTAACTTTTTCAACCAAAAAAATATTTTTTGTGTCCTATGCGCTTTAATTTTTTTCATATTTTTTAGGGATAGTACATTAATAGAGCTACCTCCCCTAGCAGTTTGATTCACCCATTCTAGGACACTCTGTATAAAGTGGCTTGAAAAGGGCCTACTTACAATAAATGAATTTGTTGAATGCGGGCAGTAATTCGACCGGTCGTTGTAGAAATGGAGGAGGCCTTCATCCAGCTGAAATTATGAAGTCACAATAATTTGTGAAAACTTGTTGAACATAATAAACATGAGTCAATAAAAAAGCTCTTTGTAAAAGCCTTTACACTGACTTTTGACTAATATGCCCATAGCTACTTGAGAGCAAGATGGCGGACCCGGTGTATGACGTGCTGGACAGCCACGGGACCTGTGTGCTGGACGTGGCCTTCAGTCTGCAGAGACCTGGGATCTTCGCGTCGGTGTCTATCGACTCGGAGCTGAGAGTGTATGATATCAACCAGGGTAGTCCTTTGAAGGTATGAATGAATGTACACTTTTTTTTTTTTTTTTTTTTTTTTGCTAGACAAGGCAGGTATACTTGTCGTTTCCCACATTGAAGTTGCCTCAACAAGAGGCCGAGCAGAGATCCGCTGTTAAATAAGAAATTCGTCCGCCCGACATGTCTCCTCTCCGCTCCGCTTTGGCGGAAACCAGGGCTATCATAGTAGTTTAGAAAATGCTATTTTTATATTGCTAACTCATTCCGAATGTCCTCCCTTGCAGCTTAAAAATTTTCTGCCTCACTTGACAAAAATGGACTTTCGTTGTTTCTATATCAAATCAAAGAAAGCTTCGGACCGGCGACCCCTTCACAGTTTTTTTTTTCTTTTATTTATTTAAGGCAACATACAGTCATGTATCATCGGCAACAGTGTTAACTATCCATTGTCTGTCATGTCGTCTGAAAAGAATCACCATTTGATGAGAGCGAGAGCAAAAATGGAAATGGATAGTTACATGTGGCCGTGTTGTGTACAATCAATAGTACTTTATGGTAAAGATGAATATTATGACTAAAGACCAAATTAGTGTCTATAACATTTATATCTATTACAATATTAGTAACAAATGAGCCACTCGTAGGGCTAAAATTATCGCCGTTCGGCTTTCGTGGCTTATTTTGTTAGAAAAATAAAAAAATACCCCTTTTCCAGGTCATCTGTCTAGACACACCAGTGTCCTGTATGTCTTGGCTTCCAAACAACCCGTGCGTGCTCGTGCTAGGCCAGGCGCGGGCTGAGAAGCATCTGGTGCGGCTTCTAAACGTGTCTGGAGGACGCGCGGTGCCGGTTGAAGGGCTGACTGGTGCGGGGACGGTTACTGCTGTCGCTGTCAACCAGAGCGGGTGAGAAATATGCTTCTATAGCTCTAGCACTTAATGGGGATGTTGCCTGGGTCAAAAAGCAAGAGTTTTAATTAGTCCGTCAGTTAACTTATCAAAAAATACTCTACACGTATTTTTCACTTTTTCAAACTAATGAAAATTTAAAGAGATAAAGCGCCCCAAAGTTCATAAGAAGAGGCCCGTGACGTCAACGCTTGCTTAAAAATGCCGCACGTTGTGACGTCGTGCGCAACTTCAACGCACCATAACTATGTAATTATTTGTTAGATTGACAAATAAAAATATACGTGTCCAATATTTTTTGATATTAAACATTACGGACTAAAAAATAATTCTATGATCGAAGTATTATTTAAAAATGGACATAAAGAGAAAGAAATATTATTGTGCGGCGTTCGGGTGTTTAAATTCGAAAAGAAATCTACCGGATTTATCTTTTTTTTCGCTTCCCAAAGATGCTGAAAGGTATGTTGGCCATGTAGGTAATCAATAATTCTTAGGATAGTATAGGAACCTAACCTACCATGACTACTGCTCAGATTGCGTTCGTTCGTTTCAGCCTAAAATGACGTCCACTGCTACAAAGGCCTCTCCCAAGGATTTCCATAATCAATGCGTACTTACCTACATAAGTACGTGCCTCATTACAAATAAATAAGTAGATTAATTATTTTTTTACTAGACACTACTAGACAGCAACCCTAACAACGTAAGAAGAGTTCAGAGGCACGCGATAGAAAGAGACAAAACTTGTAGGTGAATAAAATTGTAGGTACCTACTTAGTGCTGTGCGAGCTGAATTCCACTGTATCGCGTCGTAGCAAGACTCGCATTTATTTAAATCGTCTTGCGGAGTAATCCTTCTGTACCTGTACTAAGTATTACTTATTCTGTGGTCCCACGCTGCGTTTTCCGGTACGCGGCCTCCACTCCAGAACCTTTCTGCCCCATCGGCCGTCAATCCTGCGTACTATGTGCCCTGCCCATTGCCACTTCAGCTTGCTAATCCGTCGGGCTATGTCAGCGATTTTAGTTCGTTTACGGATCTCCTCATTTCTAATTCGATCTCGTATAGAAACACTGAGCTATTCTTTGACTCAAGTGACGTTTTATTTTTTGTAGGTCATGTCGCATCGCAGCAGGTGACTCGGAGTGCAATTTGCGCATCTGGGAACTCCCAGCGCGCCGCATTCGACTCTCGCCCGAAGATTTGGAGTTTTAGCGACGAATTGGTTTAATTCAAGTCTGTAAGCACGAATCTCTCGTATCAGGGTTCTCCTTAAACTGTAGCTCCTTAAACAGCTGTTTTTCATACAAAAATACAATTACCATACGCGTAACGACATTTATAAATATTATGATATGATATTATGATTATTATTATTCGTGCTCAGGCAGGACACTGATACTCTGTTGAATTTATTATAATTTATTATTAGTTTTCTCGTTTTAAAGTTATTATTTTAATCAGGGAATTAATGTTTGAATGTGTTTCTGGAAGTGTTATTCCCAATATCCCCACCGGTGACACTGAAAATATGGCAGAGGCAAATGGGTCTACATATCTTTTTTCATTTTTCATAGAAAATTCAAAATATTCCCAGTTGCCACCTGTGGGGGCTATTGGGAATAACCTAGCAGTGTCTCTACATTAATTCCCACGATTCAGATCTATATTATTTATTATATTAATTAAATAAAACAAATTCAATTCAAATCAATGTATTTTATTTTTATTTCATAAAAATTACAACTAAGTTTACTTACACAATGACTCAAAATATACATTTTGAATTTTATTAGGGCACCACACACTGTCGACTTTTTGCTACACACTCGGAAGCCTTATGTTAACACACACACATGTTTTACAAGCATTACTATTATTATTTTGCCAACAGTATACTACTAGATGTCAGTGTACTATCTTTAAAAAATAGGCGAGGCTAAAAGATAAATGTACCATTGCCAGTGGCAAGCTAAGGGGGCAAATGAAACTGCCCATTTACGACAAACGCCACATATGAGTGCTATTCACCACCCCGGTGGCAAGCTCGAAGGGGGTGGGCGGGAATAAAGATGCTCGAAACCTTGGTAAAGAGGGAACGAACGCATTACTGCCCACCGTAAGCCATGGGTTTTGACTCACTACCTAGTAGCAGATGGCTCCCCGGAGTAGCAGATTCCACCCCGTAGGCGGTGGTATTTGGGAAAAAAGCTAATTTTAGAAACAAAAGACTTTTGATAAAAAAAAAACTTTCCTTGATTATGAAATTTAAAATAGTTTCCTGGCTTTTTGCCTAATTTAAATTTATTTACATTGTCTTGTAATATTTTTTTTTTAAATAACAAGCCTGCTAACCCAGAAAAGAAAATTTTCACTAAAAGAATTAAAAACTAGTTAAAATTACCAACTAATATGTACATTATTGAAGGAATAAAAATGCTTGTTACATAATAATTGGCCATAACTTCGCACACCGCAACACCCAAAGTAGCTAAAAGCTTGTAACACGTTTGTTACAATTGGAATAAGGTTGTGTTGTCAACTTTTTGGCCACTTTCGGTGTCACGAACTATTTGTCGCTGACTGTACAATAATGACATCTAGCAGAGCTACTGACTGACATAATTTATGTTTATAAAAGCTATTGAAACACCCACAGATTATATTCTAATTCATTAACATCACAGCCTATATTACTAGTCTAAATACAAAGATATGACCAAACATAGTACATCGTGCTTTGTCTTATGCATAGGAAAGGAAAGAGACGGTGTAATTTTCAAAAATTAATCAAGTTGTGTAAAAGACCATATTATTATGTGGCAGTGGTTTTTTAACCCTACTAACATAATAAAAACTGTGTGATTTCTCTAACTAATACCCGTTTTCACCATCAATCCCTAATTTTTAAGTGACCCCTATGAAAACAAAATGCCTGTTACCTATGTATTACCATTAGGGGTCACTCAAAAATTAGGGATTGATGGTGAAAACGGGCATAAGGGGAATAGGGGAATAATTTTTAAAAGTTGTGACACTGGCCACCCAGGGTGGTCAGTGGGAATAAAGGCTCTTCAACCCGTCTGGCCAGCGTAGGAAGTGTACAAATCCATTTGCCTCTGGTCAATTAGAGGGTCAGGCTCCTGCAGTAGAGACTCAATGAACTGATGAACTTATGGCAGACAAACAGTACTGTGTACCTTTTGTATTTATGTTTTTTATGCAGAACAAGGCAGTTAGGTCCAATGACAGTTTAACTTTCCCCCGGGACAAACTTGACCTTCATTGGTTGGGTTTTTGTGGCGGTCAAGCTGTAGATCCTGGCTACACAGGAGTTGCAGCGGTGGGAACGAGAGCTGGGAATAGTCCCGATAACAAGGCAGGTATTTGACCGCAATCGCACCTGATGTTAAGTGAGATGCAGTCTAGGATGGTACATAGCTGCCCTGTAAGTGCCTATTTACTCTCGCCTTGAAAAGGCCCGTTACCTGACTAAAAGGAGGGTTATGTATTTTTTGCTATTTTACTGACAAACAATTATTTTTTTAAGAAAATATAAATTTTTATTGTTCTTTTGACAAGTCACATTTCACTATATTATTTTCAATAAAATTATTTTATTTATTTACTAGTATCTGGTCAAATCTAAATATAATAAACTTTAGAAAAACGTACAAACAATACAATTTACTGTATGACAGTTTAGTATTATTATAGCTACGACACCACCCATCCTATTGCTGAATTGCGGCGTGAACAGGCCCTTAGGAGGTGGAGTAGTAATTTATTGTATAAATGCAATATACTATATCCATAAGACTTCTTTGATATTTGATTGATATTGGTGGCCCCACATAGTTCATGAAGAGTATTATCGTTTTATCCACGAAGACGCGCCCCACCATTCTTCTGCTAATGTTTGAGTGTTATCGGTACACGCTAAATGCTCCATGAGTGCACACGCACACTACAGTAATGCCTTACGGCTTGCTCGGACCACACTCCCCGCACCCCGCGCGACCGGGACCTAACATTGCTGGGGCGCGGCCGAGTGGATGAAACGATCTATATTTATTTATTTATTGATTGAAGTATATCTTCTCTTACCATATTTGGTAATAACTGATTATGCTAAAAACTATGGTAACAATAGATGTAGAAGGACTCATAAAAGACAGAAAAAACTAATTAATTTCTGCAAGTAGGTAGGCTTTTAAAAAGCACTTTTACACGTCCCAGTATTAACCCTACCACTGCTTCGGGACAATAAATGGGCCAGTGCTGAGAAGAAGCAGCGCAAGAAACTCAGTCACTAACTAATATTATACAAGTACACAAAAAAAATGCAATGTTGCATTTTCATGACGTCACCATATCCTTGACATTCTGTCAAATATCTCGAGGAAAGCTTTAGGCTATACATATAACATCACCCTACAGCCAATAGGGGCGGAGCTGATAAAGAAAAATGTTACAAAAACGGGAAATATTATTCAAACTATTTTCACGCGTACGAAGTCGCGGGCACAGCTAGTCTATACTAATATTATAAATGCGAAAGTAACTCTGTCTGTCTTGCTTTCACGCCTAAACCACTGAACCGTTTTTGATGAGGCATAGAGATGACATAGGAGTCCCGGGAAATGACATAGGATAGTTTTTATACCGGTTTTTGAAATAGGGACGCGCGCGATAAAGTTTTTCTGTGACAGACAAAATTCCACGCGGGCGAAGCCGCGGGCGGAAAGCTAGTATTTTATAAAACAGTCCTTCTATATCCATTTATTACAAACATCCTACATTAGTAAGAATGCTACCTAAAGATGATTGCCTATGTAGACAATAGTTGCGTACGCTATGGCGCGACAAAGTCGTGGTGCGATTAGTCGCGGCGGTCAGTCGGCCGCGTGCGGTGGCCCTAGTCCGATTCTTTTTGGTGCTTATTATCCAGGGTGGATATCTGAAACAATATTAAGTTTTGATATTTTATTGGTTCGGTCACAGAATAATAATATGTGCAGTTTTCTTCCCGAAGACATTTAAAATAAATGTCTACTCAATATCATCAACAATATATGGTGTAATTTATCTTGTATCAGAGTCGAGCACTGTTTCGTATACATACGTCAGTTATCGGTATAGATGACCCACGCTGAACTGTCCCACCAAACTCAATGACAGGGGGGCGCTACCATCGTTCAACTATATGGTTTCCAACATGGCAAAAATCGGAACCAGCGATCCGGTATTGACGGTGGCGCCCCGCTGTCAATGTCATGGATAGGACAGTTCAGTATTTTGGAACTGTCCTATGCGATAGGACTGACTGCTACAAGAAGCTACTGTGTCGTTCTCTAGCTCACCACATTCTTCATTCATTCTCTTCTTTCCATAGTGAATATGTGACGTAGCCATAAAGTTAATATACATAGCGGAATAGAGCAACAAAGAACTGAGCGAGCGAGATGACACTAGCAGCAACACTGTGTGATAAAAGAAGATGCATGATGCCGTCGCCGTCACGTGAAGAGCGAGCGAACAGAAGCGTTTTTTGCAACTATTTGACAGTTCGGAGGCACTTAGTGGCATTCTGAAAATTTAATTCTGAGATGTTTTCAGATTTTACGCGAGTGAAATCGTGGACATTTATGAACAATAGTAATTCAGAAACGTGGTGACTGGTTCAGCAGTGATTGATTTATTGTACAAAACAGTGAAATAATCCTGACACTGACACTCAAATGTCATATAAAATAGGTTTCGTTTGACAGCGCGTGGTTGTTGCTCTATTCCGAAGGAATGTTATCTTTATGTTGGAGTCATTGGAAGAAATTCTATCTGCTCAGGGACCGGACTATAGCTACGTGACTCNCGAGCGCTGTGTACCGGCTGGGATGCGACTTCTTACCACTTACCTGGACACATGTGACGTCACGGCTGCCAGGTGCACAGTTAAATATAGCTCGGACTAGTCAAGTAATTTAGTAGAGCAACTCGCCTTTAGTAACTAAAAGACTCGCTGCCGACCAAAAAACACACTTTGGTCGAGTGTAGTTAAAGCCTGGTCCGTGAGCACGTAGAATCCCGTCCAATGACCCCAAGCTACCCATCCTTATCGCTCGCGCGTAATTATATTGCTGTAGCGACTGTGCGACGGGCGCCCGCAGTGAGTGTGCGAGCGCGACAGCAACATAATTACGCGCGAGCGATAAGGGTGGGTAGCTTGGGGTCATTGGACAAAATTCTACGTGCTCGCAGACCAGACTATACTCGCATACGTCACTGCTTGAAGCAGTCTCTCTTGTTTCTGGTTGTTAATGGTCAGCAAGCCTGTTGCTCTGTCAGTATTTCACTTACACGCGTCACTGCTTAGCGCGGCGGCTGGGCTCGGTAGCAGTTACTCAGCATATCTCTTGGTGCCTGTTCATCATCATCATATTTCAGCCACAGGACGTCCACTGCTGAACATAGGCCTCCCCCAATCATTTCCATGATGGCCGTTTGGTTGGACGTCCTACGCTGAGTTTTCCGGTAAGTGGCCTCCACTCCAGAACCTTGCTGCCCCATCGGCCAATAGGAACCACCTATTGATTGGCCGTTATTCCTGTAGGACGTCTACCTACGTAACTCACACGCGTCACTGCTTGGCGCGGTTTACTCAGCATCTCATAGTATGTCAGCATGCCTGTTGACGGCCATTATTCCTGTAGGACGTCTACCTACGTGACTCACCCGCGTCACTGCTTGGCGCGGCGGCTGGGCTCGGTGGCGGTGGGCGGCGGCGGCGGGCCCTTCTTCTCCAGCTCCTCCAGGTAGCTCGTGATCATGGCGGTCCGCTCGTCCGGAATGTGCTCCAGCGCTGTGTACTGGCTGGGATGCGACTTCTTACCACTTACCTGGACACATGTGACGTCACGGCTGCCAGGTGCACAGTTAAATATAGCTCGGACTAGTCAAGTAATTTAGTAGAGCAACTCGCCTTTAGTAACTAAAAGACTCGCTGCCGACCAAAAAACACACTTTGGTCGAGTATAGTTAAAGCCTGGTCCGTGAGCACGTAGAATTCCGTCCAATGACCCCAAGCTACCCATCCTTATCGCTCGCGCGTGATTATATTGCTGTCGCTACTGTGCGACGGGCGCCCGCAGTGAGTGTGCGAGCGCGATAGCAACATAATTACGCGCGAGCGACAAGGATGGGTAGCTTGGGGTCATTGCACTAAATTCTATCTGCTCGGCGACCGGACTTTACTCCTGCGTGAAACACATGCGTCACTGCTTGGCGCGGTTTACTCAGCATATCTCTTTTGATTGGCCACTATTCCTATAGAATGTCTAGTCCTACGTCACTCATTGCTTGTCCTAAAATGCCGGGTGAGTTGTAGTCCTACGTCACAGTCACTCAAATGCGTCACTGCTTGGAATGGTTTACTCAGCATATCTCATGGTATGTCATCATGCCTGTTGACGGCCATTATTCCTGTAGGACGTCTATCAACGTGACTCACACGCGTCACTGCTTGGCGCGGCGGCTGGGCTCGGTGGCGGTGGGCGGCGGCGGCGGGCCCTTCTTCTCCAGCTCCTCCAGGTAGCTCGTGATCATGGCGGTCCGCTCGTCCGGAATGTGCTCCAGCGCTGTGTACTGGCTGGGATGCGACTTCTTACCACTTACCTGGACACATGTGACGTCACGGCTGCCAGGTGCACAGTTAAATATAGCTCGGACTAGTCAAGTAATTTAGTAGAGCAACTCGCCTTTAGTAACTAAAAGACTCGCTGCCGACCAAAAAACACACTTTGGTCGAGTATAGTTAAAGCCTGGTCCGTGAGCACGTAGAATTCCGTCCAATGACCCCAAGCTACCCATCCTTATCGCTCGCGCGTGATTATATTGCTGTCGCTACTGTGCGACGGGCGCCCGCAGTGAGTGTGCGAGCGCGATAGCAACATAATTACGCGCGAGCGACAAGGATGGGTAGCTTGGGGTCATTGCACTAAATTCTATCTGCTCGGCGACCGGACTTTACTCCTGCGTGAAACACATGCGTCACTGCTTGGCGCGGTTTACTCAGCATATCTCTTTTGATTGGCCACTATTCCTATAGAATGTCTAGTCCTACGTCACTCATTGCTTGTCCTAAAATGCCGGGTGAGTTGTAGTCCTACGTCACAGTCACTCAAATGCGTCACTGCTTGGAATGGTTTACTCAGCATATCTCATGGTATGTCATCATGCCTGTTGACGGCCATTATTCCTGTAGGACGTCTATCAACGTGACTCACACGCGTCACTGCTTGGCGCGGCGGCTGGGCTCGGTGGCGGTGGGCGGCGGCGGCGGGCCCTTCTTCTCCAGCTCCTCCAGGTAGCTCGTGATCATGGCGGTCCGCTCGTCCGGAATGTGCTCCAGCGCTGTGTACTGGCTGGGATGCGACTTCTTACCACTTACCCGGACACATGTGACGTCACGGCTGCCAGGTGCACAGTTAAATATAGCTCGGACTAGTCAAGTAATTTAGTAGAGCAACTCGCCTTTAGTAACTAAAAGACTCGCTGCCGACCAAAAAACACACTTTGGTCGAGTATAGTTAAAGCCTGGTCCGTGAGCACGTAGAATTCCGTCCAATGACCCCAAGCTACCCATCCTTATCGCTCGCGCGTGATTATATTGCTGTCGCTACTGTGCGACGGGCGCCCGCAGTGAGTGTGCGAGCGCGATAGCAACATAATTACGCGCGAGCGACAAGGATGGGTAGCTTGGGGTCATTGCACTAAATTCTATCTGCTCGGCGACCGGACTTTACTCCTGCGTGAAACACATGCGTCACTGCTTGGCGCGGTTTACTCAGCATATCTCTTTTGATTGGCCACTATTCCTATAGAATGTCTAGTCCTACGTCACTCATTGCTTGTCCTAAAATGCCGGGTGAGTTGTAGTCCTACGTCACAGTCACTCAAATGCGTCACTGCTTGGAATGGTTTACTCAGCATATCTCATGGTATGTCATCATGCCTGTTGACGGCCATTATTCCTGTAGGACGTCTATCAACGTGACTCNGAATGACTGCCGTGACTACACCGATCAAATGGCGCGAAATATTTTGTTGCGGCGTTCAGCCTCCTTGCTCTAATCTGTGCGCGGCGCGGCGTTTTATTTTTAATTAGTTTAGAACTTCTTTTGTTCTCTCTCTTTTTTGTCATCGTACTGAACTGTCATGGTTTCAATATACAGTCGTGGTCAACTAATTAGGGACGTTATATGACTAAAACACAAGACCGTCTATCCAGTCCGAAAAAAAAATCTTCACGAGGCTTTGTAGCTTGTGCCTATTAATAACAAGTAATTTGGCTAGTATTCTAAATATTTAAAGGCCAGAAAAGAAACTAGCTAGTTGCGATCAATATTTTTAAAATAAATAAATCATTGCCACCTACACATTTATTGACCTAGGGTTGGACAACTAATTAGGGACACGTAACACTTTCACTGTAAATGTAAATAAATTGGAAATTATTTAAGTGTTTATTACATAAACAGTTTTCATTAATAAATATAGAATACAAAACAAAATCATCAAACGTATTTTTATAACCAATATGGTTGGTTTTGTTGGTTATAACCATTTGACATCGGCGCGGCATGGATGTAATCAAATCATTACAGGTTTCTAAAGAAATATTATTCCAAACACCATTAAATGCCACGAAAAGCTGATTTTTAGTGCCAGTACGTTGAGCTGCAACTTTTTCCTTCGTTTCATACCATAAGCTCTATAGGGCTTAAGTCTGAGTTGTTTTCGGGCCAATCTAGTACCGTCACTGACTGTTGCGCTAGGAACGATTAAACAGAGTACGCGGTATGTTTTGGGTCGTTATCGTGTTGAAATGTTCATGAGACTNCGTCACTGCTTGGAATGGTTTACTCAGCATATCTCATGGTATGTCATCATGCCTGTTGACGGCCATTATTCCTGTAGGACGTCTATCAACGTGACTCACACGCGTCACTGCTTGGCGCGGCGGCTGGGCTCGGTGGCGGTGGGCGGCGGCGGCGGGCCCTTCTTCTCCAGCTCCTCCAGGTAGCTCGTGATCATGGCGGTCCGCTCGTCCGGAATGTGCTCCAGCGCTGTGTACCTACGGGTAGATAGATGTAGTGATAAGTATGTGAAATTTTTAAAAAGAATGTGTGGTCTGGAAGGGGTTTCTTATTCAGGAGGGGAATGATCTAGGAGTCTGATTAGGGGGGAGTCTGGTCTAGGAGGAGTATCCACTCAGCATCATGCCGTGGTGTGGTGGGAAACCACGACGCTGGTCTTCCGTGGATACTCGAAGAGCAAGAGGCAGGGCCTGAATCAGACCTTTTGTATCAGACCGTCTGATACAGGAGGGGCAATCTGGTCCATGGGGAGAATCTGATCTAGGGGGAGTGTGATTCAGGGGGTAGAATGATGCTAGGGGGGTGTTGATCCGGGAGGTAGTCAGATTCAGGCAGTAATAATAATAATAATAATAATAATAATCATTTATTTGCCTTAAATAGGTGGTTACAGAGTAGTTCTTATTTGATTAGATATAATGTTACTTAAGACCTATTTAGTCATAGACTATCTGATCAGTAATCTGATCTTGGAAGGGAGTCTCATATAAGGGAAGTCTGATCAAGTGAACTCTGATCCAGGAGGTATTCTGAATCAGGGGGAGTCTGATATGGGAGAAGTTTGATCCAAGGGGATTCTGATCCAGAACGATTACCCCAAGGGGAGTCTGATCGAGAGCAGGAACTTATTTTCTTTCTGCTCTTAAACACTTAAAAGTTAGACTCACCTGGCGTCGTGCCTGGTCTGATATATCAGTCTGATATAGGGGTAGTTTGATCCAGGGAGAGGATACTTTGTACCATGGGGTAGTCCGATCTGAACTTTAGGCACTTAGTACTGACCTGGCGTCGTGCCTGAGCGCGTCGTGCACGTGCTGCATAGATCCTGCTTCGCGCACGGCCGCGTGCGACTTGTGGGTAAGTGAACGCGTCTCGAGTAGAAGTTGTCTCAGCGCCGTGTCTTGGCCGCTATGGGACTGACCTAGTGTTACACCTAGTGACCTAGCGGGTAGTCTAATCCGGGCAGTTTGTTCCAGGGGGTCTAATCAGAGAGTAAGTAGGTCAGGTCATTCTGATCCAGGAAGGGCAGTCAAGTCTATAGGGGGAATTTGATCTAGGGGGTATGATTTAGGGGTAGGCTGATCCTAGGAGGGTGTTGATCCAGGGGGAGAAGTTTGATCAGGTGAAAGGTGCCTGGTCAGAGGGGTTGACTTGATCCTGGGGGAAGGGAAAACAGATATGTTTTTCTACTTTCTGCTCTTAAGGTAGACTGACCTGGCGTCGTGCCTGAGCGCGTCGTGCACGTGCTGCATGGAGCCCGCTTCGCGCACGGCGGCGTGCGACTTGTGCGTGAGCGAGCGCGTCTCAAGTAGAAGTTGTCTGAGTGCCGTCTTGGCCGCGCTTTGCTTGTCGCGCTGGTAATCGCGGAATTCTCGCTCCATCTGTGAGAAGAACATGAACGAATGAAGCCATTAACACAGCTCACAGTAAGGCGGTTATCACACTGCGCCGCGCTCCGCCGCGGACCGCGTGATTTTATTTTATTTATTTTATTTTATTGTTAGGAAAACAAACAGCATTCTATAACACATACAGAGTTACCAATTAAACTTCACATTTGCCAAAATAGATTTTCATATAAAAAATCACGCGCGCGGACGCGTTGTCAGTGTGAAGTGCCGCGCGTGTTTTCTATACAAACTGAGGTACTTGCATACAATGATTAAATCTGTCGCCCCGCGCTCCGCGGCGGAGCGCGGCGCAATGTGATAACCGCCTAAAAGTCAGAATAATATTATCGACCATAGTAAGTGCGGGAAGTAATAATGTTTAGAGATAACCAAAATACATAATTAACTTTATTATTTTATTGCATCAAATACTGCTTAAAAAAGCAATATCGCGATGCACACACATTACAACGCCATCTCTGGATAACTTTCTTGAACTACATCGTCATCAACTCACTTGTGAAGCAGCAGAGTAGACCGGCGCAGGAGGGTTCTACTGGAGATGTGTATGAAAGATACCTATCGCCATCTCTGGTTAACGTCTAGTACTACATCGTCATTTAGGTTAGGTCATCGTCATCTACTCACTTGCGAAGCGTCCATGTGGCATCTCTCTCTCTATCGCCATCTCTGGACAACTCCTAGAACTACGTCCCACCTGTGAAGCGGCCGAGTAGACCGGCGCAGCAGGATTTTCCTGTAGCTGCGTCACGACGAAGCGACAGTGCGCATGACACATTGAGCTCTTACTTGAAAGACAATTAGCGCCATCTCTGGACAATTCCTACAACTACATCGTCATCAACTCACCTGTGAAGCGGCCGAGTAGACCGGCGCAGCAGGGTTTTCCTGCAACTGCGTCTTGACGTCCCGCCAGTGCGCCGTGCACGACACGTTTAGACTCCTAACGCCACCTCTGTATAACTCCTAGCATTACGGTCTACCTATAAAGACTTCTAGCTCCATCTCTGGATTACTCCTCACCTGTGAAGCGGCCGAGTAGACCGGCGCAGCAGGGTTTTCCTGTAGCTGCGTCTTGACATGACACATTGAGCTCCTATTTGAAAGACACCTAGCGCCATCTCTGGACAATTTCTAGAACTACATAGTCTTCACAACTCACTTGTGAAGCGGCCGAGTAGACCGGCGCAGCAGGGTTTTCCTGCAACTGCGTCTTGACGTCCCGCCAGTGCGCCGTGCACGACACGTTTAGTTCGTTGAGTAGCGCGCGTAGCTTGTCGCGACGCTTGCTCGCCAGCGCTGCTGTGTGCTGGCTGAAGAGGCGCTCCTGGGACACATTTATTATAACGTTAGATTGAAACCGTGGCGAAAGCCGAGAATCTTGAGTCACCCTGGCTAAAAAACAAAAATTTTTAAAAATTGGATCTGTCAACAGCACTGGTGATTAACTGTTCGTATTATGAATGACTGCCGTGACTACACCGATCAAATGGCGCGAAATATTTTGTTGCGGCGTTCAGCCTCCTTGCTCTAATCTGTGCGCGGCGCGGCGTTTTATTTTTAATTAGTTTAGAACTTCTTTTGTTCTCTCTCTTTTTTGTCATCGTACTGAACTGTCATGGTTTCAATATATTTGTAGAACCGTAAAAGAAAGTGTTTTAATTAAATGGCACCATGTTCTACGAAACATATTTGTTAAGCGCAACTTTAGGGCCCTGTAACTTCTTTATTTGTACATATTTTCATGATTCTTTCACAATTATTATTAATTTTACTTATATTTTCAAGTATATTTAAAAGAAAAACGTTGGAAACTTCTCCATTGTGCTACCTTAAGTCTGCACTTCTTAAAGATATCGAATCAGAAATGAGGAGATCCGTAACCGAACTCGAGTCGCTGACATAGTCCGACGAATTAGCAAGTTAAAGTGGCAGTGAGCAGAGCATATAGCACGCAGAACTGACGGCCGATGGGGCAGCAAGGTTCTGGAGTAGAGGCCACGTACAAGGTGGACCAACGATCTCATAAAGATAGCAGGAAGGCGCTGGATGCAGGCCGTCACCAACCGGCCATTGTGGAAATCATTGAGCTCCCTCAACTATCTAGCCTATGAGTTATAGCTAAAGTTGATAGTAGTAACTCATTAGCTATGATACTAATCGCATGGCATATTCCCCCTGAAAAAGCACTCTAGCTAGATACGCCAGTGCAAAACAGTGCGACATGACTTTAAATTATCTCAAGCATGCTTGAGTTCTCAGCAAATCTTTGACCGACTCACCTTGTCTTCCTTGGTCAGCAGTTCAGCAAGGCTGTACCGGTGGTCTTTACGCAGCTGTTTCTTCGCTTCCCGCCACGACAGGTCCGGGTTGCGGACCAGGTCTGCTAGCAGAGCGTTGAAATGCTGCGGGAGAGAAGAGAACACTTGCTTTACACTGATTGAATAAAGAAGAGTACATAGGCAATTAATATTATACAAAAACTCTTTTTTATTGGAAGAAGTCATCCAAAAAATTACATCATCATCATCATAGCCAAAAGACATCCTATTGCTGGACATGACTAAGTCTGTCTGAAATGGACGTCTATCTGTCTCACCTTTACTCGTTGGACGCCTTCTATTTCCATTCCTCTCCCACTCCAAGATGTCAACTTGCTGTATCTACAATACCTGGTCGTCTGTCTCACCTGCATTCGCTGCCTGCCTCTTCTCTCTCTCTCTCTGGTCGCCTACTGTCTCTCTCTCCTTGATGGAGGCCTACGCACGCGCCTGCTTCTCCGTCACTAGAAGCCTGCCGTTTGACTCACCTGCTCTAGCTACCCGCGCTTCTGTCTTTCTCCCACTTACACTAGCTGGCCGCAGGCTCCCTCTCTCGTTTCTTAAATGAAGCCCCCTATCTCTCTCTCTCTCCTAATTGGACGCTATCTCACCTGCACAGCCTCGTCCCGCTTGTGGTACTGCCGCTCCTTGTCCCTGTCCCGCAGACTGGTCGCAAGCGCTCGCTGCACCTCTCTCTCCCTCTCCTTGATGGAGGCCTGCTGTCTCTCTCTCTTCTCTATAGACCTGTCATCTGTGTCGCCTGTCATCGCTGTCTAACCTGCTCGCTAGTGCACGGGGGTAGCTATACCCGCGCTTTTGTCTCTCTCCCAATTATACTAGCTGGCCGCAGGCTGTCTTTCTCTCTCCTTGATGGAGGCCTGCTGTCTCTCTCTCTCCTTGATGGAGACCTGATATCTCTCTGTCTCTCCTAGCTGTAGGCCTAATATCTCACCTGCACAGCCTCGTCCCGCTTGTGGTACTGGCGCTCCTTGTCCCTGTCCCGCGGACTCGCACCTCTCTCTCTCTCCTTGATGGAGGCCTGCCGTTTGGCTCACCTGCACTCGCTAGCCGCCTACTGTCTCCCTCTCTCTTGAAGGGAGTCTCATAAGTCTCTCTCTCCTAGATCTTACCTGCACAGCCTCGTCCCGCTTGTGATACTGCCGCTCCTTGTCCCTGTCCCGCAGACTGGTCGCAAGCGCTCGCTGCACCTCTCTCTCCCTCTCCTTGATGGAGGCCTGCTATCTCTCTCTCCTCTATAGACCTGTCATCTGTCTCACCTGCATTCTGTCTCGCTCCCACTAACACTACCTGGCCGTAGGCTGTCTCTCTCTCCTTGATGAACACCTGCTATCTCTCTCCTAATTGGACGCTATCTCACCTGCACAGCCTCGTCCCGCTTGTGGTACTGGCGCTCCTTGTCCCTGTCCCGCAGACTGGTCGCAAGCGCTCGCTGCACCTCTCTCTCCCTTTCCTTGATGGAGGCCTGAGCTCGCGCCTCCTTTTCTCTCGCGGCCGCGTCCTCTTCTTTCGTTCCCTCTGCCTCGGCGTCGGGTTCCTCTGTCGTCTCGGCTGGGGCTTCCTTCTGTTGTTGGGGAGGTTTCATTTTGTAGGCGACGCGACGGGTTAACAGGCTAATATTTTTGAAGCAAAATATTCGCGAGGCGTAAGCTGAGCTTTGCACTTGTGTGAGTGATCAACAAAAAAGTTGGACAAAAATGTTTGTATGGACGTCACGATACTACCAGTCTTACACTTAACCGTTTTGTCGGCGTGATTATTATACAAACCTCCACAAAATTACAGCTCTCTAGTGCCAACAGTTTCCAAGCAAAACCTCGGACAGACAGACATACCGAAACTATAAAGCAAAGCGTCCACATGTCGGTATCGTACGCATCGGACGTATCGCACGCAACGGATCGTAGTATTATTTATATGGAAACTCATATAAGTGCGTCCACCTGTCCGCATCGTACATCCGATACGATGTGTTTCGTACGATGCGTCCGTTGCGTACGATACTGACAAGTGGACGCTTAGCTTTTGGGTTCCTTGTCAGGACTACGGAACCCTAAAAACTGGCACACCTACCTACACTATCCATGTGCACACACAAATGCAAAAGCTCAGCTTAGGTCTCGCGAACTGTATTTATTACGACTTCGTAAGATGCAGGATGCCACAGTGTTGAGCTTGATTTGCTATCGTCTTTACAGAGAATTCTAATTGCTGTTTTTTAAGACTGCTACAGATATGTATCAACATGTTTGTAGAAGTTTTTAAAAGCATCGCAAATACGACATTAATATTTTTGATGAGTTTCTTTTTGCAAAGATAGAGAACTTTATGGACGTCAAAATGCAGTACAGTTATTTTTGTCAATTAAATTAATTTAGGTTTTGTTTCTCAATGAGGNGGCTACTTTGGGTGTCACAAACTATTTGACGCTGCTGTACCTACATATACATGATTTTTAATGATTAAACTTTCATGATTTTAACGATATTGTCATATAATTTAGTATGACACCACAGAAACGTCATCCTCTAGGGGCAAAATCCAAGGAGCAATATTCAAAAATGTTAACATTAGTTACCAAATAAAATAACCATTGCATGAAAAATCATGATCAGATTAAGGAAGCGAGCTTCACCCGGAATCCTCAACCACGGAGAAACTGGCTATCTTACCTCTAACTGCCGGAACACAACGATGCTGTTAACATTATTGTTATGGCGACAGACGTAGGTAAGATGGTGGTAGCTGGCCTAATGGACTTAGAACCCTATTCGAGTTGGTCAATAGGCTAGTTTCCTAAAAAAAAGTTTTTGTCTGTCAATTATTATAAAAAAATATTTGACACATTTTTATAAGTGTGTGAAGTTCCGTGTTACGTCACAAAGTGATACACTATTAAGCACTCGTTGACGTCACGAGCCTCTTCTTTTGAACTTTGGCGCCCTTTATGTATCTCTTTCGATTTGCACACACTGGACATCTAATCCGGGACCTCAGGGTCTAGGACAAGACCATAGAAGCTGCCAAGCCCTTCTCCAATAGTATTACAATACAATTCGACTTTCTGCGGTGTCCATATAATCTACATTTACCAATGTACAAAACGTCCAATATTTACAATTTCCAAAACATGTTTCTTTTAAATAATAATTACACATTTACTTTTACGATAAACATAATTATCTTTACTCTTAGTGTATCATATTATGTAAAGCCCGGTCTGTGAGCACGTAGAATTTTGTCCAATGACCCCAAGCTACCCATCCTTATCGCTCGCTCGTAATTATGTATAGCCTGACCAGGAACATAAAAACCCTCGCCATGTTGCGGAAAATTAATGGTACTAATTTCTTTTAATGGCAACAGTAACTGAAAACTTCATTGACATGTCACCTTGCATGTCAGTCTATTGCTGTCAAAGTGTAAACAAACTTTATTTTAAATGTGCGCAATTGATTTTGTGAATTAAATTGCTAAAATATTTTTATAGTCGTGAAAGAAAAGTGGTTCACAATGTGTTAAAGTATTTGTCGAAGAGAAATACTAAGGGTTCGGACAATATTTTCATTGAATATTGTTTCCGACAAAGGTTGTCAAATTGACTGACATGTTTATCATTAGTACAGTCAACTATGAAAATTAGCTGTGGTTTGTTTCAACTACCTATTTTAAAGTTTTTTGTCACTTTGTAAGTATTGAATTTTATGGAATTGGGAAAGAAGTACCGAGTTTGAAGCGTTCATGAGCAGACATTGTAGTTGAATATTCAAGTTCAGAATTTGATTATTGATGAATAATAATAAAATCCTACTTGCTCGATTGATGGTTTCATTTAATTTATTTAAACCAGTTTACCTATAATATAATATTTTTTTGTTAATTTATGAAAATATTAAATTAGCCTATAATCCTGAAACCTGATACATAAAGTTAGCCTATTAATTTAATACAGGTACGACTGTACCCAGTGTTGCACTATCAAATGCAATTGACGCGCCTCTATGCCAGGGTTTTTATGTTCCTGGTCAGGCTATAGCTGTCGCGCTCGCACATTCACTGCGGGCGCCCGTCGCACAGTCGCGACAGCAATATATTTACGCGCGAGCGATAAGGATGGGTAGCTTGGGGCATTGGACAAAATTCTACGTGCTCACTGACCAGACTATAATGTAATATAATGTATTGACGTTAGACATAAATACATTGTTACCGGTATTTGTTTTAAAGATCCGAAGTCATGAAAGTTATAAAACTCAGTCAGTGCCTGAGGTTTGGGAGCGGCACGGGAGGGGAGACATTTACATAATTATGACGTGGCAGCAAAATTTATTTTTTTATCCACAATGAAGAAGCTCTTGGCCTGTATCTCACCTGATGGTAACTGACAATCAGGCCGAAGTAGGAAGCGAGCTTCACCCGGAATCCTCAACCACGGAGGAACTGGCTATCTTACCTCTAACTGCCGGAACGCAACAATGCTGTTAACATTGTTGTTATGGCGACAGATTTAGATAAAATGGTGGTAGCTAGCCAGGCGGACTTAGAACAAGCCCTACTAAAGCCTGGTCCGTGAGCACGTAGAATCCCGTCCAATGACCCCAAGCTACCCATCCTTATCGCTCGCGCGTAATTATATTGCTGTCGCGACTGTGCGACGCGCGCCCGCAGTGAGTGTGCGAGCGCGACAGCAACATAATTAATTACGTGTTTACCAACCAAACCGAACATTCAAATCTGTAGTCTCGCTGACGTTTGACGTCACAAAAACGCTCCCGTATCCCCCTCCCTTACCTCAGGCACTAAGTTAAGCGTTAATCCCATATAAAATAACATTTACTGGGTGTCACTATAAAAGATTTGCCACACATGGATTTCTCTACTTTCGTCTATTCCCGTTTGCCCCCAGGGACACTGGGAAAAAGTTGTAATATACCAGGAGGGACAACGTACGTTGAAATCACAACATTGGGATGAAATGAATTGCATTGACCATCAGTGGTGAATGTTGAAACCAAAGATATAAAACAGAATGTTATTTTAGTGTAGGCGCACACTGGGCGACACGCGACAGCTACAGCTCTGCGACTTGACGCCTATTCCTGTCAATTTCATACAGGGTGGAATTTTGTAATGCCACCTGGAGGGAAAGTACTCTTAATATTGTAAATAGAAAATTTTTCTCAAACAAAAACATTCCTTTGTTTTTGAAAAGAAATAGTGTGTGCCTACACTTATCGTTTTTTAGTGACTTCGGTTCTTTTTCTTATTGGAAGCGGCGAGGCAATATCGTCTTAACAACTGGTGGTTTTTACACACAATCCTATACATTTGTAGAACCACCACACCGCTTATTCGCCTCTGTGGCAGCGAATTTGCTGCTTTAAGTCCGTACTCTAGAACGACACCCGAAATTACAATTGTGGACAAAAAAAATGGACCATCTCTATTTTCGGCTTGTGTAAATTTTGTTTAATATTTTTAGAGCACATTTGTGCACAAATATTCCTTTTAACCCCTCCAGCTAAACTTAATATGTGCTTCAGAGAGGGTTCACTACAATAGACGAGTGATAGACAAAAATCAAATAGTTAATTCTGAATAAATATTTGAATCGACAGTCCGTCACCGACACCGTTGAGCTATTGTAGTCTTTTTCCCGTATTCACAAACATTACTATGAGGTCTCACAGTGCTCGTGGACACACGCGCACCAATCAGAGCTCTATTCAACGCTGTGCGCTCGATTTGCTGCTTCACTTAAGCAAGCATCGTTTGTGAATACGGGCGTTAAATGAGTCAAACACAAAACGAGCAATTCCCATCTTCCCCCGGTGGGGCAAATGGGAATTCCTAAAAAAGTCGCCTAATTTTTTGTCCACAACTATAATCAAGTCTCACAGCGAAAATCTGAATATTTCTACAAATAACACTTCTCTTACGACTCAAATTCGAGTGTCGTTCCAAAACACAAACCTCAACGGTGAGTGGGAACATAGAAACATACAACTAACATCCATATTACTAGGCATTAAGGTGCATAAACGAACGTGCGCTTCATCCGCTATGTGCGTTATCGCAGCGCTTCTAACATCCTTGTGTTACCGTCTCTGCTTCAATCAGTATGGTACAGGTGCTGCTTATTTTACAAATAAGCACTTACATTGGCCAAAGTAATCGTAATTTGGCATGATCCTGTACGATTTCATTGTTTTGAACCCACTGGGAATTATTTTGAGTCCATATTTAAGTCTGACTACCGATACACTATAATAGAAAATTTGTTGTCCGAGGGTCACCGGTGAATCGCGTGGCGTCCACCGTGATAACGTTTAAATAAGCCTCTTTGATTTCAAATTAGTGTTGCCGATCGAAAGTCGACTATCGATAGTCTATCGATAGCCAAACTATCGCAAGACTATCGATTGGCCTATCGATAGCTCAAAACGAGGCAATACTATTGAATATGTGCAATACTATCGATATCGATAGTATTGTTGCTCGTGAAGAATAAACTATGGATAGTATCGATACTACAGATAGTATTGTCGCTTTTGAATAAAAAGC